CTAATGTTTCAATCGATTTATGGAGTGGAGAGTACAAAGTATAGGAATGCTGAATCGAGATGATGGCAAGTGAAGGAAATTGAGTTGATACTCTTTCAAAGCATAAGGCTGCTAAGTAGATAGAAAAAGGTACACAGTACTTCTAGGATTATATTTGTGAAACCTCTAAGAACATAATTGGTGTCCCTTCTTCCCAAGAATCAGCGGTCCGAAACTATAAAACTATAAAACTATAAACAATATGAATACATGTAGAGATAACATCTTGATAAGCTGGAGGACAGCTACTAAAAACAAAATTTAAAATAAAGTACGTACATTCCCGGGACTTACGGACAAAGCAGAGAGGGAAAGAAAAGGGTACTCAAAGCAAGCCCCATGAGAACACAGATCTATATTACTCACAGATGATATTAGCAATCGGTGAGAACCTTAGTGATAGCCCCAAGTACCCAAGGAGCACTCCGTATGGAGTACGGAGTACGGAGTACACACCTAGTTCAGGACAGCTCGGAATCCGAAAACGACTCGGTTAATTCTCCCCTTTTCAGTCCACCTCGCATAACATCTGTCATGTGGTTAGAATTAGTGGATCTTATTGGACACGGGCAATTTAAAGTAGAAACTATCGATAGAGTAGGCTAAATAGTGCACTATAGATCAGAAATTTTCACCGGAGAAACGTGTGGGGAAAGTACTAAATAATGAGCTGATGAGGGGTAAAGAGTAAAAAGGGGGGGGGGGGGGGGAATTAGAAGAGATCGCCTGAGAATATAGGTGCGGGCCAAGTACGGAGTACTCCGTAGTATGATCTCAACTTCAACAAGCCAATCCAATCCATGTAACAATCAACGTGCAAAGAGATAATAAAAAAAGAAAACAAAATAATATTGTGGACTGATAAGCTGTCGCAGTAAGATTGGCAACAATGAGGCTTGGCAAGATTGGCACTGCCCAAAAATAGGTGTTCCTTGTGTATCTATACAAATTCCAAAGCATGTACTCCGTACGGAGTACATATCCACGATGTGCAATGGGCACTGTTGCCTGGTGAAGCGTCCATAAATGTCGATCCCTACTCTCCCGGCCAAGGCGGGAGTATCAGATTGCACAAGGCTTGGCGGAAAATCATCGTCTTGGCAGAACTTGGCAAGCATTTAGGATCCTCCCTCGCGTCCGGCGGGGGATTCCTCTTTGTGTTTTGGTCAGATGGGCTGTGTAATATGCACAATTTAGTGGCAAGAGCGGAGTGGAAAATACTCATGCAGATGAGTTGAAGAATTATCCATTGCTATCTTGACGAATGGAGTAGTACGTATGCTTCCTAGAAGGGAAAGACGGAATAATGTAGACAAATTTTGAATGAATAGCACATGATAATCTGAAAGCGCTAAAGAAAAAAAAACACCCCTATCGATTTTCCTGCCCTATTCCCATGATGGGGCTTCCCAAATTTCCCAGATTACAGTCGCTCAATTGATTTGAAGATTCCCAAAAAAAAAAGAAAAAGAAAAATACATGATAAGCTCAGCACAGTATCAGTTGGTCTGATGGTAGTATATCGTGAAATGTAGATGATAAAAGAAGACTGAATGGACTAGGCGGGTCAATGATGGAGCGCCTAGTGCTGTTTCTTGCCATGACCAAGGAAGAGGAAACCACTGGGAAGAGTGACGGCAAGGTCATCGAGGGAGGCTGAAGAGTTGGTAGAAAGAGAGCTATTGGTGCGGGTACGGTTGGCAGGAGCCAACACAGGGTTCTCCTCAATTGAGCTGGTCTCAACCTGGAACTGGTCTTCCCAGACGCGGGGATCAGGGCCAGATTCAATGGGAGACAGAACAAGGAACTTGTTGGCAGGGTTGTAGGGGCGAGACTCAGTGGCAGAGAGAATCAGGAAACGGTGGGTGGGAGTGTAAGTGTACATCCTGATAAATCTTTTAAAAGGCTTTATGGGAGGAGTAACTCGGTTAAAGACGGGATCTTTGGAAGTATTGAAGAAAAAGTTGTAGATGGGTGGTTTTGGAAGAAAGTCAGAAATCTCAGGGAGTTTCGACCTTACTTATATAGCCCAGACCAAGATAAGCCAAGAGGAACTTTGGAGAATGAGGGGCATGCTGTATCAATGATGAGCCCGAATCACGCCGATCTAGCGCATCCAGCACATCATATCTGGGCCGGGGGGTTAGTGGATACGCGGTCATGCAGTCAAGCCACTCCCCGCGATTATTGTCCATTAAGCCCATAAAGGAGAATCCCAAACATGCTGGATGGCCTCACATGTCTTGGCCGGAAAGGAAAAAAAGGGGGGGGGGGGGGGGGGGGGGGGGGGGGTTATCAAAGCCAAGAGTTCACTATTGACTATCACCCTTTCTTATTCTGAATGCTCCGACTTTGCACCTCTCTGGCATAGTTGCACGGGAATCTGGGCATCTGGGCTGACGGTCATTCCCAGCAGCCATGGCAAATATGCTGACTTGGCGAATTAAGCCCCATGTCATTGGGTAATATGCTAGATAAAAAAACCCGTTGCCAGCCGAAACTCACCTCGGAAGATCAACACTTAGGATGAGGGGCTAAGATCTAGCAGAAGTTCATGATTTTCACTCCCGTATGCATCCACACCTATGCAGTAAGTGTGTTAATAATGGTGGGAAAGCCCTATACATTCCGAGTTGTTTCATCGATAGTTCTCTTCGCCAATCATTCTGTTGTAATGGCCGCTAGGACCATCGGATATGGGGTATTTTTTTTTAACCCCGGTCTTTCTCTCATCGGACCCGATAGCGTACACTTCGCTACTTTTTTTTCCAGCGAAAAAGACACGAAAATGACATCATATTTCAATTTCCCCAGAATTGAGATCTTGTTAACCGAAGTTATCTAGATTCGGGTAATTGTCTACATAACGAGAAGTAGTGAGATTATTTTAAACTGATATCTGTTTGTTGAAAAAAATAGGGAAGTACGTAGTATAATAATTCAAATTAAAATTGTTTTTGTTTTTGTTTTTGTTTTTTTAAATTTCTAAAGTTCGAATGTTCCAAGGTTCGAGTTTATTTTATTTTCAAATTGAACCATGGGCATACTGATCACGTGCAGTCCTTAACCACCTTGGACCCTTTGAAAATCCAAAACAATTCTTTTTGTTGTGATTTCATTGGTTTATTTTTATTTCTATTTTTTATTTTTTTTATGTATTTTATTTTTTTCCTGTAAATACCCAAACAAAAACCAACAGCGGCAAAACAGACAGCGATTGGTCTCGACCTGTCGATTTGTGCTGTGCCTTGCCGCCCCTAGGCTCGCGCGTCTCTACTCGCCCGGAGTTGATATCCCGGTGGACCGGCGGCTCAGTAAGGGGAGAGCCTCAGTCGAACCGATATGAACGCTACTGTGCCATGGCTGAGGAACTTGGTGCTTGTCGCCAGTCATTCGCGCTCTAGAATCAATTGATAGGCTAACATGTATTTATTTTTACCCTGAGCCCTGCTCCACGATCGCGCTAGATCAGACAAAGAACGCCCCTTGGCTAATATCACACTCGGCCAACACCGACCATACTATACCACACAGCACATCCGGATTTCCTTGGCTTTGAATTGTTCTTATCGTTTACTCGCCTAACCTCAATCTTATTGAAAAAAAAATGCCTTGTCACCATGCATTCTTTCGCATTTTAATCGCTCAGAACTTGCGGCTATCACCAACTGCGCCATAGAAATGAGCCTTATTCGCCTACATCCACAAGTCGAGGCCTATTGCAATAGAGTCAATGAAGTCATCTCCTGCCATATCGAGACCGACTTGAAGTGGAGTTTTGCTTGGAGGTTCGCTTCCAATGGATTTCGGTTGGTTCCTGATGCTACTTTCAGCGGTCTGCCTATCTAGTCCCGCGGTACAACATCGTAGAGGTTTGGAGCCAAGACTCGAAGATTCTTATGCGGGGACTCAATGTACCTCTCCGAATTACCATTGAATATCCCAAGAGACAGAATTCGAGAAGAGTCATCGCAATCTCACCGGCCTTGTTCAATTAGTCACACATCCTGCGCCGCTAGCTACGCGCACACATCGTGAGAAAGTTGTGGCAGGTGCCTTCTCCAGAGTATGAGACATCCTTTTAGGGCTAGGTATCAGGATCATAGAGGTTTGTCAGATGGGGCAAACCATGTTCCTGATCCACGCTTCGGCCGCAGCGTTGGACCTATGGGGTGCCATCCAGAGAGGGGTCACTGTTGGCGCTCAGGAAATGAGCCCTAACACTGGCTGCAGCGCTTTTAGAGTGATGTCAAGTGCTCCCTGCAGCCTGCGGGATTTGAAATTTGCATCGGTGGTCATGCTTAGGGCTTCGGTGACCTTGACCAACCCCTGGTGCTGGCGAACCCCATATTAATAATCGTGACTCTTCCCAGGGGCACACCACACTCTAACAGTCCACCTACCATAAGCTCTGCTTTCTGTTGGTAAAAGCATATGCCCTGGATATGGCGCATGTGTATACCATTTTCATGCCCTCCATCACCTTCTCTTTGACTGCGCAACAAGTGATCACCGAGTTACGGCCTGCATATGGCGCATCTGGATGGACGATTTACAGCGCTTGTGGAGGAACGGAAGGACCGAACCGTTTGTGTGACTGTCGGTGATGTGTTCAAAAAAAAATTCTATTGAGTTGCGCAGTCAATTCACTTCTCTTGAGGTGGTCATAAAATGCTATAAAGCCGGGCACTGATCCCTCGCTTCTCATCACATCGATCAACATCTAGAGTTCAAGACCTCCTTCGAACTTAGTGATCTTCAATTCGCAATACTTGTTTCTGCATCCTCTGCAACTTGACATCTTCATCCAACCCTCAATATGTGTTCTATCTACATCTATCAGTTCGATTGCGGATGCGAGCAGCAAGTAGGAAGTGTGGTCGCTTGTGTGTATCAAGGTACTCCTGGTTGCAAGGGTATTCAGGAGAAACCTCGTAAACAATCTGTCCAGTGCACCCGTCATGGTGGCTAAAGTGGCTTCTGATGTGAGTTGCATCTTTCGTATTTTGAGGCGGCTGTCACTTGCACAGAATCTGGCTAACAAGACATTACAGGCATCCAATGATTCGGAGGCTCGAGATCGTCCATCGCTATGTCCTACGCTGTCATCGAGTGATCGGCTTCCTCGCCCTGTCTGTGTCTGTGTCTGATTCAAGATAGAACAAGATACCACTGTATCACATCTGCTATTTGGAGGAATTCTTATTTGTTGCCTCGCATCGGTCATCCTGGGATCTGGGTGGGGACTTTGTTATATCTGGCATTTCGGGCTATCGTTTTGATTGTTTTTTTTCGAGTTCTGTCTGTCATTATTCGCCGGTGGTTCTCTGTATTGATCTGTCTACCTACGCATGCTCGGATCTTCCTCTCTTTAGACAATACCGTCTCGTGGATAAGTCGAGAGACCACAGAGTTTGGATTTTAATACGCACTACATGATATCGTGTTGGTTTTATGAAATTATTTCTTTATATTGCTACTCTGGTTTTATTTCAACAGCTGACGCATGCGGGTTCCAATGTTAAACTTAATATCAAAGAAGAGGCAAATATTCAGATAACAGTCTTATGGCCCTTCATATTATTTTGCAATGCATGGGTGTCGATAAGTCCACTATGTCATGATAATTGCATAGTGGTAGCTTAAGGCATGTTTTCCTGTCGGCGGCTCTCGCGGATTCAAATTGCCTATAATCCAACGCCACAGCAGATGGAACCTCATCACATCATGTTTCTGGCCGTTCACGTCTACATCTGATTGATCTACCTAGAGGATTTTCGTCATACCGCATTTTCATGAACCCAACACAATCAAGACTATGGCTCATCTCCGGTGTTGGTGGCAAGGAGATGTTGACCAATGACATTGGATACCTGTCGTAGTGCTAACGGCGAGAAGTGCGTGCAAGATGAGGGCCAACAACTGGGAATGGCGCATGTTCTACCATTTTTATCTATTTATGGTAATCCAAAGTCTTCAAACAGTATCAATTGTTCTAGATCTTTGGAATTGACCAAACACTCCCATCTGCACTGTATATCGGTCCTTGAAAGCATTGCAGGACCTTCTCTTGGCCTCCCAGAGAGTGCACATAAATCTCAAGGCTGTCATAGTAATTGAGCGAGGATGTGACGTTACTGTCGGTAAATTCGGACATAGGTAAACTCACTATTGGCGAGAATGGGTTTTCGCCACGCTGTGCATACGTGAATCATGCATATTGTGGTGTCGATCGGACGCCAGATTGTAGGAGCGAATGCCGTCGGGAACCGGTCACATCAAATTTGCAAGTTTGCAAGGGTAAAGGCGCGTGGGAATCGGTTCCATCCTCTTATCGTAGGACACAAGGTCGAACCAAGCCGAGGAATGGCCGTGCGAGAAGCCACCACTCCCGAACTGGCGGGTGGTCGAGAGCTGGAAGGGTTTCCAGGGTGAAGCCTGGTCAGTACGTTATAGAGCATGCCTAGACGCGGCTGCGATTCCCAAGGTGCAAGGTAGGCGATAGGCCGCACAGGCACCTCGTTAGCTGCATTAGTCCCGCATATAAATTGTATCAGCTGATTTTCAAGTGTCAAATCGACCAATATTTATGGCCCTAGGTTTGTTGGTTTCCTGTGGCAAGCCATAAATGCGTACATATTCAGCATTTCCCAGTTAGATTATGGGTAGATACATACCTAGGGTGATTGTGATCATGTCAGCCCCTAAATCATCATCTCACATCAAACCAGGTCGACGGAAAAAAAAGGATTCGATTCAGAGTTAGTAAAATACCCAGACAGGGGGTTGCCCCACGCGGCGCAGACCACGTCGAAACACCTTTCTTGGCCAATCCACATTTTGTTGGCGCTGTGTTTCGCTAAATCCAGCGGAACAAGTAGGGATATATGAGTTGTCCCTTAGATTGGCTTCAACGGTGGCTGGGATCTCAATTCATGAAGTCCAGCTTGGATGCCCATGAGTATCTCATCTAGGCACCTGACCAAACAAAGTAGCCTGGACGTGTCGCTTCAAACCTTTCTAGAAGACTTCATAGACTTCTTTGCTGTTTGTTCTGTGCTTTTACTCAATTATTTTCTGTTAGGTCAAAACGCAACCTAGTATATAGGCAACCAATCAAATATTGTCCGATTTGTCGCGGTAGGCTGGGCTGAAACATCCCTTTGCCGGGAGCCGTGTTCTAACATGTCTAAGCCAGTCTCTCCTTCCTCTCCCTTTCACATGGGGCAAGCTTCGAAGCCCGTTGCCTCTTTTTAATACCTATGGCGCGGCCCCATATCTAATGTACCGCATCCAGTAGTTAGAGGAGAGTTCATGGGAGTCTTCCAAAGTCCCGCAGCCGTTCCCTTTCCCACGACCGTATAACCATAGCCGGGCATGTGTAAGTTTGAATGACACGCACCCACATATTCCGAAAGGTGCGCAGGGTTTTGACAAGGTTCTCATCTAGTTAGATTTTCAATAAACGCACTAGGTCTTCCGCATTGATATAATGTTTGAGATCATCTTGACTTCGTCGATAGCGTGTTATGTTTCGGCAACGATCATCTAAATTACTACCACTATATAGTCTGAGTAAACATTACTGAATGCAAAATTGCATATCATGATTTTCTGACTGGCTGCTTCGTTGGTTTCTAGCCTCTAGCCCAGTAGATAGGGAGGATGTGAGTCTGACTAGTCGATAACGCTTTTCGCTGTTTTAATTAAATTTACCAGATTCTTCGGAGAGCCCAAGGGTCTGCAGTGCCTGTTTTTCTCGGTACAATCTGAAATGGCACTAATCTACTTCCACGACGCGGGAGACATCATAGATTTCTCATATGCTAGTTTATAGGCTGGGCAGGTGAGAGTATAGGAAATATGGAATTGACCTTGTTGCTTCGCCGGGAGATTAAGCGGCTGACAAAGGAAATTTGCGAGCTAAGAGGTACTCACTAGGATCTCAGGCGTGCAACTGTCATTTGGAGGCATGAACTCAACCAAGCGCTGATCATTGACTTTCCCAAATCTAAATTAACCCCAACCAATATCAAATCGCGACCAGCGAAGAGAAAATCGTATCAGACAGAGTCACCGGATGAATTGTATTCACGTATCTTGAAAAAGGTGCTTATATACCCTTAGTTATGTAGTTATATCGTTTGGAATTAGCAAGTGCATGACAAATCGTTCTACCCCCAGTACTTCGTTGAACAAGTGCTTTATATTGGTTTATAGTTAACATATCGATGGATGCGCTAACTAGCCGGAATGTCATCATTGTGATCCCGAATGAATACTAGGGCTTAATATAGGTATACTGCTGCAATGACAACCTCACGTTCTGTTTGTCCTTATGATCTTTTGGCCTACCCAAGTAGGTAGTGGCCTAAGCGACCGGGGCCGGAGTACATGATTACATCATGTATATCATTACCCCTGTAATCCTGCCGGGACGGCAGGTTTACTTAGGCCGCTACACCTAAGTGATTACATAAGATCATTTAACCGCTAGGCCAAAAGATCATAAGGACAAACAGAACATCTGTTTGTCATTGCAGCGGTATATATATTAGGCCCTAGACTCTGCTTGGGACCACACCCCCAGCCTAGGTACATCACGTGGTGATACAGGTTCCGCTCCTCAACCGACTTATCCCATATACCAACATCAAGAGCTATAGCATTGCATATGTGATGTCAATTGAAGTCGACTGGGCAGCTGCCACTTCCGGTCCGGATGGGGAAGCCCTGGCAGAGCGAATTCGGTCTTTCGTACACGACAAGTTTCAGGAGATCACCCTACCGCGTTTTATTCGCTCGGTCCAGGTCCACTCCTTCGATTTCGGGACCATCGCCCCAGATCTCGAAATAAAAGACTTCTGTGAACCGTTCGCGGACTTCTATGAGGAAGATGACGACGACGCCGACACCTCCGTTGCGTCGGAGGAGCTCATGTCTGAGCTCCACGAATCCCCGTACGAAGACGACATGACCTTCAATCGCACCGCGCATAGCCTTCATAATTTCAGTCACCATCCATATCCCGGCGAAGGATTTCAGCCATCTGCGCTTCGATCCCCACTAGGTGACCACCTTAACCCGCATTTCCTACCCCGCGCCAGTACACCTGGCATCCCCGGCGGCACCTCAACATTGGGATACCACATGCGGTCCCTGGGCGGTCTATCAGGCACTCAGACACCCCTCGCCGCTGTAGCAGGCGGCACTTCATTTGCGAGCGGATGGTCGGATTCAGGCATGGGGGCCGGACCCAGGTCCCAAGCAGCCCGCCCTACTAGCGCACATCATCCCGCAGAGCCAGATCTGGATACCACCAACTCTGCCTCCCGGCCCTCAACCGCTAACACACTCCCCTCTCATCCTTCCCTTGGCCGCACTGGCAGCGGTGGAGCACATCCGCATACCAGCGACTCTATTGACGCGCCACAGCCCTCAATAGAGACACCAGATGACCCTACCGGTGATCAATCGTTCCCCATCCCACCACGCATGCGCGAGCGCCGCCCAGAGGACTTCCAGGTGCTGTGCCATGCTAAGTATGCTGGCGATGTGCGCATGTCACTGACTGCGGAGATCCTGCTTGACTACCCGATGCCCAGCTTCGTAGGGCTGCCGTTGAAGTTGAATGTCACGGGTATCACGTTTGACGGAGTTGCCGTTATTGCGTATATCCGCAAGCGAGTGCATTTCTGTTTCCTTTCCGCGGAGGACGCAGATGCCCTGCTTGGATCTGAACAGTCTCAGGGTAGTCGAAATCCTAGCGATAATGGTCGGCCTCGGTCTGGGAGCGATCAGAAGGAGAAGGATCCGAAGCGACAGGGTGGGTTATTACAGGAGATTCGGGTGGATAGCGAAATTGGTCGCAAGGAAGATGGGAAGCAGGTCTTGAAGAACGTTGGCAAGGTTGAGCGGTTTGTGCTCGCGCAGGTTCGAAGGATCTTTGAAGAGGAGCTCGTATATCCTAGCTTTTGGACATTCCTGGTTTGAAGGTTCAACTCATGCTGTCCGGCCTTGATCAGCTGATTCATATACTACGCCATTTACGAATAATTTATGACTTCTAGACATGACAGTTCTCATTCTTGAGCCACTTGCAACTACCACGCCTCACAATAGAGCAACGGCAATCAACAGGTAATTGAAAATGAAATGGTAAAATTGAGTCGAATATGACAGGTGCTATAGAATCAGCACCCTGGATCCCACCTAAAAAATCGTAAAGATATCTGCTAGTACATGGAAAGGAATGCAGCGACAGAGAACTTGTATCAACCGCAATTCCCTCATTCCTTCTACATAACAGAAGGGTCAATACACTAGAAAAGGATAGTTATGCACAGTAATCCAGAATGTATCGAGTGAATTTGTTGCCGAAAGGGTCCCAACTCCCGTGACAGGGGAGGAGGCCCTCAATCCAAAGCAAACATGAAGGTGCAGAAATGAAAGGCTATCAAAGCTTGGGCTTCGACAGTCTTGAGTCCGGGGGAATTAAACAATGTCACCCTCTTACAGGTCTTTCTTGTCCTTCTCGTTTTTGTCGCCCTTTTCGTTAGAAATCTGGTCACCCAGGCTGTGGTACTCGCGGGTCAAACCCTCGCACTGCTTCTTGAGAGTCTCAATGTCCCGGTCCTTAGTCTCAATAATCTCCTTAAGACGGCCGATCTCGCCGATTGAGCCAGCCTCTGCGATGCGGGCAGAGTCCTTTCCACCGGCCTTCTTATCGCCCTCGAGGAGACGGATACGGTCCTCAAGGCGAAGAGACTCGAGAATCATGGTATAGGTACGGTTGAGGATCAGAGAGAGAAATAGGGTGAAACCACAGAGATACATGTTGCGCTGTGAGTAGAACTTGCGGGCCTGGACCTCCATGCGGTCGGTACCGAGGTGAGCGGCTCTGTTGATGACAGTGATTAGAATTTCTGTTGGAATATCTGAGGGTGGGTTGAGCTACTTACCCCATACCGGGGCCATCCTTAGTGAAGGCAGACAGTTCCTGCTGCACACGGTACACACGGTTTACAGAGTCAAGGAACAAAATGAGGATGAAGATGAATGTGATCTGGAGGCTAATTTAGCATTCTGATCAGGGATTCCATGTTTTCATGATTGGAAATATACCTTCAATCCATATTGCAGCTTGGCGATGATCGGGCTTTCGGAAATGAAGGCAAACAGCTTGCGCTTAATGGTGTGGGGGAGAGGTATGACGAGGGCTAGGAATACAACCATCTCGAACACTAGAAGGAGGAACACCTATACAAGAAGTACTGTATTAGTTTATCGACAGGCGTAGAATCTGAAGATATGACGTTGGAAGCTTGGGCTGGGTGGACAATTTCAGGCACCAGGCTGCAGCGATTCTTGAGCAGCACTACAAGAAGCAATTTGGGAAGGAACTCGTCGAACTTACAAGGGAGTAGTAGAGAGTCATTTTGACGTGTAATATCAACCCAGCGATACTTCAAATCGAGTTTCTAATCAAAAGGGGCGGGGTGTTCGAAAGCTTCAGAAAGATAGCTTAGGGGGCAATGTAAACAAATGCGAGAAGCAGCGATTCTGTAGTGAACAAGCACAAACACAGAAAGATTAAGGCAAGTGAAATTGCTTGGTTCAAATAGACGGGGCACTTGAAGGGGAAGTCAAGAGACTAGGTGGTCTTATGGGGAGTTTTTCAGGTTCGGGGGAAGACGTCATGGTCTCGGAAGATCAGCACGTGATGCTGCCATCAACCCTAATCGGGATTCCATATGCGCAAGCCATGGAGATGCTATTATTGACTTCATTCCACTTACTTGTATGGTGATTTAATTTGATTGAAATGCTCTAGTTTAAATATATATTCAATAATATCCTTGCCACGTATAACTGAAATCTAGTATATGTCATCACGGGATCTACATTGTGACTGATACTGGTTAAGGCTCAAAATCCAATTAGATCAACATAATTCACTGAAATATTTCTCCGCATAGTTCCCGGCGTATAACAGAGCAATATCCAATTATGTACATCGTATTCGGTGAGTCACCGGGAAAGGATTCCCTTCAAGTGGGGAAGTTTCGGCTATTGGAGTAGCTTGGAGAGCTGTCAACAAGTCGAGAAAGAAGTCTAGCAATATATATAGTTACACAGATATCACTCAATCACCCACCCACCATTACCACATTGACTCTTTTTTTTCACATTCCCCTTCAAAACCATGGCGCACGACAATCTGAGCACCGAAGAGATCGAAAGAGCATCCCAGCTTCTAAGTGCACAAGATAAGGCCGTTGCTCTCTTCGAGGAGATCGAACGCGATTTGATCCGACCAGGAATCACCGAAAAGACCCTCAACGCAGATATCTATCAACTAGGACTCGATCGTTATGGCATCAAAACCCACTGGCACAAACGAGTCATCCGCAGTGGACCAAACACCTTGAGCCCGTTCAACGATAACCCTCCAGATCGTGTCATAAAATCTGATGATATCCTAGTTGTTGACCTCGGGCCGGTCTTTGAAGCCTGGGAAGCCGACTTTGGGCGCACTTTCGTCCTAGGAAATGATCCAAATAAGCTGAAACTGCGGGACGCCCTTGAGCCTATCTGGAACACAGTCAAGGCAAAATATCGTGAGAACCCAGATATGTCGGGCGACGAGCTATACAACATCTCTTGCCAGGTCGCGAAACAAGAGGGCTGGGATTTCGGTGCGGATATTGCCGGCCACCTCGTGGGGTCGTTCCCCCATGAACGCATTCCGCGAGATAAAATCTCCCTCTATATCACCAAGGGAAATAATGAGTCAATGGGGTTGTCGGGCCGTGATGGGTTCAAGCGTCATTGGATTTTGGAAATTCATCTTCATGATCGGGCACACGGCTTTGGTGGTTTCTACGAGCAACTCTTGACGGTCGACTAGGCGGTCTGGTGTGTTTCTACGCAATTCATATTACTTACCACAGTAGATGGTGACCACATACGATTTGATGCCGTGGAAATAGCTTATGAAAATCTTCTTCTCACGCATGAAAGAATTGAGCGCCTTGCTAAAAATATGCAGAGACATTGCACTTGTAATGATTCTATGTACAATTTTAAGATATGCAATTTTATATACAGGCCGTTTTTTTTTAGCCCTCGGCCTCGTATGAGTTCGACTTGTGCTTGGGCTCGAATTTGAAGGTATCGGGTGCAGGACCCAGGAAAATTTCACTGTAGTATCAAGAGATGGTTAGTCAATGAGTAAAAAAAAGAATCCAGTCTCAGGTGAAAGAAAACTTACGTGATCTTGATCCAGTCTTTGTAGTTGCCACTACCCATCAGCGTCTCCAACTCATTCCGGCCACGCCAAGCAGGAGGTCTGTCCTGGATGTTGGGAGGAAGGTACTCCAACAGTCCGATGGGGACATAGCGATAGGTAAAACTCAGCCATTCTAGCAGGAAGCGACGGGTTGTTCCAACACCATGCTCATCAGAGCCCCAGGCCTGGAGACCATACTTGACAAATTTCTCGATGTATGATAGACGCTCAGTCGCGGATTTATCCAAATACTGGCCTGTCTGGATTTCCTCAAAGATCCATGGCTTGATCAAAGCTCCACGAGCCACCATGACAGAGTCCACTCCAGCATTATTGACATGGTCATCGTAGTCGGTATGTGAGTAGCAGTCGCCGTTTCCGATAAAATACGTCTTACCACCGTTGGGCATGTGGCGGGCATCCGGTTCACGGATAGTGTCGCTAAGAGCATCCTGTTTCTTGTTCAGGCGCTTAATGAGGGCTGCACAGTCTGAGATGTATCCCCAGTCTGCCTGTCGGGTGTAGCGCTGCTGTCTACTACGTCCGTGCAGGGTAATGGCGGCGGCACCGGGGGGCCGAGATCCAGAACACTAGACTCGTATCCACCGAGAACCATACGCTCAACAAGCTTCTGAGCGGTAGGCTGGTTGTCCTTGGTCCCCATGCGGATCTTGACGGTAATCGGAATCTCCTGGGAGACAGTGTTCATGCCGCGAATCATCTTTTCCAATTTAGAGTGATGGTCAAGAAGAGCTGAGCCAGCTCCATCGCGGAATACAAGTTCAATGGGACAGCCACAGTTCAAGTCAATAACGCGCAGGTTGGGTGTAAACTTTGACAACACTTCAGTGGCCTTGAGAGCTTGCCATGGCTTGTTAGCAGCAATTTGTGCACCGAACTTGAAGTCCTTGGAGTTATCATAGCCCTGAACAATATTCTCGCCCGGGATGACGGTTGGTGGTGCCATTTCCGATTCGTGTGCCTTCAACAAGGTCCATTCGGACTTTGAACCTTGGATCAAAGGCATACTCATAGCCATCTCTGAGTATGTGAACTGTGCGCCTAAATCTCCACAGAGTCTTCGGAATGGCATGTTGCCTTGGGTCGTGAGAGGTGCGAGAACGGGTGTCTCCGGTCCAAAGTAAATGCGGCGCTTCTCTGACGGCATGAAGGGAGGCTCGAGAAACTGAGCACGATTCTCCTGTATGTCGATTTTCGCTTGTTCGTTCGGTTCAACAAGCTCACCCTTCTCGCGGACGGTGGATCGCTGATGGATCGCTTTCTCCAATTCCGCGGACACTTCAGTGGCCCATTTGGTGTAAGCATCTGCCCGAGGGGTGTCTTCACGCCTTCTCATAAGACTGATTTTGTCTTCGTTGGAAATGATGTTGACAATTCCGTCGGGTGTCGCGTGGGCCACACGAGGTCGAGCTTTCTCCATACGTTCTGCGTTCTCCAGCAAGATCAATTCCTTCTTGCCGTCTTCATTTTCTCTCTCCGTTGAGTGCGAACCAACCATGCGACACTTCCAGCCGGAATAGCATTTGCCCAGCGCTTCATAGGAGGGGCACATGTTACCCAGAGTTGTAAGATCCTCGCGCTTATGATCCTTCAGATAAACACGCAGATCATGCTCAAATCGACATGTCTCGCCATACTGGCACTCTTCGGCGGCAAACTCATTGGCAAACATTCTTGTGCTACAAAGGCCCTTCGAATCGTTGGATGTACCATAACTGCGATTGGTGTTCTGGCCCTTCTTCTTCTTCTTTCCTTTGTCCTTCTTGCCACCATCACGATCATCATGGGGAGCGGCCTCGGCGGCATCGTCAGGGCTAGTCTCATCTGCGGGGCGAGGCTTCGGTGTGATTTGGATGCGATATCTGAATGGCGAAAGTTAGTATATTGCCAGCATTGAGAAGCAAGCTAGACATACTCTGCTTTGATGGGCGCAATTCCTCTATCGCGCATATCTACCTGAGCGGGTTTGGAAGGTTCATCCAACCGTGCTTTCTTGGATGGAGGCTCGTCCGCGCCTGCGGCGCCAGAGTCATTTGTGGCATCGCGCTTCGGGACCTCCATGTCAGGCACAGCAACGCTGACCTCCGAAGCTTGGACCTTTGTAGTTTCTGGCTCCATTATATTTCAGTGGGACGAGCGATCTATTCGCTAAACTTCGCAATCGCTGTTGATGAGGAGCGTTTGGTCAAAATTTCATATCCAGGCGATATGTTTGCACTGTTTGAATTCGATTCAATTGGCTCGGTATGTTTGCGGGCCCTTTTCCTATAATGAGTAAGTGCAAACTCAACAGAAATCAGACCGAGGGGACCTCTCAGTAGTACCCGTTGGTCAATGCTCAGTGTGTTTCTCCTTGTTTATGTTACATAGCCAGCGTCTGGTTTTGAAAAGTATGGTATCTTTAATTAGGTCATCCCGTTTTGGTATGAAATATGTGTATATACATAGGGTGCATTCCAACAAGGGATATTATATATCCCTACATACCAGAAATATACTAGTTTACTACTAATAACCAACTATATATATCAATATATATATCTGTATACTACACGTTATACAACCAACCTACTATTGTTTCAACTTATTTTACTATTATAGTAGCGTACCAATCTACTTAATAGTATACCGCGATTACTAGACCAGAGAGCTTATAGCCTCTAATCTATGTAGTTTATATCTTGAACCAGATATACCCGCGGTGGTTGATAAAGAAATGTTCAATGAGACCGGGTAGTTCGAGTTCGGCCTAGGAGTGCTACGCGCAGTACCAAAGGTAAGCAGTCTATAAAAGAGAATGTTAGCTTTTATCTCAAATTGAGCTCAATTCCACTGTTTCCTAAAACTTTCTATCTGATTTTTTATGGACTAATACTAATATGAAATATGAAGTGAGCACTTTATATTGATAAAGATAAAGTAGTATGTGGTGTATATATACTCCGTACAGTCAGTGGACATATATGTTTTTAACACACCTACTGCCCCATATAGCTCACCGCCAGTATAAGAATATACCGCCTACCTAAAAGGTATACGAAAATTATATATACGACACTATGTACAAAGGGTATTTTGTTGGCTACTGCGCGGCAGACATATGTTAAATTAGAGTGGGACATCAAGAGTATCTCTCTGAGATAATGCGGCACTCGATAGAAGCTGTTATTGAAAGCCAGGGGTTATATACAGTATAAAGGTTTTTGACTGGCAATATATTATATAAGCAAGGTGGTGTGGGGCCGTGTGTTAAAAACTTATGTCCAGTCACTGTACAGTTATGTAAAAAAGGAGTAAGATACTGGTATTGGGAGAAGGTGGAGGAGTTGTAAGGTAATGAAAGGAATAAGGCATACATGATTTTTTTTGGGAATTGATATGACCACCCCCCCTTTGGCTCACACCACCCCCCTGCCTGAAATTTCAGTACCGCCTTCCCAATTCGGTACCGCCTTTGCCTCGCTGCATGGATCTGCCAATCGCTCTCCACACCGCCTTCTAGTTTTCTACACCGCCTTCCTGGTAAACTCCTATACAGTAGTAGACAGTAGGTACCTGCAATTTGTATATAAACCCTATACAAATTCAAGTCACTTTTTGTCACATAAATCAGATCCAACAATCAAATTGATACTTCCATTCTGGTTTGTACCCAATGGAGCTGCTATGTACCAATGAAGAACGTGGCTGTGGTCGAGGACGCGGTCGGGGAAGGGGGAAAACGCGCGCGGGGAGGTGCCTGAGAGAGAGGATAATCGATTCGTATAGTAGATCAATGCACAAATGAATGAACTGTACAATTTTTTCTGATTAAAATAGAGGGTTTTTTACTATGTAAACCAGAATTACTATGGTGGTGGCAGAATATATGGCAGTATAAAATGAAGCAGCAGAAACTACGGCAGAATTACTAATCGCACCCGAACTAGAAGGCGGTGACTGAAATTTCAGGCAGGGGGGTGGTGTGAGCCAAAGGGGGGGTGGTCATATCAATTCCCTTTTTTTTTGGGTGCCTTAAGCCCCACATACTACTGAGAGGTCAGTAGTACTGCGTCCTTGACAACTCCTATGTCACCCAGGAGGGCAAGATATGGCGCCTTCGGGGGGATCTTGAACACATCGTAGGAAGACGGAATTTCTAGGTGTAAATCCAATAATATCTGGAACGTGGACATCTGGACTGTACTTTGCAGGTACAACGAAGGCAAGTTTTGCTTTTGGATGTTATGGATATTTAGGGGCAATACTAGCCAATCAGACGCACAGCTTCAGACAGCTTTATACTGTGGCTAGGTATATGTGGCTGTGTTGATATAATGTGGCGTAACACAGCCTCCTTTGGTCCACAGACGGGTGGATGGACGACCCCGGGAGGTCCACGGGTCATCCCTCAGTTTATCTAAGCGCTCGGGCATAATCTCACAAGGAGCCCCTCCTTAACTGAAACCTGAAAATAGATTTAACTCCTCCTATTTCAACAATCCTCATTTTCCCTTGTTGTTCTTTTGAGATGATCCTGAGCCTCTTTCTACCAACCTAGTACTACCAACCATTGTTACAGAATCCTGTGGACGACGTCATAACCGTGTTATCAGCACCTTAAATTGCGGGCAGCCTTGAAAAGACACAGGCCTCTAATTGTGACGGCAACCAAAATAATGGCGAGCGCAGCACACGATCCCCGACTGCTCTACAGTGTCAATAATATTCGTGCTTTCCATATCCAAGATGGCGTAGAGCAAGAACTCACGCCGTCCGGCCCTCAAACCCTATCACTGCTAATGGTCCCCACCAACACAGCCACTGCTGGCCCTGGGACAGATTGGCCCCAAGATTCACTGGAAGAGGATTTCTATCTTCACCTATATCTCCCACCTGAGCTCGATATTGCGATACCAGCGACCACACAGATCTTTCACCAACCTCCCGACAGTTATCTGATTCCCCGCTGGGACATGGGTCCTGATGCTGGCGCTTTCATTCGCATCCAGTTCCCTGGCATTGGCACGGACCCCGGCAATGTGTCTCAGGACGATATTGATACCTTTGAATCCATCCTTGCGCAGTGCACTGCATTCCTCGAGTGCACTCCGCACCCAAAGGCTCAGGACTATACTACCTATAACCCGGCTGACTACGCACCCGGCGAGGGGTATGTTGGAACTCCAGATGCAAAGAAAGCAGACGCGCATGGAAGAATTGTCCTCGTGGATGAAGAAAATGGCAGTGTGGTTGGAGAGCTAGGAGATGGCTACAATGTAGTTGAGGATGCCGACGTGAAGCCTGGGTCTAAGAGTGAGTGTATTGAATTGTGACCAGCCTCAATCAGCAATTGACTAATATATCGCAAACAGGACCTGTAGGAATTGAACTCCCTACAGAAGGTGGAGGCAACCAAGTCAACGTTAGCAATGTCTCCGAAGAATACCTGGCAATGGCCCGGCATCCGGCGTATAAGAACTCGACACTCGTCCAGAGTTCAGCTACAGCATCTCGCCTGATCGTGACTGGGTCAAGTTACCTGGCAAATGCTATCGCGAGCGGGGCAGAGAGTTTCAAAAAAAGACGCAGCCGAATGTCAAGCCTCTGAAATTCTCAGACGCCACACACGCGCGCATCCGCAAGGTCGGCACTCTATCTCACGGAGCAGCAAATATTTCTTCTCGTACAGTCGGACAAGTCGGGAAAGTTGCACAGAATCTAGGTGCGACATTGGCGCGCAAACAGGAGAATAAAGGCATCGACAGGCGCAACCCACCACCGGAATACAAGCCCGGTGTGCTGAATAAATCGATGATCGCATTCTCAACCCTGGCCGACGGCATCGAGCAGAGCGCCCGGAACATGCTCTTCTCCGGTGCCAGCGCCGCCACCTCTATGATCGACCACCGCTACGGCAATGAGGCTGGCTCCGTCGCAACCAACTTGACGGGTGGAATCACGAATGTTGGATTGGTATACATCGACGCCACTGGTGTCAGTCGCCGTGCGCTTTTGAAATCTGTCGCTAAAGGGATGGTTGTTGGAAAAATGCGCGATGGCCAACAGGTCGTCGTCGGCGGTGGTGATGGCGGCCAGGTTCCAGCTGACGCTGCGCAGGCTGCTTCGGGCCCTTCTGGCTTGAGCGCCAGGGACCCTGTTGTGCGACGTGCGTCACCTAATCCCACACCGCCTCCTGCATATGGTGCATCAGGGACAATGTCCCTCAACGGGACGTCAAAGTCTAGGGGTAAGCGGTAAAAAGTTGGGGGCTGGCGCGCATAGCAATTACGCTTGGGAGGAATGAAATCTCGTATACGGATATTTTTTTTACGTTGGTTCTTTTTTTTTTTTTGTGACTTTGGTATGATGGCATGATTTCCCTTTTTTTTTTACAAGCTTTTTGATCGAGTCTTATGTCTATTTTACCTTTTCGATATGTAGATTGACCTCGCATATCTAAAATAAAGTTCCGACCGTATATTATGCACAAATATCCCATGGATGTCAATATCTTTTAGTTTGCGATTCTTCAATAACCCTTGGACATAATTTGGGGTCTGGCTAAGGTGTTACAGCGCCGCAATAGGGAAGAGTACGGAGTACAGCAGACCGTCCTTTTTTCCTTTTTCTTTTTTAGCGACAATTTGATTTGTATACGGAGTAGAGTCAGCAGGTAAAAGTTAAAGAGGTAACGGTGGTTGGGTGTGATGTAGGCAAATGCGATGATAGCCACTGGATCAAGTTGCTCATATGCGTTGCCACTGGACGATCGATCCAATATCGATTGGATGATAGTATTTTGTATACAACGTTATATGTCGTAGAGGCGAAAACTGCCAACGCATCGCTTGACAGTTGTCGATGGCCCACCTTGCCCCCTTGCCCAATGAGGGTTATCGATAATGGAATGATAATCTCAAAAGGCTTGACACTGTGATCCGGGTGTTGTCAAAAAAAAAAAGTGAGAAAATCATAGAAGATTTAGTTTAGTGTCAATTATTACATGCAGACACATATTATCATATGTACTCCGTACTCCGTACATAGTATTTATATTGGAATAAGAGACAGACTGTGGGTAAAATGTGGATATAGAGCATGAATGATAGAGTAAGGTTTAGTTTTGCAGGTTGGACTATCCAAGAACCGCATTACTATAAACAAGAGTAGTGCTCAGGCGGTCTCCTTGACAACATAGGTATATATCTGGGATGTTGTATATAAAGAACACTTGTAGTTTTGAATGTTCTTTTCAGATATATATATATTCAGGTTGTAAAAAGGTTGTAGTTGAACCTTGGAGACTCCCGTTCAACAAGATTAAATCGGAATCTAACCATGGTTAGGAACATGATTCCAGGGTTCGGGTAAGTCTTTTTGGAGGTTCTAGCCCCCCAATATATTGTACTTTGTACTCCGGAGCTTCAATCGATTTCAAGTATACTCCGTAAGCAAGTAGCTTCAAAGAGTTAAAGCCCGAAGTAAAAACAAGTACATTGGCGCTAATTGTCAGCTCAATCAAGCTAGGGGAAACTACTGCACACCATTCACGGGCTAATCTCTGGACCTTTGTGAATCTCACTGGATCTCAAAATCCATAAAATTTCACAATTTGAAATCAAGTTGATTGAATTATATGAAATACTCCTAAGGTCAGAAAAAAAAAGCAACCTTGGAAGATCTGAGCTTTTTTGCCCACGGGTTCTGGGAGGTTAATAATGACGATCGTCTTGAGGTGTCCACACTATGAGTATTTGAAACAGCCGGTGCACAACCCCCTATTTGTTTTTTTTTTCTTCTTTCCTTTTCTTTCTTTTCTTGAAACTGGGCTTTTGGTGCCTGAGTGCTATTAATATTTGATTATTTCCGTTAAAATCCACAGACGCTTGTGTACTCCCGTAGCGGAGTACGGAGTACTCCGTATAGGAGTACACCTCTCTCCCTTCTTTAGCACATGCGAGGATCCCTCGGGACTCGAGCCCATTTCAGCACAGGAGAACAGGTTGGTTAACAAACTGCAAGGGATTTGCGATCAATATATGGACAATTAATATTGAATCCACTCTTCATACGCGCACACTAAGCTATTTTGTTATCGTCATGGATATATCATACCTCCAAAGCCCTTAGCTCTTTCCATGGAGTATTATATACATATATAATAGGTTCTTGGAAAAATTCACAGCATTACTCTGTACTTCGGACTTTGTAGACATATATTTTCTAAATCTTATATCAAAAAGTTGTAAACAACATATGTAGATATCTAGTATAATGTAAATAGAACATGTATAGTGGTCATATCAGCCATACCCTCATCCAAGGCTCAAGAGCCAGAGACCCGCCCCCAGACTAAGAGAACCTCGTATCTCACCTCCTCTTTTTTTTCCCCCTTCACCTTCTCTTTCTCTCTACACGGGCTTTTTTCTTTTTTTCATTTCCTTTTTGGTCTCTTTTCGTTTCTTTGATTCGGTTCTTTGGGGGGAGTATCTTCTTCCCCCTTTTTCGACCTCGAATCCTTGACCGGTGCTTCCCGTCTTTTCCCTCCCCTCGCGCCCCCTGTCCGCCCCTCAGTAACCTATCTTCGACAATGTTCAACAGTCATCGCAATTGAATCAGAGTACTGTTGATCAGGTTCGCACTCGCGCCTGAGACATTTGTTACCGCGTTTGCTTGATATCTTGGGCAACGTGCGACTCCAAACCCCAACTCGTGGGTCTAAACAGAGGGGGAACTCTGGAGTACTGCAGCGCAGGTATCCTTAGCTTTCCTTTCGTTTTTCGAGAAACTTGTTGTTTTTTGACGCGTCTTTACACCCGAAGAAGGTCGCGACCTGGTGTTCTCGGTGATATTCAACCCCCATCCGACGGTCTTTTGCGCGATTGGTCGTAAGCTAGTTCCCCCCCATTCTTCCGATCGATTTCCTACTGTCAGTTGCCCCCCCATTCTTGGGTTTAAAAAAAAGGGCACATTTTTTTGGCGATTATCGATAAGAACCTGGGGAAATTTTCAGCTGACAGATATCTCAATGTCTACAGATTGCGCTTTGAATAGTCATCGGGCGAGTGCGACCGGTCGCCCCCGACATTTGCCAAACAAATCACCCCGGGAGGAGATTGTGCTCCCTCGCGCCAATTGTACCAATTGCAATTGATACCAGGAACTTGTCAACGAGTGGCCGCAGAAACTGCCTTGGACCGTCACACAGCAAGTCTCTTGAGGCTTTGCGCATTTACTAGACGAAGGTAAGCTATCGGCCGCAATGCAAATAGCCTCACAGCGCGTACCTGTCTTCTGCCAAATCATTCCATTTGGCGAATAGCTTGCTAATTCCCATCAGCCGTTTTTGAGGCCGGTCCCGAACAGCTTTTTTTTCCGGCTATGAGCACTTCTCGTCAGCAAGCCGTGCCACTCCCCGCTCATGCCCCAGCAGTATCGACCAGCATATCATCTCCCGCCCAGAAGAATGCGCGCACAGCCTATCCCGACATGTTAGGTTCACCACCAGTTCCTCCCCCGAGGACCTCTTCCACAAATCACAGTCGTCGCAGTCCAAATGGAACATCTACAGAGAAGACGAGTAGCTCCCGGCAAGGCAAGAGCAAGTCTGATCGAAAAGAAGGTCGTGATCGCACGCGCGACGACCGAAATGGCAGGTCACGGAGGCAGCCAGAGGAGACCTCTGGTGAAGCACAGCAGTCAAGGACGGCGCCGCCAATCACAAATTTCACCGACTCAGAAATCGACAGTGTCCCTGGCCAGGGCAACTTCTTGCAGGAACCAAGTACGGAAGTTAATTCTGTGACAGCCAATGACCCTCTTATGGACCAAGAGAGAGAACAGGTGCAACCAGCTGGCACAGAAAATGCCTCCTCATCTGGATTTGGTGCACCTAGCAACGATGGTGTGGAGGAGGCTCGTGGTCCTCGAAGTCGACACGATTACAATAATGGAAACGTTATCAAGCGCAAGGAAACCACCTTTGGCTCGTATATCCTCGGGCAAACCCTCGGCGAGGGTGAGTTTGGAAAGGTTAAGCTGGGATGGAAGCGCGATGGCAGTATCCAAGTAGCAATCAAGCTCATCCGGAGGGACACATTGGGGACTAACCCCAGCCGACTACCGAAAATCTACCGTGAAATTGCCATTCTACGTGAGCTGGCGCACCCCAACATTGTGCGCCTCCATGAAATGGTGGAAACTGACCGCCACATTGGTATCATCATGGAGTACGCATCAGGAGGTGAACTATTCGATTACATCTTAAATAATCGGTATCTCAAGGATAATTCTGCACGCCGACTGTTTGCTCAACTGGTTTCCGGAGTTGGTTATTTGCACAAGAAGGGCATTGTGCACCGTGATCTCAAACTGGAGAACTTGCTACTCGATCGGAATCGCAACATTATCATTACTGACTTCGGATTCGCCAATACATTTGACCCGGTGGATCCCCTAGACGAGGAAACCGAGTACAATTTGACCAACAAAGAATACGTGAAACGGAAGCGACTAGACAAGATTGGTTCGAACGGGCTAAGGCGAGGTGATCTTATGCAGACCAGCTGTGGTAGTCCCTGTTATGCAGCCCCTGAGCTTGTCGTGAGCGATTCCTTGTACACAGGCCGGAAGGTGGATGTGTGGAGCTGTGGAGTGATCTTGGTATGTTCTACCTACAGTCATGAGAATCGACCCCTCAACTTAACTTGTTCATGATATCTAGTATGCCATGCTGGCCGGATACCTACCCTTCGACGACGACCCAGCGAACCCAGATGGCGACAATATCAATCTTCTTTACAAATATATTGTCACCACTCCTCTCACATTCCCGGAATACGTCACACCACATGCACGCGATCTATTAAGACGGATACTGGTCCCCGATCCCCGGAAACGTGCAGACCTGTTCGAGGTTGCCCGTCACAGCTGGCTCAGCGAGTTCTCGAATATTGTGTCTCATATCACAAGCAGCACGACAAACGTTGTGGACATTGCGAACACAACGATACCGTCTGGTAAGGACTTTCTACAAGTGGTCCAGCTTCAAGTTACTCACTCATATGCACAGAAAATCAAAAAGAAGCGCCGCCTCTCGTCCGCAGTGCCTCAGTGCGCGAACCACCGAAGACACATCAGAACAATCCGCCGGCTGTTGGTGGTTTGAACCATCATGCCGGTGATGTTTCTCAAGACCCACCGTCCGAAAAGTCTAGGACCCCCCGCGATGCCAAACGGAGGACGGTACAAGTCGAATATGTTGCTCCTCAGTCACAAACGACCCGAGGAGAACCTCCCGCGGAAGCATCTGCACCACGCAGCCGAGTCACGGCCCCATCCGAGGCCCAGACTGTGGCTACAGTGCAACAGCAGACAGAACCTGCACACCAGCCTACAGATGCACCGGCACTCAACCTCAACAAGCCACTTCCAGGACACTTCCCACGCTCGACTTCGGACAACGCAGCACTTACTGGGTCGCAGATGGCTGCTATGCCTCAAGGGCCTCGACCGGCCACTGGCGGATCTATGAACTCCTTTGGGAACACTGGTCGTTTGCCTTCTCGCGGCTCCTATGGACAACCGGTGGCTCCCACTGTTACCGCAACTAACACAGAAGGCCGCTTAGCACAGCCCAAGAGCAGGCAATTTGCTCTTGCACAGGATCCTGCGCAGACATCGAGCACATCTATCAGTCGCCCAAGCACCCAGAATCAGCAATTGCCTCCAACCTTCAACACGACTCCTCGACAAGAGCCGCCAAAGGGTCACAAGAGGTCCAATACTGTTTCCAGTCTAGGCGAGAAGCTTTTCGGTCGTTCTGGTTCAATATTGGGTGGCCGTACGCAATCTAATGCTACTCGTACAAAACAGGACAAGCGCTACCCCCCTGTTAGCATGAAGGAGCCTCTACCGAGAGAAAACTCCAGAATGTCCGTGGATTCCCGCCGCTCGATGCAATACCCCCATAACCGCAAGACAAGCGAGTCTGGCGCGGAAAGCCGTCCTCGTCGATTTTCATTACTCCCTCAATCCTTCTCATTCCGAGGTTTCTCTAATACCCGGGCTCAGACCCCCGAAGAAACCTCGCAGATCCCTCATCCTGTTGAGTCCCGTGGCTCGCAACGCCCCGCCACGGGCCTTTCAGGTCCGGCGCAGGGTCGTTCTCGGGCGACAAGCTATGGCACGCAAGATGCCATGGGGATAGTTAACGAGGGACCTGGCGAGGATGTTCATACTGAACCTGAGCCGCTTAGCTACGAAGCCCAAATTGATCGACAGTTTGCAGACCTGGGATCTCAATTTGATCACCAGAGTGGTTCCTTTGGAGTCCCCTCGGCTGAGCAAGTATACCAAAACTCTGCAGGCTACACGTCTAAGCCAAATTACTACGATGATTATAACGGTCCTTATGACAGCGTGCCCAGGCAGTCGATGCAGGTTGGCCGACCAGGACGTGGGCCAGGCGTTTTGCAGAAAAGCCACCGCAAATTTGCCGATGCCTATGAATATGAGCGCGATGGGTCTCACCACTCCGGCAGCTCTGGGGCAGCACGCAAAGTCATGGACTTCTTCCGGAGACGAGCCAAGTCCCGCGCTGGTGATGACCGTTGATTTGCGGCTTTGATCAATACATAAAAAAGCAATATTCCATCTCAAAACAGACTGACCAGTGAGATTGGATCGATGAAGCACTCATGCGGTTTGAGCTTTGATCTTGGAAGCAGATTCAAATCCTACCATTCTGATGCTTTTGAGTTGCTTGAAAGAGCAGCGAGGTTGTTTGGATACCCCGTGATACCCTGCTTTTGTCCCCTTTCTTATGCATGGAGCGATTCCTCTTCATCCGTCGGGTGTTTGAATAATTATCTAGCATTTTCTTTATTTCCTTTGTCTGACTTCATTTTCCTTGCTTTCTAATGTCTTGCTTTTTCCCCCCCTCCTCCGCTGCCCCTTTTTTAACCCAATATGTGATTTGCATTCCCTTCTCCTGTTACTATTATCTCTGGCTGTAAAGTGAGACCTCAACCGTGTTCTTTCTCAGAGCATTTTATTATCCTTTTGACACTTTTTTTTTCGCTTCTCATTGTCCCCTTTTAGCTTTTGTTTGCTCCTCTATGGGAGGCTCTGTCAACGATAATCCAATTGTGACACTATTTACATCTTTCTGTGCATGATTTCCGTTTTCACCTATGTCTATGTATCTTAATGTGTGACTTTCTCCTCTAAGGTGGGATCTTTCTGGCAGCTAGTTGTTCAGGCCTTGTTCCTGTTCTGTTGCTAGTTCTCGGTACTCTATTTTCTAGGACCAGTGGTGTGGTCAGTACATTGATTTTACTTGGCTTGAAGCTACAATAATATCTCATTGCCAGGCTAAGGACTGTATATCTAAACCGAAGTAACTAAAATGTAGTGCGGTGTGATGGACATTGCAATGTAGAGTACCTTTGCTCTTATTGGGTGGTCTGTACTTTCAAATGCTCGACTTTTACTAGGTCGGCCTCCTTATTCAAGCTCTCGATTTCAGCTGTGGCAAAGGGAATGCCATCCGCCAACCGTTTTTCCTCGGTAATCATTTCCATCTCCCCGGGAAAATAAATTCGATCAACACCAGCCATCTTTTCTGAATCAACAACCCGTTGATATAGATAATCCATCCTCTCCTTGAACTCCTCGATAGTCATGAACAAATCCGGCTTAATAGCCACCAAGAAATGACCCACATCAGCTGGCTTGGACGGATCATACGGGTTTGTAACATGCCCAGCAAAAGCAGACCCAGACAGCACACCCGAGAAAACATCCATCATAACAGAGAGCGCAGACCCTTTCGGCCCACCCATAGGCAGCATCACTCCCTGCAAGGCCTCAGCAGGATTATCCGTCTGCACCCCATGCTTATCCAGCGCCCAATCCGTAGGAATCTTCTCCCCACGCCGAAGCGCCTTATAAATCTTTCCGCGAGCGGCAATGGAAGGTGCCATATCCAAGATAAATGGCCTGCCTTCTCCAGCCGGCGCTCCACACGCAATTGGCGAAACACCCATTAGCTTCTCCTTCCCGCCCCAGACAGGTAGTGCGGGCGAGCTATTCGTAAACACAAGGGACATCATATCAGATTCTAGCGCCTGTTGCACCAGCCACGCAGACATGCCGAAGTGATTCGAGTGCTTGACGGAGACCATCCCGATGCCGAAGGTCTGGGCCATCGAGATTGCGAGACTCATCCCATGGTGTGCGGCTACAAAGCCAAACCCATTGTGCGCGTCGACTTGGGCGACGACTGGCGTCACTTGACGGATTGTTGGGACTGCACTTGGGTCAAGTGCGGTTTGTCGGATTCGTTCCATATAAGATGGGATTCGGTTACTACCATGTGTGTCTACACCACGGAGATCGGCGGACACGAGGCATTTAGAAACTATTTCGGCGTGTGCTGGTGATGTGTTGTTTGCGATGAGAATTTGCTTGACAAAGTTTTGTAGGTCTGTGTGATAGATGTTGTGCATTTGTTGGGGTTGGTTGGGTTGGTCTGGCATTTTTACGTCGGATGTTTTTTTTTTCTTCTTGTTTGACAAGCAGATTTGGGGTTGCAGTTTGTAATTTTGACTGTCTCAAGTTCTGTTGAGGTTCGTTTATAGACGCGGGACGGATGTGTTGCGAACGGGGCGGGGCCGCATATGGTGAAGTATATAGCACTAGTTCGGAGTATTCCGTACATACTAGATTATTCATTCAGGTATTTTGTTTTACTTCTATAATAAATATATGCTATTAGATATATAAGGGCTTGATACTAGTCACATGCAATCCAAAGGGAGATCAGACGGAAAGTTCATTCGGTAAAGTGTATACCGATAGCCGACCACCGAGACACTTTGAGAGTTACGTAGCGTCAGAATTCTCTTTAATATGGCTTTCCATCAGAATTTACTAAGCTGTCTTATACAGAGCCGTCAAAATGTTGTCTCTTCCACAATCGGATCATGTCGTGCGAGTCAAAATGCTCGACACAACAACCTACCTGACCGGAATAGCCAAGGTCTTTGTTGAACCTGTCGTCGCTGGCCACGAGACTTTCAACTTCAATGATTTAGCATTCCTCATTGAAAACAAACGAAGTGGGAAGAAAGTCATGTTTGATCTCGGTACACGCAAGGATTACTGGAATCTCGCGCCAGCAGTGCACCGGGTGTTTGGACTGGACGGTGCCATGACGGGAGTCAAAGTCGATAAAGATGTTGCTCAAATTCTTGTTGAGGGAGAAGTCAGTCTTGATGAAATCGGTAGTTTGCTCTAATGGCGTTGAAAACCAAACACATCATGGGTCGCAGCTAATATGAGGAATCGAGTTGCAGATTCGTGTATCTGGTCCCATTACCATTATGATCACTGTGGTGACATGTCTCCCTTTCCCCCAACGACTTCCATCACCGTTGGAGCGGGTTTCATGAAAGCAGGCTTCCTCCCTGGCTACCCCGAGAACCCAGTTTCTCCCGTTCTAGCCTCAGATTTTGAAAATAGAGAACTTATCGAGGTGAACTTTGAGAACGGCCTGGAAATCGGAGGCTTCAAAGCTCATGACTACTTTGGAGATGGTTCACTCTACCTGCTTGACTCTCCTGGCCACTGTGCAGGCCACATCTCTGCCTTAGCCCGCACCACCCCGTCTTCGGTAGAAGGAGGCGCCTCCTTTGTGTTCTTGGGGGGAGATATCTGCCGCTTTGCGGGTGATTTCAGGCCCTCGCCTGAAAGACCATTGCCGGATCCTGTTCCTGAATTTGCCCTTGCTAGACGCCATGCTCCTATTACATGCCCATGCTCCCTTACCAGACAACACCCTAATGCGGATGATGAGCTAGCGGGACGCACAACGCCTTGGTATAAGATGGCTAGCGAGTTTCCAACTGCTTATCATGACATTGACGAGGCGCGTACATCGGTATCTAAGATGCAGGCTTTGGACCAGAATGACGATATTTTGGTTTGTTTGGCACATGACGCTGTTCTGCTTGATGTCATGCCGATATTTAACGTGAGCCCCAACGAGGATATCAATGGATGGAGAGAAAGAGGCTTGAAGGATAAATGTCACTGGGGTTGGCTGAGTGAGGTTCCTATTGATGGAAGGCTGGCACAGACTCCTTTGGTCGAGGGATTCTGGAGAGATGGTAAGCTATGGGATTATATGTCATTCAAGAAGACCCTGGCAATACCTCCTATGTGATTATTGACCAGGGATGCGACTTTGTTTGAATGGTGAATGGAGAAATATGGTATATGATCTCCATGTTCCGGATATATGCAATATGAAAGAGGAAGGGGTGGTTATTGCAGGTTGGAAATTGTGATTCACAAACTTTAGCTTCTCTAGTCAAATATATTGTGGTATATCTACTTTGTATAGGCTAAACTTGATGCCTATCGCCAAGGGGTAGTAGTATCTATGCTGAGGATCTGATTCGTGAGCGGAGTAAGGATGTCCAAAAAGGTATTTTATAGCTGAAATTGTATTTATAATTTGTGCACAGGAACTGTAGTTCGAACATCGTCATATATAATGTTGTACTTTGTAGACGTTCCCTTCGTCCAACCAACCCCCGTTGGACCTAGGTAAACCACATGTGGGGCTCCCCGCGGATCCCCAACACCGCCGATAACCGAGGCACTCGTGATTGTGAACTTGTCTTCCCTTTTTCCCTTTTTCACTTTTTCTTCTTCATAGCATATTGAGCTTATTCCCCCTTCGTTTGCAATGGCTTCTATTATTCGTGCATTGCGACCTGTGTCGCGTACCCCCTCAGTTCGCCTAGCGGGCAAACGACTCGCTACCGGCCGGCCCGTACAGAGGTACCGCCTAGCCCAGGACAGAATATGCTATTGAAAACATATTCGCTAACAAAGTATCGTCCGTATTACAGCGCATACGCATTCTCAACCACTCCCCGCCGGCGGGATGTCGACCTTTCCGAGCTGATCCCGACGCCGATCACCCTTTTGTCCGAAACAGAATCGCTGATGGCCGACTCAGTATCGAAGTTCGCAGTGGAGCAAATTGGCCCGAAGGTACGGGAAATGGACGAAGCTGAGGCCATGGATGCGAAGGTCGTGGAACAGCTATTCGAGCAGGGCTTGATGGGCATTGAGGTGCCAGAGGAATTCGGCGGCGCGGGGATGAACTTCACCGCGGCGATTGTTGCGATCGAGGAGCTGGCACGCGTCGATCCCAGCGTCAGCGTGCTGGTCGATGTTCACAATACACTGGTTAACACCGCGATCATGAAGTACGGTGATGCTCAGGCCCAGCGTACTTGGCTGCCCAAGCTGACTACTGGCACTGTCGGCTCGTTCTGTCTGTCTGAGCCTGCATCTGGGTCTGATGCATTCGCGCTTCAAACCAAAGCCGAGAAGACCACCGATGGTTATAAGATCAATGGCTCTAAGATGTGGATCACTAACTCTATGGAGGCTGGTATCTTTATCGTCTTTGCCAACATTGACCCCAGTAAGGGCTACAAGGGTATCACTGCGTTCATTGTCGAGAAGGATACCCCCGGCTTCTCAATCGCCAAGAAGGAGAAGAAGCTTGGAATCCGTGCTAGCAGCACTTGTGTGCTGAACTTTGACGACTGTGTCATCCCTAAGAGCAACCTGCTTGGCGAGGAGGGACAGGGATACAAGTACGCTATCAGCGTATTGAACGAGGGCCGTATTGGTATCGCCGCCCAAATGACCGGTCTAGCTCTCGGCGCATGGGAGAACGCTGCACGGTGAGATCTTTTTCTTCCCCCCCCCTCTTTGACAACCCGCATATGAATCAGATCAGCTGACCACAACCAAAAAGATACGTCTGGAACGACCGACGCCAATTTGGAGAGCTTATTGGAAACTTCCAGGGAATGCAGCACCAGATTGCGCAGGCTTACACTGAGATTGCCGCAGCTCGCGCTCTTGTTTACAACGCCGCCCGCAAGAAGGAGGCCGGCCAGGACTTTGTCCAGGACGCCGCCATGGCTAAGCTGTACGCTTCCCAGGTCGCTGGCCGGGTGTCCAGCTCTGCTGTTGAGTGGATGGGTGGTATGGGCTTTGTTCGTGAGGGCATTGCTGAGAAGATGTTCCGTGATAGCAAGATAGGCGCTATCTACGAGGGTACCAGCAATATCCAACTGCAGACCATTGCCAAGCTTCTCCAGAAGCAATACACAAACTAGATGAGATAGACCTACCTATATTGATTTTTATAAATTGTTTGACACTGGCGTATTTGTTTCTTTTTGATCACAGATGTATCCACTATTTCCACTGTGTATAAATGCCATATATATGAGTAAATGACGGCTCCATTCATGTCAAGCCCAGCCTTATTTGTATATCCAATTCTAACGAGGGTCTTCGTGGAATTCAAGTTGTCGGCTTACCGACCGTTCATCGAGTCGTATAGATGACCGGAGGTGGGACCGGAGCTTCTCCGACAGCTTACTTTATTCCCGAGGTTGGCACGGCTGGTATTTCCGTCATTATTTTAATCGCGATTTCCGCGACTTTGAAGTCCCGAGAGCATCCGAGCACAAGTATTGCTTTGACGTCTACCCATGAATCAGTATGTATGTTCGCATCGAGGCTTTTGAAGGAAACTTACATGCCGTAAGACCAGATCACGCATTCTAGCCTGGGCTCGCACTGTGTTCCCACTGGGGATATAATGCCCCTGAATTGCCCCGGTGGTCTGGTACATGAATTCTTCATGATGGATACACCCATGGATACTCGTATGTCGGATCCCTTTGTTGCGTTTGAGGCATCGATTGCGGGTACGTTGATGTGGAGGGTTGGTAGACTGGGGCGGGAGTTGGCTGAGGAATAGGGCTGGCACTCGAAAGGGAATGTGAGCGGCTACTGTAAGTGAACTGGGGGAAAGAAGATTCGGATTGTTGCTGGGGTGGGCAGACTGGTTGTCCTTGAGATATTTGACCATCTATAGGATATGACTCCATACGACTGGAGAATTCCGGGTTGGAGGCTGCGCCGAGTGACGGCGATCTCGTGGGTAGATATGGTTGTTGCCAGTCATGCTGATGAGACGGTCGACGCGATACTAATAAATCCGAGTGTCTTTGAGTGTGGGATGTTGCAGAGAGTAGTGGTTGCCCCGTTGTTGGGATGTCCGGTAATGCACTGTTCGAGGCTTGTTCCAAAGTTCGAAACGGAGCCTTCCCTAGAAAATTCGGTGCAAATTCCGGTCGGCTAGTCAACAAAGCAAGTTGGCGTTTCAATCGGATCACTTCATTCTCTAGAAAGGCATTGTGCTGCAAAACTTCATTAAACCGCTGGTTTTGGAGCCGCATTTCCGCAATCTGCGACTGCAGCACGGAGACCTGGCCTTCAAGTTGTTCTATATGCCCCTTGGTGCGTTGCCGGATGGACCGCTGAGCCTCTCGATCGTTGGCACGCTTTCGCTCTAGCTGTTCGACTGAAAGGGTCGAGACTTTCCTTGTCCCCGATCGTGACTCACGCCTCTTCACAGGTGGTTCATCTTGAGAGCTCATGGTTTTTTTTTTTACACTCCAAAGATTCAACCCTATGACCCCTCCGTTGCCCAGAACCTTTGAGAGAGAACACCCCGATGGCGACCATGGACCGAGCACTAGACAGCTAGAGAGAACCTAACATGAGGGGGAGTGGTGGATTACTGATTTGCAAAGAGCGTGTGTGGGTGGCTCGAGACTATTTCCGAGCCGAGCAGGGATCAAGGCAGAAACGTGACAGATCGTTCGAATCCAATCCAAGGCTAGATTAAACCGTATGGGGGTAGAATAGGATGTGCATAGTATAGCCATACTTTCAGGGGGTGGTCCTTCTCAGTAGCGGAATGGTCATGCTATTATCAGAATATTGTCAACCCCCCCCCCCCCCCCAACATGCATTTCGCTTTCTCCAGATCGATTAACAAGTCAGGCAAATCTCCCGATGATGCGGCGAAAGTGAGACCTTAAGCCGACCCCTAAGCGCCCAATAAGGGTGGAGAAGTTGACGAACCATGTGGATAGCTATGGGTCATGAATATATAGCGTCCTCCGTCCAGCCGCTATGTTGTACGGTGAGCCGCCCCCATCGCAAGGTGCGCTTTTATTCGACTCCCAGGATGAATGAGCTGCCAATAAATGGTCTTCTGTTAAATCCATGCCACGGTGATCATGAGCATTTACTCCTTTTCCATTGGATGTTGACTGAGCGCTACAAGTTGGTACGCCTAAAAATCCATCGGCAACAGAAAAATGACTAAAAATAAATCTTGGGCTATTAGGCATTCATAAACCGTGACGATCCGCGTCCTTGTGGAGATACGGAAAGAATCCTTTGGCCCCCAGGGTCTAAACGCCAATGATTACCGAGCATTCGGCTCCTCCAGGATTCACGGGTATTAGGGAAAACTGTGTTGTAGGGAGTCTAATATTTCTAGAAGCAAGGTATCCGACACTCTACCGTTATTGTACTTTTATGTTCATGATTCTGGGTCACTTATTGGCGGACTCCTGTAAAGGTCCTATTACTCGTGGGACGATCTCTACATATTGATACTTCGAATGATCCTGTTGACTATTTAGAGAGATTCTGTTTCATAGATATATCCATGCTACGCTCTGATCACATTTTGAACCCTGTTATAAGTAGCAGCATAATGTTTACCGATATTCGATAAATATCTGAAAACGTACTCCGTACACAGGCGACAGGTTAATATAGTCTATAGTACATTGTACTAATCGTGCGCTGTGGCCCCGGGGAGATATGCAAGTGGGGAATCGGGCACGGTTATTTCAAATATGATGCCTTATGTACGAAGTACAGAGTACTCCGTCAAAAAAAAAACGTTCGGTTCGCGCGGATTCTGGACAAGGTCCGTGAACCTCCGGTCGATCATTATGGATCTGATGCCAGATTCTACATTGAACCCTAGGAAAGGGTGATCGCCAGGGCCTATAGAATTATTATATTTTGTGGCTGAGGTGCCCCTAAGCGAAGTTGATAGCTGATCGGAGATTGCTTACGGAGTACTCTGCGCTACGTGCTACAGCATAAGTACTGGTACCTAGGGATGTATCAGTCTTCGCCCCATGTTGAGTGATCGACCAACATTGCCGGGCGAATCATATTAACAGGATATGGCTCCGACACATTCCCGCAAGCTTTTCTCGAAAATGTAAGTTCTGACTGTTTTGTCTTGATTTCAGATCATTCTACTTTGAAATCGCTGCATGTTTTTAATGATAAATAAGCACAACAAACTGCGACCTGGAGGTAGCTTCTACCGTCTGGGCTCCGTAACATCCGTCAATATGGCCATGAGAAGAAATGGGAAAATCAACTTAAACAGGCAAATTACCATATGCGGTTAGTCTCACCTCCGAGCAACTGACCCATAATACACGTGATATCAAGCGAAGATAGTGGGCCAACTTTGGCCAATCAGAAGCTGCTTACCAGACTTTGAGACCAATCTTAAATGCTTGGCAACAAATCTCTTCTTTGTCAAATATAAACTTGTATTGAATTCACATCATCAAGCATCAGTCTAACTTTTGCTAAAATAGAAAGAATTTTCCCTTTCTTCTCCTTGTAAATCATTTTACTCCCCACTTCAAGTTTGAATTTTCATCAAAACAATTAACTGCAGTTTCTTGAAGAAATTTTTAGTTTAGACCGTCATGGAAGGTCTTCAACTCGGCAATGACACTCAGCTGTACTCATCTATGGCTGGGAAGCTGGACTCCAAGCTCCTCAAAGCCCTTGATGTGATGGGATTTACCAACATGACCCCTGTCCAGCAGCGTGTTTTGACCGAACTTCCAAACTGGCGCAGTGACTGTCTTGTCCAGGCCAAAACTGGAACTGGAAAAACCCTTGCTTTTTTGTTGCCCGCATTGCACTGCCTGCTCCAAGGTGATTCTGCACCACCCAAAGGCAAGGTTGGCATTTTGATCATTACCCCAACCCGGGAACTTGCCCAGCAAATTGCAAAGGCGTGTGATCAACTAACATCTCAACTTCCCACTCCTCTTGAATGCCATGTTGCAGTTGGTGGAACCGCCCGAGCAACTGCTCATTCGCGCTTCATGAAGGGCGCTCCATCCATTCTTGTCGCCACTCCGGGACGACTGTGTGACTACTTATCTCAAACTCCCACCGCCAAGAAGCTGTCTAACATCCAAACCTTGGTGTTGGATGAAGCGGACACAATGCTTGAAAGTGGTTTTATTGCAGATGTGAAGCGAATTCTCCAGCTCATCCCACAAAAGAGCACCGGGTGGCAAGGCATGTGCTTCTCGGCCACGGTCCCGCCCAAAGTCAAGGATGTGGTCAATATTGTGTTGAAGAGAGACTACACCAGCATCTCCACCATTGATAAGAATGAATCACCCACCCATGAGAGGGTCCCCCAGTACCACGTGCTGATGCCGTCTGTGGCAGATACCTTCACCACACTTGCCTCCCTACTCAAGCATGAAATCAAGAATAGCTCGAAAATTATCGTCTTCGGTGTGACTGCACACATGGTTGCTCTCCTCGCAGGAGTCTTCTGCAAGGGCATGATTCACTTGAAGGTGTTCGAGATCCACTCCAGACTCAACCAGGGTGCTCGCACAAGAACCACGAATCAATTCAAGGAGGCCGAATCCGGAATCCTATTCGCTTCAGATGTTATTGGTCGTGGTATGGATTTCCCCAACGTCGACTTGGTCATCCAGGTCGGTTTACCATCGAATGGCGAACAGTACGTTCACCGTGTCGGTCGTACCGCTCGTGCGGGAGCTGATGGCCGCGCTATCATTCTCCTCACCGAGGGCGAGTCGTTCTTTATGAAGCAAAACCGCCACTTACCAATCAAGCCCCACCCTGAGACCGAAGCGATCAATGCTGGCGCTCCTTCATGCTCCAAAGCTGTCTTGCAGGCCATGTACACAATTGAGGAGGAGTCGAAGCAACGTGCCTACTCGTCTTTCATTGGCTTCTTCGCTGGATCGGGTCTTCTGAGGCAACTTCGTCTTGACAAGGCTGGCCTTGTTCAACTCGCCAATGAGATGGCTGTCAAGGGCATGGGATGCCCCGAGCCTCCCCCAATGGATAGAAAGGTTATTGGCAAGATGGGTCTGAAAGGCGTTCCGGGTTTCACCTATGCCGACCCAAATGAAATAAACCGAAGCGGATCCTCTAGACCTCGCAGTTCTTCCCGAGGTGGCAAGAGTCGTGACGCACTTAGCCCCGGAGCTGGTCAAGGAGACCGAGGTGGTATTGAGAAGCGTGGAGGAGGCCGTGGTGGCCGTGGTGGGCGTGGCGCACGTCGTGGTGGCGGTGGGCGTGGCAAGCCGAGATCATAAGCCCCAAAGCATATTGATTTCAAATACAGCGCACTAAAATTAGACACTAGAGACTTAACGACCTGCTACACAATTCATCAATCGAAACAAAATTTAACTTGCGAGTAGACATCCTGATCGTAAAGCCAACATCTGCCTACCATAGTCCCCATTTAATCCATAGGAAAAGCCAAACCCTAAAATTTACTCCCCTAGGTTTTGACATAATTGACACAGTGTCATGATTGATCTTGACAGTTGTTTGGGATCGGTCAGGTGATCGCGGGTGAACAACAACATTTAGAGCTTCAAGTTTCCCGCCATTCCACCACGTCATTCTTTTTTGAGGGCGACTAGCTTGCCTTAAGATATCCGCCTAATATGGATGCGAGCTATAAAGCTCGCAAGGAGGCCTTTGTGTCTAACCTTGCGGGAAGCACAATCCTCGAGATCAATACAGTCACACTCGTTGCTTCAGTGAGAAACCTAAACCTAAACTTGATACAATTCTGACCTGTGACCAGACATCTGTCCTCCTTTGGTCCGCGCTCCAGTCTCGTTTGTCCTTCTTCACACCCTACGGTCCTGCGGCACTCGCGACCGACTTCATCCTCAATGTACTAGCCATCTTATTCGCAACGACCGCATATTCGTCCGCGCCGCTTCTCCTCAACATCTTCCTTCTCTCCCCTGCGGTCCTCCTTTTCCTCACCCGAAACGGTCTGCGCAAATCCCCAAAAGCCAAACCTCCCCGCAAATCCAAGAATGAGAAACAGGAACAGCAGGTCTTGCCAATTCACCCATTCTTGACCACATACCGCGCAGCCATGATGATTGTTACCTGCATAGCCATTCTCGCAGTCGACTTCCGCGCGTTCCCACGTCGTTTTGCCAAGGTAGAGAACTGGGGAACATCTCTAATGGACTTGGGCGTGGGCTCCTTCGTCTTCTCCGCCGGAGTAGTCTCTGCGCGTGCGGTTCTGAAGGGACAAAACAAAGAATCCCCGAGATTAGCTTTGCATAAGAGATTAATTGGGTCGGCTCGGCACTCTATTCCTCTGCTTGTGCTAGGCCTCATCCGACTGTGGAGTGTCAAAGGATTGGACTATGCGGAACATGTGACGGAATATGGTGTACACTGGAACTTTTTTTTCACGCTTGGCTTTTTGCCTCCTTTCGTGGAGCTATTTGACTCCTTGACTGCATTGATCCCCTCCTATGAGTTGCTTGCACTTGGAATTGCAGTACTCTACCAAGTCGCTCTGGAGTCAACTGATCTCAAGGGTTACATTCTCGTGTCTCCTCGGGGGCCAGATCTGCTGTCAAAGAACCGCGAGGGGGTCTTTTCTTTCATTGGATATTTTGCGATATTCCTCGCTGGACGGGGTGTTGGAGTCCGCATCATTCCTCGTGGTACTTCGGCCACAAAATCGCCCCAGAAGGCGCGAAACTCTGTTCTGATGCGCCTGGTCATGCAGGCTTTGTTCTGGTCAATCATGTTTTTCTTCAATTCCACCTACGCATCCGGCTATGGTGCCAACATCCCAGTGTCACGCCGGTTGGCTAACATGCCGTATGTGCTTTGGGTGGCAGCATTCAATAGTGCCCAACTCTTCCTCTTCTGTCTGACCGAGACTGTGTTCTTCCCCGCGGTCCACCGAGCGACTAACAAGGAAGACGAGGCAGAGCAGACATCCTTTGCGACTAGTCGGATTCTACATGCCTTCAACCGCTGTGGGCTTGCACTGTTCCTAATCGCGAACGTACTTACTGGCGCAGTGAACCTGAGCATTCCAACATTGGATCTCGACACCCCGCAGGCCATGGGCATTCTAGTTGTCTATGCAGCGGTGCTAACTGGTGCTGCTCTGGGGATGGACAAGTACAATATCAAGTTGAGCCTGTAGATACGTATATATTATTCGACATAAAAACAATGCATATAAATATGTATGCTGGCCCTAACAATTCTCCGCGCCTGGATATATATAACTCTGCATTAGCGTAGGTAGCCACGGGGGTGATGATATCATTGGTAGAGCAACCTAAGCCACCCCCGAGAATTGCGAGTTGCGCAAAATCATTCTGCCACCAACACTATGCCCTCCAAAGAATCTTTTCTTAATTACCCCCCAGCACGTGAGGGTCCCGAGGTGCCATACAAGCATGAAGACCAGGTCCTGCCAGTGTTCCGCGGCACGACTCTAGCCATCGGCGCTACATTGTACGAGGAGAGTCTGCCCAAAAAATTGCAAGGTGCTAATTTCCTGCTCTGTAGAATTCATAATGTAGGATTTATCCAGAGCCATTTCTGGCGCAATGCCGGCTTCGGTGTCATTCGTGAAATCTCCCATCTAGGCCAGTACGCCGGCCGCTACGATCCAACCGTCATCCCGGTCGACAATACCAGCCAGATCGAGTCGGCACTGAAACAGCAAGTGGAGCGCAGAAAGGGAAACCGTGGGTACTATACTTCCGCGGACTACCACGCGCTCTACTCCTCGGGGGAGCTGACTCCGACCGTTGTCATCGAGACGCTATTGCCTCTGGTCCGACGTGATACTCAACCGCCCGGGAAACATTCAACTGCTTTTATTGAGTCTCAGGTCACTTTGATTCGTGCAGCAGCGGAAGAATCGACGAAGCGATACAAGCAGGGCCAATGGTTGGGCCCACTCGACGGTGTGCCGGTCGCGGTGAAGGATGAGGTGCACCTCACGGGCTATAACCGCACGCTAGGCTCAAAGTTGGATTTCAAGCATGGTACCGATGAGACTTCGTGGTGTGTGAAGCAATGGCTGGACGCCGGAGCTCTAATCATCGGAAAAACTTCGATGCATGAGCTTGGACTAGGTGAGCGAGCCCCTTTCCTCCTTTTGGGAACATGGCTAAGACTCTTCAGACACAAACAACAACAATCCTAACTATGGAACACCTAGAAACCCCCACAATAAGGAGTACTATTGTGGCGGTTCATCTGGTGGCTCCGGATATGCTGTCGCAGCGGGCCTTGTACCTATTGCGCTTGGCGCAGACGGCGGAGGCTCGATTCGTATCCCCTCCTCGTTTTGTGGCATCTGGGGCTTGAAACCTTCACATGGCCGTGTGTCCGGTGCGCCATCCCAAAGCCTCGCGCCCACTGTTGGTGTTCTCGGGCCTATGGCTGCTAGCATCGATGACCTCGCCCTCGCTTATCGCCTCATGGCTGCTCCAGCGCCAGCTTCAGAAGACCCGATTTCATCACAGTTCCCGTATCCAGCTCCCCCGCAACCTGACACCAAAAACACAAAAACAATTGGTATTGTCCGCGACTGGGTTGAGCGCGCCGAGGGCCCTGTGCGCGCTGTGCTTGATCGGGCGCTCGACTACTACAGCGCGCAAGGCTACAATGTTATCGATATCACAATTCCTTATCTGCTTGAGGGTCAGCGTGCCCACGCCCTTACGATCATGGCTGAGATCGCATCGGGCGTTGATGCAAGCAAGATCCGGCAGCTCACGGCCCCGAACAAAGTGCTGATCTCTATGGGTATGTATCAGATTACCGCGCAGGACTTGCTAGCCTCTCAGCGCCTGCGCAATCTTCTCATGACACATCTCGCGCATCTCTTCAAGACCCACCCTGGGCTGCTCATCGTCTCGCCCACAACGCCCATTCCCGGATGGCATATTGACGGTGAGGCGGACTTGTCTCAAGGTTTATCGGATACTAAATCATCTGTCCGCAATATGGAATACGTTTGGCTGGCCAACTTTAGTGGCTGCCCTGCCATCAATTGTCCTGCTGGTTATACCCCGGATGGCGGTGTGCCTATCGGATTAATGGCCATGAGCGAATGGGGTAGCGAGGAAGAGCTGATCGCCTTTGCTCGAGATGGAGAGCCTATCTTGGACCTGCCTAGTAGCAGTCCTTTGCTTGATGAAAACGGGATTACATTGGCTAATAATAAGGGCCTGCGGACTCCTAGTCATGTATGGGAAGATATTATTGTTCAGGCTAAGGAGAAGATAGCTATCTAAGACCAACTTGCTATTCATGTATATATTTCCCATTCATGTATAAGTTCTCTTTTATTCGTTCCAAATAGCTCTCAACTCTTTCTTAAAGGGGTCAAAAGACCCGTACGAGAAAATGTGTTCCAATTTTTTTTTACCAAGGCAAAATTGGCTGGTGATGCACCGATTTTGAGCCGCAATGTGACTCTCCCTCTGAGGTTTCCCTGACATTTTCTGGCGTTTCTGTTTTACATATGGGATTATGATCAAAGCTTCTAATGAAACCCCTAAAATTGGGCTGTGGACTTGGTGAATACTTACGATAGTGTAGTTAACATAGTAATTACATATACACCTAGGCAAATATGATATAACAGAGTAGTGAATACTCTCTTCTCTTGCCGATTTGTTCCCCCTCACTCCTGAGTACCTGGAAGATTTCTATTACAATTTTAGAAAAGAATGAGGAATCAGAAAGTTATGACAGATTATGACAGGTTATGACGAGTTATGATCGAGCACAAGGGAGACTTTGGCTACTCCGTATACATGTTGCATATGATTCAGAAAGCTGTTCAGTCTAGTATTGGATGTAGAGTGTAAACTGTAAACGAATATTGATTGATTCTATATCGAGTGATCAACCACCCGAATAATTGGATCTTCCGGCTACCCGGTTACCGGATGTGAAGTTTACCACTGCCGATGCAGGCTGATGCAGGTGGATGCAAGTTAGGGCAAGTTAGTGCAAGTTGTTTTCGATTGCCCATTTTCCTGCAATATCATGTGGCAATGCACTTATGTACTGATTCCTGTTCTGGTTCCTGTTCTGGTTCCGTCTCTAGTTAAAAGGGGGAAGTTATTGAAGGTAAGACCTAACTTTTAAGAGACTTTTAGGAATTATTCAGTGATACTTGAGGTACCGATCGTACAAATCGTACATATCCATCGGGCTATTACGACTAGTGCAGTAGATCCATCGCTAGTAACGTGATATCATGCATATTACCTATCTCCTTATTGAGCCATCCATCCAATATTCTTGGCAGCGTGACCTTGCTATTAGAGAATCAATAATAGCCCTGAAGTGTCTTGATCTAACATAAAAGGGTCCATGTGCACCATCAACATCAGACATCCTCTCATACACTTCCATTGATACAATCCACCTAAAATTTCAAACAAGATGCAGGTAGCGTCTACTTATTCTCCCGTCTGCCCGGGCTCAACCATTCCTTCGGTATTCGAGACCGTGCAAGGCAACAAAGTCCCTGTCTTCTTTTCGCGCTACCCCGCCGGAATCAGCATTGCCGCTCGAGAAGTCGAAGATGCTGTCAGAAAGATTGATGAGGAAGCTTCCGAGGAAGGCACAAGAGAAAGGCATCAAGCAATAGTTCGACACGCCAACCCTTATGGTAGCTTCTTCACCATTGGCCACTGCTCAGCCTTTCCCGAAAGACTAGTTCTGTTTTCCACTCTGGCCGAGGTGCTATGGCTCCATGATGGTAAGACATCAATTTACTTTATATATAAGTAGTATGCTGATGAACTATCTGAAGATGTGACAGAGGAGATGGATCATGCCTCTGTAAGAACCCCCTGAACCCTGAACCCTAAAGCCCAAATCCATCTAACAGTCTATAGGCATGCCGAGAGCACGATGAGATGTTAAAGGTCCTTCAACTTAACATTGATCAATCGATCTTTGAGTCGGGAAGCATGCGACAAAAGGCGCTGGCAGTTGTGCTTCAAAAGGCAATTGACATTGATCCCAAGGAAGCTCCTACTATGATCAAGGAGCTGAGAAAATATCTGGCAACATTCGACTGCATCGGCGGTGACTTCACACAGATGGAGGATTATATGCCCTACCGGATTGCCAACAGTGGCTACTGGTAAGTTCATCAAAAAGTGAAAAGGAAAAAAAGTCTAACGATTATTAAGGATGTCTTCTTACTTCATCCGATGGGGAATGAATATGACCCTCACTGAGGAGGAATACGCCAGTGTCGAGCAATTCGACATTGCAATGGGAAATGTCGTCGGTCTGACCAATGATTACTTCAGTTGGAATGTCGAGAAAGACTCACAGACAGATCGACTGAGGAATGGAGTGATGGTTTTGATGAAAGAGCATCAAACCACGGCCGATGCGGCAAAAGCGATGCTTCTTGGTGTTATCGTGGAACAAGAGTCTTTGGCTGCAAAGCTCAAGGAGGAAAGATTGAAGAAACCCGCTTCAAAGAAGATCTTGCAATACTTCGAGGCTATTGAGCTGTACGTCGGTGGAAGCTGCTATTGGCACTCGACTGCGCCTCGGTATCAGATCTTTGAATGAAAACACCTTTTGCATTTTATTTTATAGAGGAATAGATTTGTCTTGCGTTTTACAGATGCCTAAACATGAACAAGTAGAGCGTAAAATCCAAGCGGATACATAGAATGACTATCTGGGTGGTTCAGTTGTATTCTAGCGTAGGCAAAGCTGCACTAAATGGACTCGGGTATACATGAATAAAACGCTGCGTTAAACAAAAGGCCTCATAATTTCCTACGCTTCAAATCCATATTCCCTCAAGAGGATTCGGGATAAAGAATTCACAACCTAGATGGGCTGCTTCACCATGATCCTGGAGCTCCTTCAGGATCTGTTCTCCAGGATGAGGCCCATCAGTAAGATTCTCCTTGATGTGAATAATGTAGACCCGTAATCCCTCTAGAGGAAGTGGCGTAGTATCAGCCCAAGTCTCAGGGTCTGGATTTTCCAGAATATCTCCGAAATCCACTCTGGGGATCTGGGGAATCTCGAATGACTCGCTAGGATGTAATGGAGGCTCGATGAGCGACTCGGAGGTTCTGTCTTTATCGACAGAACTTAAATTCCGAGGGCTCACTTGCTCGCTGCTGCTCGGGCCTACAGGTTCGCGCTTGCGCTTTTTCATGCCAGTGTTCGAATCCCGCACTTCCACGACTCTGTTGGCTAGCACACTGAGCTCAGAGACTAGATGTCGCGGACACATGTGGCCGTACAGATATGAATCATCGGTGCTGTCATTGTAGGAACACTCGATGAAGATCGCTCGTAGTTTGCCCATAGCGATTTTGGATGCGGCGGTTTCCCAAACTCGTTTGTTGTGGGTTCCCATAGATACCGAGTCGGGCTCGACGTCACCGAAGACAATGATCTCGCAGCCGGTGTGATGATCGCGCAGGAAGAAGGCCGAGCTTTCGACTGTTGCCATCATTGGCTCTTTGTTGGATGGGAGTAGACGAGGGGAGCGAGCGGGAGAATAAAAACTGGCAACGATTTCTTGTTTAGGGTAAAAAAAGAACAAAAAGTGTAAACCGACTTACCTATCGGTATGGTCCACTGAAATCGCCCTGGAGGGAAGCATCAATTGGTGATCAGAAAAGACGGTACTTCCAACTCGATGATGGGTCCCGCTTTCTGGATGGTATCGCTGCTTGCACCGGCCATGACTAACACTCAAGCATTTTGTCAATAAGCCATTGCATGCCCTCACATACCCTCTACTCTCTCCACGACCGAAACGAGGGTTCCCACCTTCCACCAGGCGCTGATATGTGAGCAGACCAGCCCCGCCGTCCTCGTCCGACAAGTTAGGCCAAATGACATCGTTGAACATGTGGTTTTTGATGGCAGATAACACAGACGGTAAAGCAGCTACAGGCTTTGGTCCGTTACCGGCCTCCAGAATTGGTGTATTAATAGCGAGCCCTGAAATATGGTCTAGATGAGGATGCGTGATGAGAACAGCACCGATGATTTCGCGAAATACATGAGCTGCGTTTGCCTGTGCGGTTCTGTAGGGCAGCTCAAGCCCCTGAAAGGGCCCACTTGTCATTATCCCCTGATCATCCTTGCATTCGGGGATGTATCCTTCCAGCAATCGAATGATACCGGCAAGAAGGGTACCTGCGTCAACAGCTACCACCGAGTTTGAAGACCATTTCGTCGACGTTGACCGAACAAGAATGCCTGTAACACTATCTTCACGGGGTCCACCAGTTGGGCCCTGAGGGAAAGTCAGCATTTAGCAAAGTAGATTCTTTTTGTAAAAGCTAGAACCATTAGGCAAGTTGACATCAACCCTGCACGTGACGTGTTCTACTTTGAACTTACCAAGACAATGACTTGGAATGCTGCCTTGGGGTCGGTCTCGCCCATCATCGACATGCGAGACACGAACAACAAGTTGGACTTGTCACAGATCAAAAGCGAGTAAAACTGCCCGAGCGCGCCTATTCCCCAATAGTGCGCGGGTCTCAGTAGCAGGGGGTTCTGGGCTGGCTCAAATAAATTGGTTGATGGCCAAACCGTGGGATATGAGAGGCGGGCTAATTAAAGCAAAAAAAGAAAAGAAAGGCGTTACGGTAATAGCCCCCACACGGGTTGCGATTCAGACTGTTCAAAGATAGTCCAAAACTAACAGCGCTCTGCATAGATGTCATGCAAAATGTACACCTCGACAGTGTCTACACAGAAATCCGGAGGCTGGTAGGCAGAGTGGAGATAAGAGAACTCCAATTTCGTGTTTCCCCCAGCTCGTATCACAACGGGGCGCGCCTTGTAGGACAATGCAAGCAAATAGCAGTGCCGATTGGAGGATAATTGTTTCGGAGTCTAAGAGAGGGTTGGAGTTGTAGACACCGGAAGTGTGAGAGGAGTGGACCTGGTGGAGCTGGGGTTAAGTGGAGTGTGATGTGCAACAGAGCCACAGATATGGAAAGATCTGATATTAGATCGAGTGTTGGAGTGTTTTTTTTTAAAAAAAAAAATGTGTGTTAGAGGTCTTTGAAGGTCTTTGAAGGTGTACTTTATAGTCGTAGATCTTCCAAGGTTGGAACTTCTAAGTGGACGATGACGTCCCTACGACCTCATTACACAATCCAGATGTCCGTGAGATAGTATTTTTCGAATGTGTCAAGTGTGTAGTTGATCGGTATCTGGACTGTCTATATATCTGCCGACCTAATTTCAAATATATAGAAGTTGAAAGAGGGTATGCGGTTTAAAAGGGCAAGGATAGCAAAAACAACTGTGCCCCATGAATTCATTGATTCAGGACACAAAGTCCATTCCAATACATAAAAAAATCTGGCTTCGCCAATTGCTATAACGCCTTCCGTTAGCCCGCTAAATAAAACGACAAAAAAATGATCAGACAAAGCCTCTCATGCGCGCCACGAGATATGTTCAGGTTTAGGGGTTTATTCAGGAGTGTCCTGAGTTGTGTTCATTTAGATCTCTTTCTACCACTGTTTGGTAGCTTGGTAGATATTGAGAATTGATCGAGTCATTTGATGGAGAGTTGTGGTCAGAAGCTCTTGGGAATTCAAGAGAGGCATCACTGCCCCTACGACTGCCGTCGGGACTAGAATACTCTGGGGGAGGGGCCTCTTGATTATCAGGAGCTGCTTCATCCGCATCGGCCAAAGCAAAACGACTGGACCCTTCGCCAGCATCTTCATGAGAAGGAATGTGGGTCAGCTGAGCAAGGGAAATGTCAGTTGGTGATCGAGAAGGACCTGGGCTGGGCGCCGGAGGAATCCTGACACTTGAGCCTGAGGCTGCGTAGTTTGAATTTTGGTAAACACGCTGGGAGATTTGAGCCGCACTCTCGCGGCCGGACTCAAGTAGAATGCTGCCTTGTTCGCTGCCATAGGGCGGGGGTGGGGCGAGGCTGCCAGTCATAGGGGCCAAGCCCCATTTCTTGACATTGCCCTCGATGAATACGAATCCCATTTGGCCAAAGTTCACGTGGATAGTGCAAGGTCCGTTAGCACCGATGGTGGGGAAGAGGTTTTGTGAGCGATAGTTGTGAGCCACGTCTTCTAATTTCTTGCCGTTGCGTGTGAAGAAGACGGTGCCAGATCGAGGTCGGTAGCCTACACCAACAACATCGCCCTGAAGTAGTGGAGGCCCGTATGGGGTGGGATTAAATGGTTGGTTGAGTCTGCGATGTCCCGTGGATTGGTAGGCAACAGAGGATTTATGAAAGCCTAGGTTGTTAGAATCTTGATGTACAAAAAAAAGGGTCTAACATACCAGGCATTCGGAACAGGGGGTATGGTTTCGTAGTCACACCGATGCCAATCATAGTCGAGTCAGGCTTATCGTATATCTTCGCCTCCCAGTAGTAGACATCATTTTGCTTGGGGATTGGTAGGTTGGTCTGTACACTGCACTCCGAGTCAAAGAACTCAATCTCTGTTCGTCCTTCCACAAAGCAATTTGCAATTTCCAGCTCTGGCTGGAATTCCCACGCAGATACGCCTTTTTCTTGGATCGCGAGGAACTGCGATAGGGATATGTCGGTTTGCACAGATTCGGGGGGGTTTCCTTGAACAAAAGCTGCGACCGTTAGTAAAGCGATCTTTAGGGTCACATGTAATCTCACCTTTCGCTCTCAAGTATTCCGATCGCGCTAAGTCATCCATTGACCCTAGAGCCGCTTCTTCCTCACGCGCAAAGGCTTGCTCGTCGTCGTATTCACCGGGCCTGCCGATGCGATCGAGCATAATCCGGCCCGGACGGGTATATTTGAAGAAGAAAAAGATCGCTAGAACGACAAATGCGACAGCAGCCGAGCCAAACGCGGACAAGATCCCAATCAAGATGCCTTTCCCGGTTGACCCGGTCGAGTTGCCACTGGTCAGCACAGGCTCCTGACGGAACTCCATCGACAAAGAGGAGAGCACATTTTGTAGATTCGCTTGGAGTTGGTGCTGTGAAAGTGATGGATCGTTTTGTACTGGTGGTGATGTTGAGGAGACAAAGCTAATCGGTGACGTCGTCGGATTGCCTATCATCGTTCTCAGGGTTGATGGTAGGCCTGCGAGCGCATCGGGGCTCGAAGCCTCAGGACCCTGCATCGTTCATGTGTCAAGTGAGAGTATAAAGAAACAGAAAAAGTCGGGAAATGTTGAGATGATGTGTAAAGAGTAGGGGGGTGTGTGTGAGTGAGAGAGAGATGGATGCCCAGGTGGATAAGTGGGCGGGTTATCTAAGAATCCAACGTTTCCGGTCCACAGGTCTTGGAGGACCTAGAGCCCTGTAGGAACAATGCAAGGCAATGTACAAATCTATTCCTGGATTCCAGGCTCCTAGAATATTTTGAATGCGATGTCTTTATAGAGGTTTTACTTCAGTAAGGAAGATATAACCCTGCCTAATATAACGGAGGCATCCCTGCTCAGTAAAAGCGGTTAGAAGGTCATGTGACCGCCACCTGCAATCAAACTTCCACAGGGCTCTCCTAAGGAGTTACATCAGAGCATTTAACGTATTTCACATGCGAGCTGGACACACAAGCGAGCTGGACACCCCACCCAAAACGTGTTAATTAATTCAACCCTTTATTCTTCAACCACCCACCATGCCACCAATACGCTCCCGAAGCTCTAAAAATTCAACAGAGCAAGAGGATATGATTTTACTAGCTATCCAGGCTTTTAAGAATCAAGAGATCAGCTCTATTCGTGAGGCAGCGCGCCGATTTAATATACCGAATTCAACGCTCTCCACCCGTCTCTATAGGGTACAAAACCGCGCGACTTCTCGCGCCAATTTATATAAATTGACAGAAATCGAAGAGGAATCTCTTTTAAAAAAATAGATTCTCTCTATAGATCTACGTGGAGCAGCCCCTCGGCCTTTACCGTTCGAGAAATAGCGAATCTTCTCCTTGAAAAGCGCGGAACTACTCCGGTTCTTTCGGTCGGCGAAAATTGGGTTACAAACTTCGTTAAAAGACGATCTCTTCTCTCCTACCGATTCTCGAAACGATATAACTACGAGCGTGCGAAATATAAAGAGCCTGAAATCATTAGGGAGTGGTTCAATTTGGTTCAAAAGACAATCCTTCAATATAGAATCGATCCTAACGATATCTATAACTTTGATAAGACTGGTTTCGCGATAGGATTGACTGTAACTGCGAAGGTTATTATAAGGAGTGAATACTATAGTCGGAGGCCGGTTTTACAACCTAGAAATCGTGAATAGGTGACGGTGGTTGAATATACGAATACTTCTGGCTGGGCCCTTTTTCCGTGTATGATTTGTGAAGGCAAAGTCTTTATTAAATCATGGTTTAACGGCCTCCCGGGGGATTGGCGCTTCGAAGTTAGTCCTAACAGTTAGACCTCTGATAAAATTGGACTTCGGTGGCTTAAGAAGCTCTTTATTCCTAGTACTTCGCGTACGAAGGGGCTTTTGATACTTAATAGTAGGCTGCGGCACGATCCACAATATCCGCAAACTGCGGATTTGGATATCAAACAATACTGTCGAATGATGGTGTTGACAGGTCATGTGATCTCCCAGTACTTAAGTCTTAGCATGCAGATAGTTTCTTCTCTTCTTTTCTCTCCTTACGCGCAATACAGAGATTTCCAGTTACCCCTACATCTTCATTGTAGTTACTGCATATCTCCCTCAGATGGAGTACTGGGATGACTTGATACCAGGAGCTTACTGTACAGAGCAAGTGGTAAAATGAGTGTGTATTTCAAAGAGTGCTAAGCAGCTCACTAAATAGCTCCTGAATGCCAAGAAGTGGCAGAAAGTGGGTCTACAAGTGGTTCATGGATATGCCAAGTGGACCAATGAAAATACGTTGCAGCAAAGGCGGTCATTTTGGCTGACACTTAATTTAGGTAAGTGGATTATTCCACAGTAAGAGTTTCACCAATAAGGAACAGGCACCTTCGTTCCTATCAACCTTTCAAACCTTAGGGTTTATAGCTGTCGTATATACGTGAGAATCTAGGGGATTCCTCAATCAGATAAAATGCACTGCAGAGCTGAAATCGGCTACTTAGTAGGATACCGAGCAAGCAATATCTGGAAAGTCTGGTTCCCGCGTACGAATAGCTACAAATACGTTCGTGACGCAACTTTTAATAAGAGCCTGAATTACAGGAAGCATCCCTCCGAGCCCCTAAAGATCCGGTAAGTCGAATACACCGAAGTTATCAGCGAGGATAAACTCGATACAGAACTTAAGTAAGCTTTCATCGTTGAATTCATGCTTCTGACTGGTGTTGGGATAATAATGATTGGTTGGGGTAACAGTACGGCCTACAACATGGTTGGAATATATTTCGCTGTTATTGGAAACAACTGTGCCATTCCAACTGTGTTGGCCTTCTTGTCAAACAATGTTGTTGGCTCGAGCAAAAGGCAAATTGCTGTTCCGCTTCAGACCAGCCTGGCCGCTATTGGGGGAATTTTTGGATCACTGGTGTTTTGGGAGCAGGACTATCCCGGATATCGCCCTGGGCTATACGCTTCTATTGCTTGCTTGGTGGTTTGCATCCTAATAACCCTGTTTATCACTGCATTCTTTCGCCGTGAGAACCAAGCCGCCGACAAAAAGGGGAAGATATTGGAAGGGCTTGAAGGCTATCGCTACACGCTTTGAGTAGGTAATTAGCACAGCTTTCAAGACAGACAACGTTTGGAATTGAACCCACGCTCAGTATAAGACGATAATACTAGACCTCTGTTCTTGAAAACCCAAGAGCTTCAGAAATCTGAATCATTTGGTTCAAAAAATATTCTTTAGGCTTATATCTTAAGATAACACTACCACGTCTTTTTTTTGTGCTCTTTCTAGATGCCATTGACCTTTCTAGTGTTATTGCTAAAATGATGGAAATGATTGGCCATAAAAATGCTGAATGAGGTTTTAGGCAAATGATATGTAAAGTCAGGGTGTGTGTGCAATATACAAAATGACTTTTCTATGTATCAACTTTGAAAAATGGATCTATATGATCTATATTCACTAGGTTGCCCGTGTTAATAACAATGGGTTTCAAGTCTGCGAAAAAACACTAACAAGGCTTGTAAGGTCTTCACGAGGCCTAATGGCTCAGTCCTTTGAGTTAGTATTTTTAAGAAACCCATGACAAGGGATTTCCCTAGAACAAGGGAAATTAAAAGGCTCATCAAAAGATGTAGAAATCAACTTCATTTCAGCCTAACAACCCCAAAATAGGAACTATACTAGAAATACAATCAAAGCATTTTGTCTGGTTCATCCAAGTACCATGTCGAGTTCATTCCCGGGGCCTCCAATGTAGAAAACCCATTACCCAAGTATTGGAATCTGTTTTTGGACCAGTGTGTAAATTCAAAGTCCTCTCCTCGGAAGCTCTGCAGCATGTGGAACCAATGAATACAACTTCCCGGGTGCAATGCTGTAACAGGGCCATCCTTTTCCCCGTTCTTGAACCAAGAACTACAGCTTCCTGCCCAAGCAGTTCGAGGCATAAAAGCTGCGATATGCTCGGCAAATTCGTCCACGACATCCTGCCTCGGAATTATCGATTTGATACCTTCTTCCTGGCACTTTCGAATGATCCGAGTGATGTATTTTCCCACGTGCTCGGTGATGGTCAGCACACTACCATGTCCGATAGGTGCGTTTGGTCCCAAAAACACTTTCAAAATTAGCCTTTAGGTTCACCTTCCCTAAAAATCTACTCACTGAAGTAGTTTGGCATGCTGGGCACTGCGAGCGACATGTAGCATGATGGCAGTCCTTGAGTCCATATGTCTTGGAGATTGCCCTTTCTCCCAATAATTGGAAATCGAGGACAAAATGAAACATTGAATCCACTATTGCATCAACTTCGATCATTTGCCCCTGGTCTGTTACGAGACCATTCTCATAGATTTCGGCAATACCATGCATGGGTCACGATTTGGACGTTGTCTTTGTGAAACGCATCCAAGTATGCCGAGCTTGGTGTAATACGTCGACATCCGAAAGGGAAATCAGGTACCAGCTTGCTGATAAGCTCCTGGTTGCCTTTTAAGGCTTGGGTCATATACTTGATCATATTTTCTTTCACAACATCCGCCAATGGAGATGAGGTAACAAGCTGCCTAGGGAATTAGTGCTAAACCTGACCAAAAGTAATTTCACTCACATAAGCAAACTTATTGTTAACCACCTCTTCTGTAGCTTTGATGAATTTGGTGTAAAATTCTTTGTCCGTCTCAAACTTGGTCATTTGACCTGATGTAAAACGATCTCCGTCAAGTTCTAGCTCTGACAGCACTTTGCCAGCTGTACTTTCAGCCATTCTGTCCACGCCCGCCAGGGCTACCCAGAGGGGCGATCGAACACAGTGAACAAGCGTTTCAACATCTGATTAAATAAGCGTTTGACCCTGTGAACAGTGACAAGACATTATACCTGGTTTCATAGCAGGTACAATTTGTACACCAGAAGACCCGTTTCCTATCACCGCCACACGCTTCCCTTTGTACGAAAAGTCCTCCTTCCAGTTTGCACTGTGGACTAGATCGCCTTTAAACGTGTGAAGACCCGAAATATCAGGCCACTTCCAGTTGCTGTATAACATATTAGCGCTTAGGGCTTATTGCTTTTGTTCAATGACTTACTTGGGAATCCCCAAGGCATCCAAAAGAAAGTGGGCCGAATCAGTCTTGACTGTGTCGGTGGTGAGGTTTCTCACACGAACTAGCCATAGGCCATCATCCTCGTTCCACTCTGCATGTTCGACCTGATGTTGCAACTTGATATTTAGGTCAAGATGTTCTCGAGTCGTCAAATCTTTGAAATAGCGGTGGATTTCTCCGGCTTCAGAGTAAAACTTGCTCCAGTGAGGGTTTGGCGCCCAGGAAAATTGGTAGTTATGGGAGGGAATATCGCATTGGCAACCGGGATATCTATTCTCGTACCAGGTGCCTCCAATATCCGGGTTCTTTTCGTAAACGACGGTTTCGGAGTTTGGGATACTGTTGCGAAGAGTGCGTATCATATTCAATCCACTCGCACCCGCTCCGATAATGATGATTTTCACATGATCAATAGATCCAAGAGGCTCTTCCGAAACAGTGTATGCATCATTGGCACTGTGTAATTCGCCGGCTGACTTGGACGCCATGATTTTGATGATATACCTAAAACAATCAAAAACAAGCTGATAGACAAGAGGTAACAGGTTTGCTGTTTTATATCTACAGTTAATACTTTAAGCTCATAGATCAACTAGAATTATCTTGTGATCTTACACGCTCGCTGTAGTCGGTAGATCCCCCGGATTTCGGCTCTCGCCTGGTTTGCGTCGCTGGGTTGAACTCGGCAGTCGGTACTGACCACAGTGCGACTCGGTCCAACTTCAGGTAAATTTTCACACACAGCCGAGGCACTCGTCCTTTTTGAGATTCTTCCAAGGGCATAAAGTCAGAGAGTTGAACTCATACAAACGCACATCAGCACATTACCTTCACTATGACGACCCCTACCCATATGAAGGCGACAGTTCTATCCAAGATTGGCGGACCTGACGGCTTCGAATTCTCAGATCGCGTACCTGTCCCTGAACTGAAAGATGGCTTCGTCATTGTCAGAAACACCTTTGCTAGCGTGAATTTCGCCGATGTGTATTTTCGGACTGGTGTCTACCCTAGCTCCCAAGACTCAAATTTGATCTTGGGCCAAGAGGCTTCTGGCTTTGTCGAAGCAGTACCAGAGAATAATCCATTTGGTATCCAAAAGGGCGATCGAGTAGTATGGATCTTTCAAGGCGGCTACGCACAGTACACAGCAGTTCCGATCACTCAAGTCATCAAGGTTCCATCTGGTATCGCGGATGAGGATGCAGCCGGAGTGTTCTTGGCGGGCATGACAGCGTTGACTTTGATTGACGAGGCTTTCACCGTGAAAGCTGGTGACAGTGTTCTTGTTCAGGCAGCTGCAGGAGGGGTAGGTCTTCTGCTTTGTCAAGCTCTTCGTGATCGGGGCGCATTGGTAATCGGAACTGCTGGAGGACGTGAGAAATGTGATCTGGCATTGCAGCACGGAGCGAGTCATATGATTGACTATCGGGAGGAGATGGACTGGCCTCAGAAGGTGCAGGAGTTGACAAACGGAGAAGGTGTTGATGTGGTAAGTCGAATTGTTCAAACTTCAGGCCAAGGGCCAGGGCTAAAAGCAAGCGCAAAGGTGTACGATGGCGTTGGGAAGGATACTTGGGAGGGCAGCCTTGCAGCAGTCAAGGTATTTGGAAAATTTGTGTTCATTGGCAATGCCAGTAAGTACAGCCAGGGCTCTGAGAAGCTATCTATTGATAACTAATGTTTTGTTCAGGTGGTCCAGTGCCCCTTTTTTCCCTCGATAGATTGACTGCGAAGAACATCTCTATCATGCGACCCACTTTGCGAAATTATATAAGTACAAGGGGGCGACTTGAGCGATATGGTAACAAGGCCCTTGATATGGTGAAGGCTGGAAAGTGGAAAGTCCAGAAGCATGGTCACTTCTATTCTTTAGAGGAAATAGAGCAGGCCCATAAAGACTTGGAAACCAGGGTTACCACCGGGAAAGTGTTAATTAGGGTTTAGCTTGAATACATAGCGCTTGATACAAACACATGAAGCTAATTTCACATTCTGATATATAGATATTAAATCCTAATAAGGGTTGGAAGGGGAATACCATCGAGTAAACCGTTGGGCTTAGGGTTACTGTCTCAGTAAAATAAGTGTTTATGAGAAATTGATTTTTAGGGGTTTTCAGTCATCTCCTTTCTCTATCTACATATTCTTTTGAGAGTTGACAACCTCACTCGCAATCGCAAGTGCATCTCTCCCAGCAGGAACACCACAATAGATCATAGCATGCCTGCAAGCTTCACAAATCTCTTCCTCTGATAAACCATTGTGAAGTCCTGCAGTGATATGAATACGCAACTCAGGGCCTCTGTTCAAAGCCGTGAGCATGGAAATATTCATTAATGATCGTTCGCGAAACTTCAAGCCGGGACGTGCGTAGCTCGAGAAGCAAACTTCAGCGATATACTCTTGACTCGCTTTGGCGAAGATGTCATTGCTCTAAATCTTTAGTTTAGTTTATTTTAGTAAGATTTTTCATAACTCACAGCATCCTTTCGTAGACTAGACAAAAGCTCCTCGCCAAGGAATTCCTTTGACATCTGGGCACCCAGGATCATTTTCTCAGAAGGAGTTTGCGCCATTGTGGTGTCCGTAGAAAGATTTGGGGTTGGACTGGACGTTTTGAGTTGAAACTGGAAGATTTGAGTTGGGACTGGTGTGAGAATCTAAAATAGTCCCATGATTACATTCTTTTATGCCTTTAAGGAATGGGATTCAATGTTCTATGATAAATCCCGAGGTCGAATAGCTACCGAATAGCGACGGTTCTCGGTGTATCGGCACAATACTTCAAACATGGAGTTCTTAGCCCTTTTTCTGATGCATAGTCTTATTAATCATGGCCATCATAAATCTTCTCTAGACTTCCTACTCTTGCGCTCTCACGACCTCATTAGACCAATATCAGTTCTTCATTCCCATGCTTGTAAACCGCGTCTCAGTGGCGAAGTATCTCACGATTTCTACATACCGATTGCCTTTGTATCATCCATCAGATTTTTCTTTTTGTTGAATCATCCTTCTCAGGTCCCTACATCTCCTTTCAGGACCCAGGCTTCCTCAATTTAGTGGGATATTGATTGCCGCACACTTTGCCGAACATTCGGCAAAGTTCATGATTGGCCTCTACCCCTCTTGCTTAGGTTAGATCAACTGTTTTTTTCTGCTCTCTGAATTATTTCTTCTTATACATATGTTGCAAACATGGTGGGCACAGTAATTATCACTGGTGCAACCGGCTCGCTCGCACTTGAAGCCGTGCAACAGCTTCTGTCATTACATCCCTCGTCGACCATTGTTGGCACTGTCCGAAATGCAACAAAATTCCCTAAGAGCCCATACTTACTTCGACTGGAAAAAATTAAGCACCAGCACCCTTCCAGCAAGCTCTTGATCAAAAGTGTGGATCTGAACTCTACTTTAGAAGTACGAGCATTCTCGAGCGAAATTGCTGGCCTGATAGAATCCAATGAACTTCCACCCATTTCCGCTATCATTTGCAATGCATTTACATGGTCGCTAGATGGTCAGCAGTTTTCCAAAGATATGTTGGAATCTACATTCCAAGTCAATCATCTTTCGCATTTCTTGTTGGTTCTCCTACTTCTACCGAGCATGGACCCCGAAACCGGTCGAGTGGTTATGCTTAGCTCCGAAGTTCACGATCCTGAGCATTCCAACGCGCTGGCAAAACTAGGCGCAGAACTTCCTCCTAGTGGAAATCTCGATGTATTGATCCATCCTGGTGCAGACGAGGCCGGAACAGAACATGATATGGGTTGGCAACGGTATGCAAACAGCAAACTAGCCAATGTCATGTTTATGCAGAGCTTGAACCAACGACTTCAACAGGTATGACCCTAAAATCCAAGCTGCAGAGGGTCACGCTAAACCTAAACCAGAATCCTAAATTCCGCAAGGTTACTGTGACTGCTATGGACCCAGGTGGCCTTGTCAACTCCCGGGCCCACATTGTTCAGCGTCCAATCACCCGTATTTTGTTTGGGCTATTATCGCTTTTACTTCCAGTAATCAAGCTTTTTACTTACAAGCTTCGGTCAAATTCAGAATCAGCCCGAGATGTTTTAGCGCTGGCTTTGGACCCTGAGTACGAATCAGTAAGGGGCCATTTCAATGGAAGGATGCCTGAACCCCCTGCCCGTATAAGCAAAGACGAGGCGAAATGTGAGGCTCTGTGGGAGGCTTGTTGGAACTGGGTTGATATGGAAGAAGGAGAGACATGTGTTCCTAAGACTCACCACCGTTAGGTAAAACGAATAGGATAGGCAAGAGCAAGATATTAATTATTAAGGCTCCTTGAGAAATTCAAAATATATATATATATATATATATATATACAAGTACACTACTTTCCTCATCCAAATGACACAATCTCGTACACGACATGAAACCTCAAATCACTCTTTCTCTCTTGGTCGGTAGACTACTCGCTCAGCAAGCAAGCGAGGTGTATTGACATCGTGACTGGGCAAGACAACCACATCAGTCTCTTTGGCAAATTTCTTGATCATCTTCAACGTTTGGTAAGCACGCATAGGGTCATCGTTGATCCCATCGGGTTCTTCCTTGTCCAAAAGGTCCAAGCTATATGTTGCATCCCCAGGGAGGAAGTATATGACTTGACTCTGTTCGTCTTCCCCATCGCCGTAAATCACCAAACTGATATGCCCGGGCACATGTCCCGACGTATCAACGATGGCAATTCTGCCATCCTCCGTTACAGGGTAAGACTGCTTCCAGGGTCCAAGTGGTCTGTCCTGCAGGTCTACAATCTTTGGAGAGAATTCCTTCGGCCAATGATTTGGTGTCGCTCCCTCCATGCTTGCAAAGAGAGGATGTTCCCCAAAAGCACCCCAGTGCTCACGACTGACGTATATCGGTAGATCTGGTGCTTCCGCGATCAGGTCCTCTAATCCACCCGCGTGGTCGTTGTGGAGGTGACTCAAGATCACGGCTTTGAGATCAGTCGCCTTGATACCGAGCTTGTGAAGTTGTTCAAGGACTCCGTCCTGACGCTCAATGGTGAACTCGCTTAGGAAGCCATTGAAGAGAGCGAGTCGTGGGAAATATCCAGTGTCGTTGCAGCATGGAGATTGTCCGGTGTCCATAAGGAAGAGACCCTCAGGGTGGCGAATGAGGAACACCCCGACTGGTAATGGCTCGGTCCATTGTTTGTCGCAAAGTGATCGCAGACGTCGAAAAATCGCAAATTTGCTTACTGGTTGCGAACGCATTGAGGGTCTAATGCGTACTGTTCCTGTTGTGAGGAATGTCAACTGGACACCACCAGGTTTCGGATTGGATGCCATATTATTTTTTTTCTTGCTGATAGTGCGTGAGCTGAAAGAGTTTTCTGAGATGGAGGATTGAGAATTCGAAATAGACAAAAAAAGTACATTACGTCTACTATATAGCCGAACATCGGCAAATCTGGAATTTAACCGTCAACTTTGCCGACACTACAAATATCGAGTTCATCCGTCGGGGGAATTAACCGTGGCTTATAAGATAAGTAGAAGATTGAAGCAGACCTATATCAGTCGATGGTGCTCTGGTTAAATAATTATAATTACAAAGAAGTTCGAATTTCGAATATTGACAGGCTAGCGAAGTCCGATTTTCCAGTTCAACCAGTTTGCCCTGAATACAAACCGGTTGTATAAAGCCTTCTAAACCTCACTTTTCTGATACATGTCAGAAAATTGACAGTGTGCCAAGTCATTGTATAAAGGCTTCTAAACCTGCTATATACCAATACCACTGCTATATACGGAGTATATGTAATCAAATTACTTAAAAATACAGAGAAAAAAATGCACAAATAATGCAAGTCACGAGGTGAAGGAATTCTGCTTACTAAAAAGGCCCGTGGGCAATGCCCACCCGCCCGTCCATGGGCGATGTCGCAGTCTAGTTAATACTGAAGAACGTGGACGTAGACGTGGACATAGAGGAGCAAAACGCGCGGCGGGGGAGGGGAGAGGGGGGGGGAAGTATACTGGATTTTTAGAGTAGATCAATGCAGAAACCAATAAAATATACGATTTTTTCTGATTAAAATGGTGCATTTTTTTACTATATAGACCGGAATAACTATAGTTGTGGCAGAATATATGGTAGTATAAAACTGGAGCGGCAGAGAATATGGCAGAATTGTCGGTCGCGCCCAATTGGGAAGGCGGTACTGAAATTTCAGGCAGGGGGGCTGTATCAATCCCCTTTAAATATCTAGTTTGATATTAGTTATTTTTAGCTTAGAATAATCAGCCACAAATTATAAAACGTTGGAAACATGCAAAGTGTTTTGCTCAATTAGTTATCTATAATAGACTTGGATGTTTAGGTTTATCGCTATGGACTTAAAATTTCCAGCAATGTTATATGTATTTCCTCGGTTCAAAAACTCATGGGACCGTCAAATAAGAAGAAAGACCAATCTATCGGCCAATCATTGCTATCCATAGACGAAGTAACAAGCACGTCCGGTGGTTGTGTTTCACTGGTTTCCACCGTTCCTAGCAAGCTGAGCATAGGGCAAAAGCTGGAGGGGAAAGGGAAGAGCTGAACCACCTTCATTTGCTCAGGTACCGAAAAAGCACCCCACGTATTATCAGATTGAGCGGGAAACGCATCTGCATGCATTTTGTTGAGACCGTTGATTTTGTCCAGTACGTAAGCAGCGGAGGTATGTTTCTCACTCATAGTTTCCAGCACCTGCGTGCTGATTCTGAGCTCCTCGTCTCGGTCTGGGTTCAATGCACCGCTGTCACTGAAGGCTCGGGGGATCCCAGCGACAAGGTTAACCCAAGAATGGATTGGTAATAGGTATTGAACATCCTCGTGGTAGATGATCTCCTCATATAGCCGAGAAACACAGCAAGAAGCTGTCATCGAAGCAAACTTAAACAACGAGGGGTTGTCCCGGCGGCCAAGGAAGCATATCAAAATGACAGTCACCAGGTAAAATATATGGAGCTCAGTAACAGCGCGACTGTATGGTCGTCTAGATTCAGTGTCGAACAGTTGTATTTCGAAAGGCCACGATTGTCTCCGCAGTCCCAGTGTCTCCAGGATCAGATACGCCTCCTCTGATGAGGTATTATCAACTCTAGCCAGATCCAAAACCTTCCTCAGACTTGTGCAGAGATCTACCAAGTGGCAGAAAACGCGTGATCCGAGATCGGGATCTTTGAAGTCACTAGGAACAGGCAGTGGGACGGACGTTTCCAAGGGGAACATTCCAGGACGCCCACAGCAAGCCGTCTGCATAGTATCGTTGATAACGAGATACCACCATATTCTGCGTGCTCTTCCAGGATGCTCTAATCGGCTGTATGTCTCGTCCTCGTGCAAGTGCAACTGAATTGCGAGTCGGATTCCCATACCAGCCCATTGCCAGGGGTTATCCAGCACTATCGCATCGGGAGAATATGGAAGCCAGGTGCTGAGAATACAAAGAGCACTGAGCATATTCAATGGAGCTGGATCGTGGTGTAGAAAGAGCAATGTCTTTATCCGCCCATAAATGGCAAATGTGGTCCACTCGGCTGGCCCTGTTTTTTGACGCATGGTACTTCCCGCGAAACACAGGCATTGCTGTAGCAAAGTAGAGCTTGGTATCTCGGATTGTCCGTAATCCAAAACTGGCACAAAATAAAATAGCTCCCGGAAATAGAAATCAGCAAAGGCATGGGCAATGACAGGGGGTGGAAGCCGACAAGCTTGGCTTGTGTCCAGAATGAGCTGACTTCCATCGATGGAATTTGGCTGCTGCCAGCCATTGACATTGTTAGGTCCCAAACAGCTGATATCACGATGGCCAAGAGGTTGAAAGGGGGAGGGCGTGGCTTCCTGTACTGTGCATTCGTGTGTCACAGCAGGGGCTGTTCGGCTTAGTGACAGGAGGCTGGTATCTGACGAATGAAGTGAGGAGCGGAGTGCTTTCCTTTGCTTTCGAGGTCCAACGTGAGGTCTGTCATGTCAATAGTTATGCTTCTTTTTTAGGGTTTAGGTAAGCTTACTGACACGTATGGCCTTCATGCTCACAACGGCTACAGTTGCCACTTGGCCGACCTTCTAGGTCGCAACGAACCTTCGTGACTATTAGTATTGATATGAGAAATCCATGAACAACAAACATACCTTGCGACCATGGCATCGGGTGCACACAGCGCGCGCTCTGCGTTGCATATTTTAATGAGCAAAATGTTTTACGGAGAGAATGTTTTGCCGAATACTCGGCAATTGCCGCCTACAGCCGAACATGATGTCATTGCATATACATTATGTATGTAGGTCAGCGAGCTGATCGCTGCGCCAGTCATCGTTTGACATTAGAAATAGTTTATGAACAAACAAAGATTCAGGGTTAGATTTACTGAGACAAGTGTAGAGAAATTCGGCCGACCAGTATATATATATCCTGGCTCCGACACTTGCACGCTGCCCCAAAACCAAAACCAATGCATGTTTCTGTACAAGAAACTGCGAGCATGACTGTAGAATTATTCCCGGCCATTTCTGACCTTCCTTATGCCAAGAAGCTTGACGTAGATCAGGTTCGGGCTTATCAGTAGAGTACCCTGGATCTCCGTGGCCCTGACTCTTGGACGTTGATTTTGGGACAGGAACAGCAAAACACTCACATTGCAAATTTGCAAGAAGCACTGCGATGCAATTGGAGCACCTCCTAATACCTGGCGCCTTGGGGTAGATTCTACAATCGTCAGGCAAAGCTGGTTTGCTGATGAATCGGTTAATGGTGGAGGGGTTCTGACTCGCCCTGATCAGCACATCCCCTCAAGGGTATCTACAAAGTCAAATAGAGAAGATGTGATTGCAGATGTGAACAAACATCTTGGAATTTGAACCAACGAACCAGAAATGCAATAATACATCTCAGTTTTTCTTGATAAACATTTGTCTGTAAGAAATCCATAAAACCCCTCTCTAAGGTAAAAAAGGATATCCTTGGATAATACACCAATAACCCCTGCTCTTTAAGATATGATATACCGCGTCCTGCGTTCTGATTCGGGCCTTGCAGCCACACCCAACTCCACAAACAATTTAGTTTTTCTGCATTTCTAGAGCTTGCCGTTGAATAATTTCTCTTTTAGAACTGATATTGGCACCGGATATATCAAAATCCTAGCAGCGCCTCGTCGACTTGATCAGTCTCAAAATCAAACCGAACTAGATCCTCCTTGTAAGCAAGAGAGCACGTGGTTGTGACACTGAATAGCATGATTATTTACTAGGTACTCAACGTTCCAAGCGGTTGTTTATTACCTTTCATGCTCACTGCTAGCTTGATACTCTGCTAATGCTGCTCGATCTTCATGCTAGCTCACTAGAGCATAATGATATCCCTTGCTCTTCTCAACTGGGGTTGTTATTGAGGGACCTCCAGCAACGAGTCTTTGGCTTTTAACACAGGGCAAGGAGTTGAGTGTTTTAATTTGGGAAAGCAACTCCTGCTTCACTTCGTTTCCGACGTCCACACGGAATTTGAACAGAACTACCGGGGTCAATGTGAGTACTTGGTCGTTCTCGGGAAGGGAACCGTACCAATATGAGCAAGAACCATTCTGAATGCCAGTTTTATATTAACGGAAACAAAATAATATGGAGTTATAGACTGGCTAGAATTGGAATGTAAGTTCTCCTTTTTAATGACGCGACGGAATGCGACGGATGACATCCATTCTTGGCGGAACTTTCCCGCCTTCACCCATCTTTTTTTCCTTTACAGTGACTGTTCATTCCAGAAGACACTGTGAATTCGGGGTTTCTTCTCATATTCATGAATCGGAAAATTCAACCCCCATAAGGGAAGCTGTCAGTGCTGTGATGGATTCTCCTCGGCGGGCTCGGAATCGCGCCGCCTGTCGGAGATGCCAGCGACGGAAATTCCGTTGTGACGGAGAGCTTCCCCGCTGTGCTTCATGCAGAAAGGCCAATGAAGCCTGCGTGAACGATGGAAAACAAGAGGTCAATCGCACGTGTGCATTATCATCCTCTGAATCACTCTCTGATTCTCTATCACTTCTGATACTAACAGCTGGTCAGGTACATTGCACATCTACAAAAGCGAGTACAGTGGTTAGAAACCTTAGTTAAGGCACAAGATCCAACGGTCCAGCTCGAAGATGGCCCGCAAGTAGACCTGCCGGATATCTCACAACTCAAATCCACGGAGGAAAGCGCTCAACTTGAGTCTTCCATTCCACAGAGTGCGGGTCAGTCAATACCACCTCACTATGAACAACCCAATCCAGCAGACTTGGAACAATCTCGGACAAATCAAAGACCGGCTCATGAAATTGGTCTTGTCTCTCTTTCCTCGGGCGAGCCGAGATATATTGATTGGTCCTTCAAGTGGATATTTCCTAGCAAACCTCATATTTTCTAGCGCTGGTCGACGAACGGGGCCATCGGGAAACTATGGCAATGCGAACAAGCCAATTTCGCTGTCATCTGAGTTTTTCAACAGTCCAGCACCGCTCCCTAATCAGAAAGAAGACGCCGTGGAGCTTACCTCAAAGTACTTTGCTTCGGTGCATCTCGTATACCCGTTTCTACACCAACCGTCCCACATGACAAGAATCGAGAGAATGTATAGCAATGAAGCACCCCCAAACTCAGCAGATGCCTTTCACATCTATATGGTGCTTGCAATAGCAGCCTCGGATCTCTCTAGGCGGTTTAGAATTCCACTTCCAGCCGGGGGATATTATACAGCAGCTACCCAGTATTTAGAACGTGCCTGTGCCGATAGCTCTTTGGACGGACTGAAGAGTCTTCTCTTGCTGATGGTTTATGGACTTCATAATCCGTCATGCGACATCAATATCTGGAGCCTGAATTATCAATGCCTGGGATCCCTTATTGACCTAGGTCTTCAGCGTGATGTTCGTGCATCTTCGACGTTCTCCATCTCGTTCTTGGAGCAGGAAATGCGGACTCGCATCTTCTGGGTAGTTTACAGCTTGGATCGTACACTGGCAACGATGATGGGTCGACCGATCGGGGTGAGAGATGAAGCATGCGAGCTTCGCGTAAGTGATTCCATATGATCTAACAAACACGGGCTAATAGAATGTTCAGCTTCCTTCAGATGTCTCTGATGCTCAACTTTCCGAGTTAGTTTGGGACGAAGCCTCGCGAAATGACACAATTTCGCATATGACATATGACATTCTCTATCCACTTGTTTAAACTCGCCCGCATCAATTCTGAGATTAAATATGTGATGCACAGCATCTGCAGAGATCCCCCACAATACGCTTACCCACCGATACCCGATATCTATCTGTGGCAGACAGAGATAATCGAACGCCTTCAAACCTGGCTTGCAAACATTCCTCGTGGAGCTGGAGGTGACACTATCTCAAAAATATGCGAAACTAAGTATCACGAAATGATGGTCCTAGTGCTAAGGCCTAGCCCTGGAATTCCCGACCCATCAGAAGAGACGCTGGCGGTATGTTTTCAACATGCCGTAGATCCTCTCTGTGGGTTTGGGGAGCTTTACAGGCAGGAAGCTCTGCTATACAGCCGACTGATTGTTCACTCCGTCTTCTTGACCACGCTGATAATGCTTCATTGCTTGTGGAGGCTGCCCCGTGTCGCATTAGAGGTGCGCATTGATGAGGTGGTCGCTGATACGAGCATCAGTCTGAATATCGTAAGCAGTATTGGAGAATACTGGGCTGAGGCCAAGCGCGCTAGGGATTGCATCCACGAGTTATCTGGTATGACTGTTCAGAGACTTATCAGGATTCGAAGCTTAGAGGCCCCTTCAAGCTCGACCATACAAGGCAGGAATCACTCGACTTCGCGCATAGAAGGATCACACCAGCTCCAGACTGCCAATGAAGCAATAGAGATGCCTTCTGCGCGAAGTGCTGACTCTGGCATTGGAAACCTGCCGCTGAACTCTTTGGTGGATGACTACCATCCGCACGTTGATTCTATAAGTTGGCTGCATGATTCTATGCCCGGGAGCTTCATGGATTTCAGCGGGGCTCCGGACTTTGACGGTCTCATGTGGGAGATATTTAATGCCGGTTAAAGTCAAAAAGAATATTGGAATACAAATATATCCAAGAGATACTCATGAAACAACTCAGTTTAGCTGTCAATTTAAAATAGGTAGCGGAAGAAAGACATCAAATTAAATATCCCGAGTCTTACACGGCTTCAAAAGTGACATTGACATGACTTTCGACATCAATATCCTGAGGGGTGAGGTCTAGCGGCGAAGGATCCTCCCCAGTGTGACTACCAAAACTAGCAGCCATCATTTGTCTGTGATTAGCCCTGTAAGGACTCATTCCTTGGTCGGCAATTTCCACCACCGAGACAGCGCGTCCAAGCACTTCCGAATAGTCACTAGCTTGTTGAATAGCATCGCGTAGAGCCAATTTACGTGCGTCAGAAGCCAGTCGTCTCCCGGTTTCGTCGGTGAGACTCCAATCTAGACCATCGATTTCCACTTTGGGATAGATCAGCAATTCTTTGATCGCGTGATTCAACTTGGTGAAGTCGTGGAAGACGGCCTCGAAGGATATACTGGCATGGTGTGGGTGGGACTCGTTGTTGCCATTTCTATCCGTGGATTTTGTCCAGGTTCTGATACTCGTGGATGAGAATTTTGTCAGAGGGGGCTCGGGCTCATCGTCGGTACGAGAGTAAAAGCTTGATTTAATCCAGTTTTGTAGGTTGGTCGATGATATTGTCACTTCTTTGGCAACTTTCTCTTGCTCATGGCCGACTCCCTTTACTGAGAATCTGATGGTGCCACGTTCTGGGGTTTGGCTGATGGATGGTTTCCCCACAACTAGAATTTTTAGGGGTGCCATAATGGTTGAAAATGAGATTTAGTTCAGGGTGTGGTAACTTGAAACCTCAGTTGAAGTTCCAATTGAACCCAGTAATCCGAAATCATCACGTTGTCTAATGCTAAGCCCGTATGGAGCCCCTATCCCATGGGGTGGACGACCGAGCCTGAGTGCGGGTTTCAATACATTACTTACCGGTTTTTATTAGATCTGGTTGGTTCCCGCAAATGTGGACACCCTCCCATTCATGCAAAATGACAAGGCTGGGTTCACTCCGCCGCTTAGCTTCGATGTTCATGAAAGAAGGGCTCTAAAATTTGGCGATCCCCGCCAAAGAAACCGAATGGGATAGCGCTCAACCCCTACTCGACACCAACCCAGGTCTTGCTCAGCTCCCACAGTTCCTTTTCCTTTGCCTCGTCAAATGCCCAGCTGCCAAATCCGTATTCAACTGCATCTCCATCCGAAGGTGTCTGATGAACAGCCACCGATGCTCCTTCTAAGTAAAAACCGCCTTTCCCTTCCAGTTCACTGGACACGGCACCATAGACCGTGGTTGCACAGGCCTGGCCAAGACTTGACAAGTACGCAAGAGCGCGTTTGTCCTCCAAAACTGCCTTCATCTCCTCCTGGGAGTATTTCTGGAGATTGTGACTCATGAAGGCCCCGGGATGAACACTGAAACCATGAAGACCTTGCGCTCCGTATAAGCGTTCGATCTGGTTGGTCATATAGATATTGGCTGTCTTGCTAGATCCGTACGCAAGCCAGCCGTTGTAATTCCCTTCAAAGTTGACATTGTCAAGTGGAATAGGGCTGTAGCGATGGGCTGCGGAGGAAACGCTGACGACACGGGAATGGAAGCCAGGTGATGAGCGTGCCGTTTCGAGTAAGATGTCCTTGAGTAGGTAGAAGAGCAAGAAATGCGATAGGTGATTCGTCCCAAATTGAAGTTCAAAGCCATCTTTAGTTCGACCCTCCGGAGTATTCATCACCTATATAAGAGAGTAAGCCAGCGACTCTAAAAGTCTAGAAGCGACATTAATCCTAGTGAGCTCACAGCCGCGTTGTTGATAAGGATGTTAAGCTTAGAGCTCTGCTTCAAGAATTCCGCGGCACAAGCCCGGACGCTCGAGAAATCGGTCTGGTCCATAAATAAAAGCTTTACACGCCCAGAATCGAGCAAGGAACCACCCAAAGCTTCCTTTGCTTTGTCGAGGTTCCTGGCTGTACCAAAGATGGTAGCCCCAGTAGAGGCCAAAACACGCACAGTCTCGACACCGATTCCCGAGGAAACACCGGTAATCAGCACAACCTTGTCAGACCATTTATCAGCTAGTCCTTCGTCTTCGACGATTTGACTTCTAGTAACACGCGAGTCACCCGGGCCATTCAAGTTTTCCCACCGGTTGCGCTCGGCGTACCGACCGGATAGCTGAAAGGGAACTCGGGAGACCATCGACATGTCGGGCGAGATAATAATGAGAGATGAATTGAAAACGTTCCAATGTGAATGAGGTCAGGCTGGACTGGGAAGGTTAGACTTTGAAACAACACGCTGGATTGCTTTCATCTGCTGTAAATGCCTCTTCGCCGTTTAGAAAAGATGCATGAAACAATGAAACAAATGAAACGTTGGATGATCGTCTTTGTTATGGAATAAGCCTGGTTGTGGTAAAGATGCTTGTATTGCTATGGAATTACTGCGTAGGATAAGCTACGCTGCTTAATAATACATCCGTCATCCATCCCCTGAGGGTCAGGCCCTCACAGTCTTGGGCTTGGGTCTGGCCTAACCGAACTGGAACTAGCTGACTCGGGGCCTGCTGATTTGGGAATCGACTAAATTAGAACATGTTGAATCTAGAGACAATTTTTAATCATAAACAGGCGCCAAACCCGGATCAATCATTACCGTTGGGGGCTGAAAAGATTGCTTCTCCGGAGGTCAATAATTAGTGTTCAGGCAAAGACTGGCGCAATCTGAGGCTCTTTGGAAGATAAAAACAACTGTCTCTTGCTGAAAGAAAGGAATATTTGTATTCTAGGCTATACAGACAGGTGAAGAAGGAAAAACAGAAAACGCTGGGCGTTGTGGGCAAGAAGCAGACACGACAAACGAAGTACGGATGCCATCTTCGCAAGGCAGAAACGTACACCTGAGGCCCGCCTCAACAACAAGTGATGAAGTGAGTGATTGACCACTGTGGATCCATTTCATACATAGATTTTACCACATCATCAACACTTCTCCGCCGAGGTAACAAGCTATGCCTCGATAACAAGCTTTTTCGTCGAGGTGACAGAAGTAATTTCTGTCGAAGAGGAGGTGACAGAGGTGTTAATCTCTGCCAGTAGTAGAGATATAGATCCCTACTACCAATGAAACACGTTGCCAAGGTATTGTACTCAGCAAAGTGGGGTTGTGGGGTGTGGACGGTAAGTCCTGATTCGACGTGAAAAGTCGACCCACGAGTGGTGCAACGCGACACCGGGAGGAAATGGGGATTTGAAGCTTGCTGTTATATATTTCTATCCTAGTGTAGATTTTATAATCTATAGATCTTATCTTAATTCAGTAATATCACCTCTTTTAGGGAAGCTATATAGATAAAACCTAGTATATTTTATAGCCCCTTTCGCGCTTGATATTTTATATATTTTTATTATATTTTTACTATTTTATATTCCTTTTTAAAAATACTCTAGCTTATCAAAACTTATAAATACTACTTAAGTGGCCACAGTTTTAAATATAGGCCGGTAAATACGTAGTACCGTATTATACTTTTACCAGGGGCTATATAGATAAGACGGATACCGATTTGTATGGGATCCGGTATCAAAAATCTACGGTCGCACCCTACCAAAAAAAAAAGATCCATTTTCAGATCAGGATTTAACCACCTTATAGTACTGCGTTTGATCCCAAATTTTGGCCGCACTCTTCTATATAGCTAGAATAGAACTCTATAAATTTTTAGACCAAACGAAGCACGGGAGTTCAGGTATTTCTAGACACTAAATACCTGAGCCTGACCCACCCTTCGGCAGCCAATCAAATCCCTTAAAATCCAAATACCTGGCAGGTATCTGTTCAGGAATAGAGTGAGGTACGAGTATTCTTATATATTTAATCATAGTCTATATTTTCTGGTCTCAAATGCTCTCCAAGCTCTGTAGCTTGACCAATTCAAAGTATCTTCCACCCAGCTCCATTAACTCCAGGTGCGTCCCCTGTTCCACAACGTTGCCTTCGTGCAACACTAAGACAGGTTAGTCCAGTTATCAATGGCTATTGGATTGAGGTCTATTCTCACCATAAATACAATCGGCCTTCTGTACCGTACTTATGCGATGCGCAACAGCGACTGTCGTTCGGCCTTGAGCTGCGGCATTCAGTGCATCCTGGACGACCTTTTCCGACTCCGAGTCGAGCGCAGAAGTGGCCTCGTCCAGGAGGAGTATGCGTGGATCACGCAGAAGAGCTCGCGCTATAGCTATCCGCTGCTGCTGCCCGCCAGAGAGCATACCACCTCTCGCGCCTATAACCGTCGAGAAACCATCACTAAGTGGAACGTTAGTATGCCTCCGTTCGAATCTAACGGACAGAAAAAGGCTGTAAGGGCAGAGGTGGCTCACGGTAGGGAGAGGATGAAGTCGTAGATGTTGGCATCCTTGCATGCTTGGATGACTCTCTCTTCGCAAAGATTATCGTCGTCGGTCCCGATGATGATATTCTCCCTAATTGTTCCTTGGTACAGTGTCGGCTCTTGACTAACTAGAGCAAGATAGCTCCTGTAGCTCTTGATATTCAACTTCGAAATGTCTTTCCCATCCACCAAGATCGTTCCGGCTTCTGGATCGAAGAACCGCTCCAATAAAGAAATGATAGTGCTCTTCCCACATCCACTTGCCCCGACGAGACCTATATATTGGCCCGTTTGTACACTTAAGCTGAGGCCATTCAGAACCACACTATCCGGTCGGCTAGGGTATCGGAAATAAATATTTCGTATCTCTAAGCTGCCATCCATTTTAGGTAACTGCTCACCAGTCTTTTGACGGGTGTCAATAGTGACAGGTCGACTTAGCAGCGTTTTAATATCTTGGGCTGCTTGACGGGATTTGCTCATATCTGGGGCAAAGGAGAAAATCGCTCCGGCGCTGAATGCGCCGGCGATAACCGCAGCGTAAGCAATAAAGAACTGCACCATTGAATAGCCTTCGTGGATGATCAGACTTCCTCCATACCAAAAGGCTAGCGCGATACAGAGGAAGTTGGCCGACTGGGAAGCCGCATAAAAGATAGATGACTTCAGCGTTGAAATGACTGACTTTTTTCGTTGCGTTTCCAATATAGTGTGGTACTCCTTTTGCACATAGGTCTCGAGATTTAGCGATGCAACCGTCTTAATAGCAGAGCTTGCCTCACAAGCATAGGCTGCTGAGGCGGCATATGCAGCCTTTGACTGTTGAGCAATTTCCCCAAGGAGCTTCAGTCTGATAAGACCACAAGTAAGAACGATAGGAATAGTTGCGGTACAGACGAGCCCCAGCTTCCAACCTATAGCAATCGACACAGCCACTCCAGCAACCAATGTCGTCGAGACAATGAATATAGAGCCCAGTGTGACACCACTTATCCCAGCAAGGTTGGTAGCATCCGTGGATAATGCCGCTGTAATCGAACCAGCCGAGAATCCAGGTTTGTCGAACATAGAGATATCCTGATGGAGAATTGCGCGGAAGGAAGAATCTCTGGCACGGTGAATCAAGCGCTCGGAGCAGTAGGCAAAACAGAGACCTGATACTCCCCACCCAAGAAATGCAGTACCTCCTAGCATCAGATACATCAGGCTCCAGAAGTTGATATCATCGCGGAGCTGTCTATACATATTTGGAGGCAGCGATAATGCCGCGATAGCTTTGCCGTAGAACACAGCCTGCCTGGTGAGATAGTCAGCATCAATACTCTGCACGCCGCGTGATAAAGGAGTGTTACGTGGGGTTTCCTGCGCCTGTAATAACTGAAAAGATCAGACCCCAAAGCATTGTGGATGTCTCTTTTTTGTTGAAGTTGGCGACGAACTTGATCAACTCCCATAAGGAGTATCTACCGTCAGCCTTACCATCCGAATCCCCGTCCTGGCCTTCAGAAACTGGGTCCTGCTCAATTTGGTACGTATGCTTGTGGGACTCATTACCCTCATCTTTCGAACCAGGGAGCTCCGCATCTATATCGAACGTGGACCTTTCTCCACTGGGGCCAATATCTCTTTCCGTGGACATGCGTTGCTTCTCCACCAACTCGTAATACACTGATCGTTTCTCAAGTAGGTCGCTGTGAGTTCCTTGCTCGACAACACCCCCGTGAGACATAACAACAATGTTTTCTGCCGCCGTGATAGTAGATAGTCTAAGAATAATCAGCGTGTGTCGTCAAGATTAAATAAAAAGCGTATACCGATGACTGATTGTGATCGTTGTCCGACCTTTAGCAGCAACATCGAGCGCCGCCTGTACTAGCCTCTCGGCCTGGGCATCGAGAGCCGAAGTAGCCTCATCCAGTAGCAAGACTTTTGGATTGCTAATAATAGCCCGTGCGATAGCGACTCGTTGTTTTTGTCCCCCCGAAAGTAAGGAACCTCTTTCTCCGACGCTGGTGTGGAAGCCCTTCGGCAAGTTAGTGATAAAATCAAAGCAGTTCGCTGTCTTAGCGGCATCAAAGACAAGGCTTTCTATCACATCAGGAGGTGAATTTTCGTGCTCGGTGCCGACCAGACCAAATCTGATATTTTGGAATACAGTTGTGGCGAAGAGTGTGGGCTGCTGTGTCACGATTGCAATTTGTTGGCGATACCACTGCAAATTAAGAGACGCGATATCGTGGCCATCGAGTACTATTGTGTCAATATTAGCACGGTTCATCGCGCACAGGAAAGACCTCTCACAAATTTCGCCGTTTAGTGGTTCATAAAACCTTTCAATCAAGCCCGCTAATGTACTTTTCCCACAACCAGAGGCACCAACAATGGCTGTCGTCTTACCAGCTGGAAATCGAAGATTTATATCATCTAAAGTGAGGATATCCGGTCTCGAGGGGTAAACATAGCGAATGCTCTTAAGCTCAATCGTCCCGGATACAGCTTCCAGTCTTCTTCCTGTGGTTGAGGATGGATCCAAAGGTGATTTCCTAGACACTGTTGCAAGAATCTTTCCTGTGGCTGCTATACCGGTTGAAAACGCTTGGAAGTTGGGTGCTATATTACCGAATGTAAACGCTCCGGTCAAAGTAGCAAGGAGGATAGTAATCAGTGCCCCCAGTTCCACGTCTCCAACAACCAGATAACGAGATCCTTGCCAAAATATTAGTCCATAGGTCCAGAAGATAACACCATTCATAACGGCCATCATAGCCGCAAGAGCAATGCGACTTTTAAGACTATATTTCTCGGCCTGGGTGAGAAATCTTTGGTACCGATCGGCCAACTTGTCTTGAATTCCGAACGCAGTTACGTGCCTGATTGAACTAATAGCTTCCTCGGCAGCTGTCGATCCTTCTGCATATACCGCCAGTGACTTGTGGGTATACTTGACCATGAATGAAGAGAAGAAACTCATTGACCCAGTTTCTGCGACATAGGCCGATATCAGAATAAGCGCCATACGCCAATTTTCCACGAAACTGATAATAAGGGCTGCCCCGAAGTTGGAACAGGAGTACAAAGTCAGAGATAGCTTGCCGGTCAACGAATCTTGGATCAGATTCATGTCCGAGGTGATTCTGGTTGTGATCTCTCCAGCTCCTAGGACATCGAAGAATGCGATGTTTTGGCGAAGGATAGCGGCGAGGTATTTCTCTCGAAGTCTTTGGGTGATTTTTTCTCCTCCAATCATGAATCCGGCTGTCGAGATATAGATCGAAACAAATTGTCCGATGGCGATGTATACATAGTAAAGGGCGAATTTCGTGACCACCGATGAAAGGTGCGATCCTGAAGACGTTCCGATGAAGAACTCTTTGAATGCTTGAGCTAAGCCTCCCAAAAGGAGCTATATGAAGGATATCAGCTTGGGGGACAGAGTACCGGCGGAGAGCAGCTCACAAAAGACACAGGCTGAAGAGCTCCCCCTATTATGGCTGCAATTGAGCTGATAACCAGAAGAAGTAATTCATAGGATGTTGTGCATGTCCACAAAAGAGCCAAACGGCTCATCTGCGACTCTGGGGTGTCGATTTGTCGCCTAAGGACCTCTTTTTCATCGTCCTGTAACTCCAGACGGAGCACCCCGGGAGAAAGGGACCCATTTTTTTCTAACATACTGATTCCGCCTTCGGAAATGGGTTTGTCGAAAAGCGCTTGCCAGAGGCATTGCGAGAAGCAAGTGGTCAAGATGAAGTATTGATTCCAATGCCATCTCTTGATATGTTGGACCAATCAACAGCAGCCATCCCCGGCCACTCATCATGACTCATATCGCACTATCATGCACTGGATTGTGCCATCTGAGCAATCAGCGAATAAAGGATTTGCAGTAAGCACCCTGGTCCCGGCGACATCCAGACAAAGTAATGTGGGGCCGAGTCAACTGAACACGCACCCACTGAATAAAGCCCACTCCGATAATTGGAGTGTCCACGTGTCCACGGGTCCACGGGTAATTACTTTACTGAATACGGAGTATATACGGAGTATGCCTCGACGTGTAGGAACACGTTCTAAATTCTGGGCAATCTACTCCACAAAGCCACCCACACACGTATAAGAATTCGGCAGTAACCTAACCGATGCTCAGGATCCTCCCAGATGCGCCGCAAATTCAGCCCCCATCATCGGTAGCAGGACCGACGGACTCCGCTCCCCTAGCTCTGCAACCCAGATCCAGGATTAGGGTATCTTTGCTCTCCATTGCCACGACGGGTGCCATATCGCAACCAATCGCAAGAAATCGCAAGACAAGCCGATGATATTATCACCCGGAGTATCACCCGGAAGCAACAGCTTATCCTTTTTCTACTTGTTAGCAACCATTGATAAAGGTTTCATTTCAGTCCTCTCGCCTTAAGGGGGCCGATGGCGTCAGCCCCCCTGCATCAAATTTTCAAAAGCCTCTGTTCATCCCAATGAAACTTAGATCCTTTATCCAGGTGCTCTGTGCTAAGGCTTACAGGCTTGCGTCCTAGCCCCTGACCTCGGGGGGCCGCAGAGGTAGATCATGATGCCTTCAGGTCGCTAGTTGTTCGAACTGTAAGGACATTTGGACCCCGCCCCGGTACTTATATATAGGAATCAATAGATCCCCCTCTTCTGTCCACGCCAGCCAATTAGTGATCCCTGATTTCACGCACGCTTCAATCTAGGAATATTCTTTCGTGGGGAATACTGGCCATGTTTGTCACACTTCGGTACGGAAATGGCAAAGGTGATGACATTCAGTGTATCGAGAGTACCACAAAGCCTCCACATGAAGAACCGGCTAATCCCCACTTAGCCTGTAACACGTGTCGAAGCAAAAAGGTATGTGGTGTCCCAACACACCTGGCGCGTGTTGCTAACTGGGTTCCAGCTCAAATGTGATGGAGAGAAAACGGGCTGTCAGCGTTGTGTCTCTGCTGACTTTGAATGTTCCTATAAAAATGAGAGGTCAACGGAAAGAAAACGCAAACATCATCTCTTGTCGAACACATCTGGAGCGAGAGCTGTCCAAGCCCTTCCAAATCCACATCAAAGCGGGCTTCAGGTATCGCCTGGGAAGGAGAAGCCAGTTAGACGCGCGCTCTTCTCGCAACAAATGTCTCCCGAGCTCGATGCAATGGTCGTCGTAGGCGGATTGGCAGAGCAAGACACCATTTCACCCGTTCAAGTCGACGACTATTCCATCCCCCAGAGTCGATCAGACTTAGTTGATCAGGTTGAAAATATAAGTGGGTGAATTGTTCCCACCTCCCCAGCCTCTCTCCACAGACCGGCTTCCGCGGCCGTTCCCATGGATGCTGACTATACTGGTCTCGACAAAGATTCATCCAATCAATATTTCACCACGTCAGAGCAAAACGGTGATATGTTTAGCTGTGCTCTGCAACCACACGGTGCAGTCCCACTAAGTGAAGATGGAGGAGCAACTATCGATATATCAAATTCAAGTAAGTTATCCGTCCGCTCTACTTGACACAATGGTTGACTCTCAGCGATCGTGTAAATTAGTAGACCATCAATTCTCTCTCGAGGACGGCTTCACATTCTCTACCGGCGACTCGTCCCCCTTTCGGTCCCTCAATTCCCTCTCACAACCCTTGACCTTCCCAAGCACGAGTTCACGTTCTGGAAAAAGCAGTCATGCTAGCCGCTGCGCCTCTATAGACTCGTCCGTGCAATCTGATTCGACCCCTTACAGCTGCCAGTGCACCAGGTCTGCTCTCAAGATCCTTGAAATGCTTTCCAGTCCTTTCAAGCCCACCGAGAGGTTGTACTCCGTGGAGCAAGCACTCTACACACTGAAACGAAGCATCAGACAATGCCAGTCCCTGGTCCAATGCTCGGCGTCTGAGCGAGATTCCGGGATTGAATTGCTAGTCATTGTGCTATGTGAAAAGATGACCGCAATCTTCGAGGGGATCTCAGCGGGCTGGGAACGCCAATTACAAGCTGTCGCGTGCACGCAAAAGAAGCCATGCGCTGCGTCTGCTATCGGCGGGGTAGACCCGCCACAAAATGATTTCAGGTACTCACAGTATTCGAGGATACCAATAGGGGGCTACCAAATTGACACCATAGAGGAACGTCACCTGGTGTTTGGGTTGCTGGTTCAGCTGCAGTTGAAGCGGCTGGGTGAGATAATGACCACACTGAGGAAGAATGCCATGGCTAATAATTTGGAGTCGCATTTGGCTATCTTGATGCCTACAAATCAGAAGGTCGAGAATTTGAAGGCGGCGCTAGATAAAATTACGATATCACACTCTTAAATTGACGAAAGCTCCCATTTGCAAAGGTCAAGACTGATCACTTTGTAAACAAATTATACAAAGGCAAGTGTTGTCCAGCTGGCCTAGGCTTGAAATAAAAACTGCTTCGCCTGTACTTTATTCGCTTTGATGAGGAAGGGTAATCTCATGTATATGTGACAGTCTCCCTGTAACTGACTAGTTCCCCACTTTCAAGCGGCTACTCTTGCGCTATCATATTCTGCCGAGGAAATGAAACTACTAAGAGAACGAGTAGCGAAGACGGTCTTTGATGTCGGGAGCATTGAAGCGAGGTTGCAGGCGTATTGGGGCCTTAAAACCAAAGAAGGCAAAACGAACCATAAGAGACAATGGAAGCTTCCTGATCTGCACCAGCCTCGCATCACAACATTCCTTCTCACGTTCGCTTTGCGGGCAAGGCAATATTCTGTGCAGGCAAGCCTCGGTAAAAGCACTATAAGATCTTCGTGGGAAAATAAAAAGTGATAAGATGTGTGAAGAAAGAAACTATCTACATGTGAGGATCGTGCCGCAGTCTAGTCTCCATATAGTTAAGGAATACTATGTATACGTTTTCCCCGCCTACAAGTATTCTTTACTGATATTCTCTACCTTAAATATTTATTAAGGGGGCTTTATAGTACTAGAAATCAGTACTGAAGTATGTACCTTTTGTGTGGTCCGCCTAATAAAAGTTACAATTGCATATGGGTGATCCTCTCCCTGGGGCCGTTCGGGTAGCTGACTCACGCTTGCGAGGATCCGTTTTATTTTAAAGAAATTTACAGGGGCCGGTTGGGTGGAATTTACCCTGTACGCAAGGGTAGTTGGGTCGTGCGTTGGACTGAGTAGTGATGAGATTAATTTATAGATGGGAACGGAAAGCATTCACCGTATAAGACAGCCCTCATACCCTCGATGTTACAATCATCGTATCTATGTCATGCGCAAGATAGTCCAACATTACACGCGATTCTCAGACCAAGATAGCAATGGGAGCCCTAGTTCTCGCTGGGGTCAGCTTATCAGAGGCTGGTCCTGGGGTCTGGCTGCGGGTGGAGCCGTTAATCTGCCCTTCGGTTCGGGCCGCGCTGTTTTGGGAAGTGTCAACCAATTTGGGAATTTCCGAAACTACTCGGATTTGACTCTAGTGCTTGGTTTTGGGGTGGATTGGCTTCGGAAATTGCTGCACTTGGAAGCCCTGTTTGTTGACTCCATGTTATCATGTGCACAGCGCGGAATCTGACTGACGAACGCGTTTTATATGTGCCTATAGCTGATTTGTATTTGTATAACCAACTCGCGGATAGTTCTTTCGTTGATTTGATCTAGGAATCAGATGTATCCCTGGATGTACAACTGAGCATCAAAAAAAGAAAGAAATAAAGAAATAAATCCAAAAAAGTCATATCCAGGCTCCGAACAGAGGATCCTGCTCAGGGAGTCGTTCGGGGTCAACAACATCTTTTTCTCAGGGTCAGAACCACTAAGCCATGGGTGTATGATTTGCTTTAGGGGGCTTGGGTCTCTTACTTATGGGAGAGACCTTGAAAATTCTCATATTACTATCTTTCTGCATTTAAACTTATATTGACATTCGCCATGGCCCAAATCACATATAGGAAGTTATGATGAACGGCGTTCCTGCCTATGCATACCTAGGTACACATATAAACTTGGAAGACTTATGTAACGTGATACTTGAGCAAAGTGATGATGAGGAACATATAGCATTCAAATGAACAAGATTCCGCACACTCTAGTTACAGTGCAATCAACTAGTGATACGCTATTGGGTCTATGATTGACGCCACTGAAGCATCCGGCGGTAAACTGAGGATATTCATCAATGTCGTGTCTAAATCCGCTAGGATTTGACGCACCGCCTCTCCATCGAAAAGTGCAAAGTCGTACCGCATATGCGCGTTTATAGTCTCTCTGTCCTGCTCAATGCGCAGCTCAAGAGGCCTAACTGGACTCTGCTCGTCCTGTGCTTTCCAACGACCGAAGTCGGGCGACATGTCCAAGAAAATAGTAATCGAGCTGGGGAGAAGCGATTTGTAGTCTTCATGACCGAGTATCTTCTCCACGACCCCATAAGATGACCATTGAAAGTCTCTCAGCTCGTAAACCTCACGGTGAATACCTCGCAAGTATTGTTCTAGGCTCGCTGTCTCGTCAACTGTGGTGAGAGTTGGGCATCGCTGATTCAGCGGTCCAACGATATACTCAATTGATGGCAGGGGAAGACTTCTTCCCGAGAAACTGCTAGTGTAGCCGATACTAGGTGAGCCGGTGTATTTGGACAAAACCAAGGACCAGGCAGCATGGAACAGGGAAGATGAGGAGATGCGTTGCTCATATGCGAAATTGTCCAGCTCTGATTTCGAGATGCCAATCACCAAGCTCTTTCTTAACCAGTCCTGACGAGTTTCTCGCGATGGCATATTGAGTGGCTTGGGTACATTGACGCGTTTCAGATCATGCAATGATGCTAGGGACTTCTTCCAAAAGATGTCACTCTCAGACCTGCTTTGGGCTTTCATATGTCCTTGGAAATGAACAACGTCGGAGAATTGTGGCGCGGCTGGCAAGTCGCCATCATCGAGAATCACTTCAAGCTCATTGAGTAGGATTGCTACGGACCATCCATCAAACAAACTGTGGTGTATCACCCAGAATATTCTGATTGGTTTCTCAGGAGCCTCGAGGACTTTCAGATAATTCAAAGGTTTCCAAGGGAATTCAATCGGGCTGTGTATTTCATCCCACAGGGTCTTTTGTGTCGCTTCACTGGTGGAATCAAACTCCGAGTCAGACACGTGGATTTCCGTCCAGTTCAGCTTGAATTCTGGTTGAACAAGCTGGGTTTTTGCATCCAAATCAAACGTCGTTCGCAATATAGAATGTCGTTCAAACAGAGTCTCCCATGCCTTGCGCAATACAGAGCTACTTAGCTTCCCGCTTGCGTTATCAACCGTGACAGTCAAAATCAAGTTGTTCTTAACGGGACTTTGAAGGGTCTCGGTTATGAACTGGTATTGAATATCAGATATGGGCAATGAGTCCGCAGTTGCTGGATCCCTCCCGTGTTCGCTTAAGGGGGATACAATCAATTGCTTCTGTGCATCCATGGAAACCACTTTCTGAAGGATGCTGGATGCTTTGTCGAGCACAAAGATATCTCCGACTGAAATACGCAGGCCATGGAAGGTCAAAAAAGAAGCAAGCCGCACCGCCGAAAGAGAATTTCCTCCTAATTCCCAGAATGATGAATCATCGTTGATTTGGGATATTGGTGTCCCAAGGGCTTTTGAAAGTCCGTATTTCACTAGCTCTGATGTCGAGGAGTGATCAAAAAGCCCATTGTGTGTCGTTGTCTCCTCTGTTATGATCGATTTAAGAGCAGCAGTGTCGATCTTTTGGTTGGACGTGATAGGCAATCTTTCCAGGGGAAGAACTACGTCTGGGACAATAAACGAGTCGCATTTCTTTCTGAGTTCCTTCCGCAATAATTGCGGAGATATTGTCGAGGGAGTGACGAACCCTATCAACCTCGAATCATGCATGATTGCAGCAGCGGAGTGGACACCGGCGAAGCTCAGAAGGGCTGGGACAACTTCCGTCTCGAGATTGATTAGAAATCCTCGATTCTTGACCTGGAGGTCAATTCTGCCAATAAACGCAAAACCTCCTGGAATTTTCTTGGCCAGATCACCAGAACGATAGTGTCGCTGCCCCTTCCATGTAATGAACTTTTGTCGGGTCAGCACCTCATTGTTGAGGTACCCAGTTGCGAGACAAGGACCGCGGATACAGATTTCTCCATGCTCTGCCTCCTCTAGATTCTCATCGAGCAAGACAATCTCGATTCCTGGAATTACGCCGCCAATGAATATGGGGGTATCAGGGCGCATTTCCATGCTCGAGATTGCCGTCGTGCATTCGGTTGGCCCATAGCAGTTGTAAATCTTACAAGCTGGACTGGACCAGAGCTTGATGAGGTTTGCGTTGGGCGCTTCGCCTCCCATCCAAATTTCTCTGAGGTTAGGATATTGATCGGGGGAGTCCATTGTGGCAAGAATCGTCGGGGTTATGATAATGGCTTCACATCTGGTGGCCTTCTCCGTGTAGTCGTCCGAAGTGGCCATTATTATTGTTCCGCCGTTGCACATCGAATTAAAAATAATCCCTGCGCAACCTGTCGTGGATTTTAGACAAAGAAGAAAGCAAGATTGAGATAACAGACTGACCATCGAAAGCAATCGAGAATAGCAACAGAACCTTTTTCCCTGGTTTTATCACCAGAATACCATCGTAGTCCTGTATGATGAGATTCACGACACATGATTGCGGGACCATGACACCTTTTGGTTTCCCAGTCGTTCCAGACGTAAATATTATATACACCAAATCCGTGGGCTTCAGCTCTTGTCGCGCGCTGACGAGATATGGGTATTCCTCCAAGGATGGAGAAACACCTGGCGAGTCCAGGATTTCACGCCCTATGGTGATGACATTGTATCCGGGCAAGTCGATTTTGGTGGTTGCGAGTACTGTTTTCGCTGCAGTCGCTTCAAGAGCAGCTTCGACTCTGTCCCGACTCCAAGAAGCCACATCCATGGGAGCGTAGCAAGCTCCTAGCCTCAATACACCCACAACCGCGGGAAGCATTTCAAGTGACATCTTGGTCAGAATGGGGACTCGAGACCGTGGTCCAAGTCCGGCATCGTGGAGCAGGGACGCGACCCGGATGGAGGCCCGTCTCAGCTGGCCAAATGTCAAGCTTGTCTCTTTCCACTCAGCGGCAATTGCATCCGGAGACTTGATCGCCCATCGATCGATCATATCAATCAGAGCTCTTTCCATCTCTGGTTTGAGGGGAGAAATCATATTGGCCTTTGACAGCAGTTATACAAAATTACTTCGATTGCGAAGGACTTTGGCGGCGGTTGAGAGATGAGTTCACAGATACGGAATGCGATGAGGGGGAATGGCCAGACAAAGAGGCCCAAGTCCACGGCCACTTGTGTGATGCATGTCACGGGACGAGCCAGTTCGTCAAACGCATATCGGAATCAAGCTGATTTAGGCAAGGCCCGCATGATTACCTTGGTGCCTCAGGCGGGGAGTCGTGCCTCGACTGTAGACCCACCCCTAATCTTCATTGGCGTCATTGTCTCATTCTGCCAATCTTCTCTTCCTATATAATCCTATACCAGGAATTTGCTTTCTTGGTCATTGCCGTCAGTAGCAACTTGGACTACATATCACTATCAAGTTCAAAAGAGAAATATCATCCAATTCAATTTGTTTAGAATCGGGCGAAGTGGAACAGAGAACATGCCCTTGCCGGACCTGCAGATATGGAAAAGTGATATTATTCTCCAATTGCAGAATGACACAGGCAAACCCAAAGCCCTTGGCATTTTGGCTCTCCTTGCTTTTCTTTTCGCATGGCTAGTATCGATCCGATCGAAAAGAAACGATCTTCTCAACGTCCCACTCCTTACCAATGAAGACAATGATTTTGCCAATATCATGGCTGAGGGATATCGGAATGCATGTCAACCATTCTTGCTGACTAGGTACAATGACCAAATGCTTACATGTCCACAGTTCCGAGACAAGCTCTTCAAGATTCCCACCTCAAATTACCCAATGCTCATCGTGCCAACGAGCATGCTGGACGAGCTGAAATCGTTTCCAGTAAAAGCAATAAGCTTCCGACAAGAAATGTACGATCGCTACTTGGGCAAGTACACTGCCGTGGCTTCCAATAGTGATGGTATGGTCGACTCGGTGAAGAACAACTTGACAAGAGGCTTGAGTCGGATTCTGCCTCATTTGAAAGAAGAAGCAGAATACGCTGTGCAAGACTCTTTGGGTAATACAGCAAGTTGGGAAAGAGTCAATATCTATGGGGCTTCGACGAGGATGATCGCTCTGATGTCAGGGAGGGTTTTTGTTGGACTACCGCTATCCAGGAATGAAGATTGGTCGGTTCTCCCTTCTCAATCACCTGCATTGACTGGGGGCAAAGGATGTTAAGCTAACTAGTTCAGGGTGCGAAATTCAATCGGCATTACTATGAGTGCATTTTCCGGTGCCACCCAACTCTATAGATATCCATCATTCCTCTGGCCAATCGTTCGCCATTTCATACCCCAGACTATTGCCGTCAAAAAGCATCGAAGGGAGACGGAAGAGATGCTGGAGCCGCTAGTGAATAACAGACTCCGTGACATGGAGAATCCAAAGTTCGTCAAGCCTGAGGATATGCTCCAGTGGTTGATAGACAATTCGAAAGGCCGCGGTAACGATGTGCCGTTCCAAGCGAATGAGCATTTAGTCGTCAATATAGCTGCCATCCACACAACTGGAGGCCAGGTCAGTCTTCTGGCTGTTCTTTGCTATTGAATACATATGTAATTGCTAATATTTCAAAAATCAGCTTGCACAAACTCTCTTCGACCTCGCCCGATTCCCACAATATATCACACCTCTGCGTGAAGAAATAGCCAAAGTCTTCGCTCAAAATGACGCTGCTACCAAAAAGAGCCTCAATAAGCTCAGTAAGCTCGACAGCTTTATTAAAGAAGGACAAAGAATGAATCCATCCTTGCAAGTCACTGTGAATCGCAAAATTCTCCAGCCTGTTACGCTTTCCAACGGGGTCACTCTTCCTAAAGGAACGTCGGTCGCTGCTTCAGCAGCTTGTGTGAACAAAGATCCCGCCATATTTGAAAACCCAGAGGAATTTGACGGATTTCGTTATCACAATTTGAGGCAAAAAGAGGGCGATGAGGCGAAATATCAGTTTGCGACTATCGGCAGTGATGCTTTGAGTTTCGGTACATGGCACATTCTTTCACGTCTGAATTATCGGGCTAATTTGAATTTAATTTAGGACATGGTAGGCATGCATGCCCAGGCAGGTTCTTTGCCTCTGCTGAGATCAAAGTCTTGCTGTGCTATCTTCTCATGAACTATGACATCAGGCAGCCTGAAGACAGCAAAGGGCCACTGTATGTGCTTGCCGAGACTATTGCGACGCCAGATCCTACTCTAGATCTTGAGTTCAAACGCAGAGATTCTGCAATAGCCCCTAAATATACTGAATGAACAAACCGCGGGTTTCTTTTCGCTTCCATGTATAAGAGCCAGTGTTCAAAACAACGGGAAACTAGACATATCTTTTTGGTTTGCATGGTGGATTAAAATACGCCATTAGGTAATTGCTTGAACAACCCGTTTCCTATTTGCTCTCAAACCGGAAACGGTCTGAAGTCTGTAGCCACCTGCTGCTTCTTGGTATCGCTTTTGTTTTCCTCCCCAAACCAATCTCCTCTCAACCGTGCAATCGGCTCTTCCAACTCAGTGTATCTGTCACCCAGCGTCAAGATAGTTCTTCCGTTCCATCGGCCCAGTGTGGCCGCCAGTTCTTCTGGATCCCGACCGTATAACTCAACCTGCCCAAGCTGTGTGGCTGAAGAGGAGTAGACTACCGCCAGGCCAACAAACTCGGCAGTACTGACAGGAAGGCCGGCAGCGATAATTGGAGCAGCGAGGTCAGCTGGGAGAAGGGAAGTTATAGTGGCAGCGGGAGCGATGGCATTGATAGTGATGTTGTCACGGATGACCGTTGAGCGAAGAGAACGAACAAGGCCAATGAGCTGGAGTTGTCAGCTTTGCTATAAGAACAGAAAACGGCGGAAATGACTGACAGCTAGCTTGCAAGCACTATACACTGGTAGACTCTGCTCTGGAGAGTATGCCGTCGCACTCGACGTGATAACAATACTTCCTTGACACTTTCTCTTCCTGAAATGGCTCAAAGATAATTTGACGAAGTTGAATACTGCCTTCAAGTTCACTTCCACGACCGGATAAGCCGGTTCCAACAGTTCCCCATCTTCATCGAATGTGTCGGCGAAATAATCTCGGTCCTCCGAGACTCCAGCATTAGCAACTGCAATATCAATATTTCCTGCATGTAAGAACGCGCACTTGAGCTCGGCCCATTGAGAAATGTCGCATTTGCGATATTCGATGGCAGATGGAAGTGCCTCGTTGGGAGGGTTGAGGTCAAGGATTAAGACTTCAGCTCCGCGTTGGGCGAAGATCTTAACAGCTGCGAGCCCGATCCCGGAAGAGCCTCCTACGAGAGCGAAAAGATAAGATGCATGGGCTAAAGGTTCGCAAAGATATTCATACCTGTGAGGATCACCTTCTTGCCCACCAGACTGGGGATGTCTTCGAGCTTGATGTTCAGGGACGTCATAACGAACTGATACTGCGTTTTTCACCCCGGGAGGTAAGATGAGTTGAAGATTAACTGCCGGTCTCATGGGAATATATAGTGCGCGGTTGGAATAGGCTAGTGCAAAGTGCAGAGCTATACCCATTCTAGAAAGAACCGAAGGAGAGCGAAGACTCCAATGGGTTGGAGTTTTTTATCCAAGTTTCAGACTATGTTGCCTATTTTTGGATGGTCATGAATATAATGATAAAATTCTCTGCTTGCCTATTTGGTCGAGTCGTTTCCTCGGGGTCGGAATCTCACAGGGAGCGATGGCTTCCACCACATAACATGTATACTACTTTGCTTTTCCCAATCCAACGCCGAGTCGAGTAGCTCGAGATCAAAGGCATAAAGTAATTTAGCGAGAATAGTACACATTTCCACGTATGCAAAACTGTCATCGGCGTGAGTCAAGATTCCAGACCAGATAAACAAGGGGAAATATTTGGCTTACTTTCGGCCTAGACAGCCACGTGGACCTAAGGAAAAGGGTTGACTAGCTTCCTTGACATCAATACAAGCGGGATCAATCCACCGGGAGGGCTTGAAGACGTAAGGATCGTGAAAGTATCGTGAGTCGTGGGTTACGGTCCAAGCGCTTGTGTAAACCTCAGTCTGTGGAAAACTCGAACGTCAGCATAAGTTCTAAGGCATTCATCACAATGAGGGTCATAAAGTCCTAGACCTGATATGAAAGGAAAAAGAGTCTTAGCTTACCCCAGGAGGAATATACGCGCCACCAATTACCGTCCCGGGGCTCAGACGGGGAAAGCCTTGAGATCCAGGTGGATAAATGCGCAGACCTTCTGAGATGACGGCTTGGAGGTACTGTAGCTGCTGTGCAGCTGTGGCGTTGATATCAGATAGACAGTCGAATCGGGATCGAATCTCTTGGCAGAGCTCTGCGTAGACGGACGGGTTTTTGAGAAGGTGATAGGTCGTAGCAGACAGGAAAGTCGCGACCGTCTCTCCACCGGCGATGCTGGAAATTAGGTCAAATTTATGCGCCAATCTTGGGATGCGAGAGTTCAGGGAAGGGTGCTTGCTCACATTAAAGTAGATGAATGCGCAGTCAATTCTTCCTTTCCAATCTCGCCGCTTTCTACCTTTCCAACAAGGTGGGTCAGAAAATCCTTTCGAGATGACTGACTCGCAAGTCTCCTTCGACACCAGTTAGAAATATTTTTTTTTTGACGAGAAAAGAAAATGTGAAGACAAACCGGTCGACTTTGTCTCGACTGAACTGCGAATGCTGATCTCGGACCGAGAAAGTAAGTTTGGGGAGTAGAAACGCTCCAATGTAGTAAAAGATGGGATAGCGGCGAAGATTGTCAATCAGCGTGATAAAAAAGAGATGGGACGTTATCATCTCACTCCAATGATGAGGTTTGCCTAAGACTGTTAGCTGTTCCAATATTATATTCAGCAATTATAATCCAGACTTGCCATTTTGGATGCAATGAAAGGTTTCCCCGAATGCCATCTCACCCAATATATCAAATGCTAGCATCTCAAACCACTTGGTCATATTTAATCCCTTTTCTTGGGTACCGTCCGCTCTTAACTTGTCGATAAACTGGTCTATGCAGCTTTGCACAATCGACTCCTGCTCCATAATAGCCTTGGTCGAGAAAGCAGCGGTCAAACATTTTCGCATACGGGAATGAACCTGCGGATTGCGCTCCGATCCAATACACAGTGAATCGAAACCAGATCCGTAGATATTGTAAAACTCGCTTTTCACCATCGTGGCTTTCCCCGCAATTGGGTGTCCGTAAATAGCTTTCCAAGATTCGACCGAGGCAAAGGAGAGTTCGTTAGGGGAGATACGAACTATGTCACCTGTATGTTGAGGCCTGTTAGATTACTTTTTGTGCCTGGATTCTCTTGGGGTTTTGGTCTTGGGTTTCTACCATATCTTTTGTGTGCTTTGTCAATGGCAACGTGGAATCGTCCCCCCGTTGAGTGTAGCACTCGCCATAGCTGATTTGATCCTTAGCCACGACCCAACCCAGCACCACTGGAGAAGGCTTATAGGCATACCAGAGATGAACGTCCAAGCAACGGACCAGGAAACTTGGCGAGTGGGTGGAGATATACATTATAGAAGGCCAATGAAGCAGAACAGATTGCCTAGTCAGCGTCAGAACTCGCCATTCTCATCTTTGATTCCCTTTAGAATTGCTGAGGTTGGCCTACTATGACAATGAGAATGGAACTGATGAGTCTCGTGCTGAGACTTTGTGAGAAGTGCGGAGTCTGCGATGTTTCGTGCAATGACATAGCGAATACTCGAGCGAAGATGAACAAAAGCAGTCTTCACTGACCTTGAAACTGATATATTTGCAGATATGGATCGAGGCAGAGAACTAAACATCCAGATTGGGGAACGTTCGGCCACACCCAGATAGGCAACTCCGAAGAAAGTGTTAAAGTCTTTTGCTTTTCACATTCTGATGGAGCGGGAAGGTTTTAGCATTTTGCTTGTCTTATAATACATTAACGCAAATAGAATCATCATATAAAGTAAAATGGCCATTGAGCCGTTCCCATTCTGGCTCTACAATCTGGGTCTAGCCAACGATGAGGCACACACAACCACTTCCAGGTCTTATGGGGTTCGCGGTGGAGTGGATTCTGAAGTAGAGGATTTTATTGTCCTTCAGACTGTATCCATAGATCATGTATCAGGTGAACCATTAAACCGTGTAGTCACATCCGCCAGTTGTCTATTATAGGATGGCTTCATAGAACTTGGGAGACTATATATTCAGAAGCTTTTAGGACGCCTCTAATTGCCTGTGTATAATTTCTACCGGATCCACTACTACAATATATATTTTTGTTTCATTGTACCTAGATGAGATTGGCAGTTGACCGCAAAGGTCGCTTCACCCACAATCCCCAGCCAGTCTATATTTAGCAGCTATGTGCCGCTGATCTCCAGAGGCTCATTTTAATTATTTCTGCCTTTCAAAAGGTCACATTCGCGCCTTGAAAGAGCCAGCGACTCTTCCGACCCAGTACCCACGTGTATTTCCTCAGACCAAGCGAAGCTCATTCCCGCATTCCCTCACAGCCCTTCTCCTGCGGAGCAACAGTTGTGCGGACTCGTCTGGAGTTATAGCTGCACCGAATATTTTGTTTGTCGGCCTTCCGGCTTTTTCATCAAGTAATTTGATATCAAAAGTCTCAATTATACGAGAGAAAATAGCCTTCAGCTCATAACTGGCGAAGAATCTGCCTGGACAACCTTGGCGACCATGACCAAAGTGCAAGGCCTTTGGAGTAATTGTTGTGAATTGGAATTTGTGCATATCATCCTTGCTTCTGGACCGCAAATCAGCGAAACGGAAGCCACGAAACTCGTTTGCCGACTCCCAGATGTCATCATCCAAGGATACAAGAGCTGCAGGGGTGAGAATGTAAGTTCCAGGAGTGAACTTTACTCCATTGCTGAGTGTGAACTCCGTCAATACCAGCCGACTGTATGTCACTATACGTAATGTCAGTGGGCCGTTATAAATATCAAGATTCTACTCCCATGGAGACCTTTTGATTTGAACGTACTCAAACTTGGGGGGTTCAGCCGCTGTGACTCTTTCATAAAGCTATCCATCCTGATCATCTTGTTGTAGTCGAATTTGGACGGGATGCCTTTACAGGCCTTCTGTATGGCATATTGCTCTTCCCGCAGAGGCTCAACATACTCTGGTCGTGCGGCGAGATCATAGAGAAAGTGCGTCATAGCGAGAGTAGATGTATGCAATGCTGAGAAACAGACAAGTAAATGCAATTTCGCCAGCTCCGCAAAACTCCTAGGGTGCTTCTCTTTCGCGTTGTTATCCATGAGCCACTGAATCATGTCATTTGGTTTCTTGAAGTTGGGGTTCGATGCTGCATCCCTTTGACGCTGCTCCATAATCGGAACGAGCAGACGCTTGGCTGTGGCTTGGTGCCTCCACACCTTGCGAATCTCTGGCACCAGAAACCTGGCTGCAAATGGACGCATGAAGTGGCTATACTTATACAAGGCATTGCTCGCAATATAGATATCCATCATGAAGTTGCTGGAGATGTGTAGCCATTCTTCGTTGCGGTTAAGCTCCGGGCCCACGAATACACGTCCGGTCATGAGGGAGACGATGCGCAATATTCTTGGCTGGATGGTGACGGGAGTCCAGTCTAAAACATATTAGGACAAGCCCATGTGCTTTTTCGCTACTCAAAGAACTCACCTTTGCATTCAGGGAGTTCGGTGCTGAGAGCATGGTCAATCTCATCTGCAACCTCTGATAGCAAGCTTCCTGTCAAAAACGACGATCACGTTAACCTAGAAACATAATACATGGTGTCGCAGCCAGTCGCTCTTACCAAAATTCTGGGTTAGGTCTTTCAGAATTGTGTGCGCTTCCAACGGGTCTCCTAGCTTGACCCATTCGTAGTCGCCCACCATACGCTAGAGTCAACTGGTCAGTCTTTATTCTGTCCCTTGCACTAGACTATCCAACCTTTCGCGTTCCTTCATAGAAATCTATAGTTCCAGGTGGAAGAGAGCTTAATTCCTCTAGAAAGTCTGGCGACACGATAGTGGTAAACCCATGGAGGCTCCAGATCTGATATATGCCGTGTTTGAACTCCTTGTATCCACGTTGGAGCAACCCTTTGGCATCTGCAACGTATGCCTTGAGCGCGGCATCATACTCATTCCCCTTGAGATTGAGAATAGGCACGTCAATTCGCTGTCGTTTGAGCTTCTGGGCGCGTAAGTAATTGTCGGACCAAAAACGGACGAAGATAGTGGCCGCTAAGGAGATCAGGATCCAGGCGACGGTACCAAAGCTTCGAGGGCCCGTGAATATTTCGAGAAAAACCATGATAGAGGATCAAAAAAGAAATCATAAGGCTGGGGAGAAGGAAAAAAAGGAGTCTCAAATCAGCACGGGTAGCTGGTGTACTTAAAGGAAATATTTTGTAGGCGCATCTTCTCGGGATTTGCGTATTTGGCAATTGCATGAGAGATTTCCACCCCACTGTATTACACAAAATCGACATAGAGCGGGACCGACTCTAGAGTATGGGTGGGTTGCATTGAAACCACTGTCTCCATGACTATATTTTGTTTCATTTTCCACGGATATAAATTATGGCATCCCATTCGATATGTTGTAAAAGGTGAGGCCTCGGATTTGCTAACCGTGTTTATCCGCGCTGATATAAGTCTCTGGGATACGATTTACTCTCAAACCATTCTACTACTCTTATGACTTTGATTACCTGACAAGTTTGAATTAAACGAATAATAATTTCCCAAGGGCACTGAGTCAATAGTACTTCTTAAAGGACGGGCTCATCTGAGACAGAATGGTATCTGAGTGTCGTCTGGCTCCACCTCTCATTTCCGCTCATCTGATACTCCAACCCCTTGGCATAGGTCTGGACCTCCCACTCATCCGGCAACTCATTGACTAGCACCGCATGGTTTGTCTCCCAACCCTTACACATAAGCAAAAGCACCTTCTTCACTGCCTCATAGGGTAAATCAGTCTCCTGATTCAGAACCTGCACAGCGGAGCATATGGCGGCTCCTTCTACATGGCCCGTTTTTGATGCTCGGAGCTCTTTGTCCCAGCTGTAAACATCGTTCATGATAGAAAGATGCTTGGCGCAGTTCTGCTCGACTCCTTTCACAGAGTCAAGCTGTGCTGGGGTGAGGTGAAGGTCCATCGAGAAGCGCATCAACGCACACAGAAGACTAAATATGAACATGATTAATATTTCTTCTCCACGGCCCACAAAAAGAAGTTGAGTGGGATAATACATACGCTTTCCCAACATCTCTCTCTCTGTACTCCAAGTAAGGCCCAAGCCCTTGAATATTCAACCTTAGCTTGTCGGTCTGTGCCCTCATAAATGTAAACACCGGCTCCAAGATCTCATCCGCAAGTGATTTGTCATATGCCCTCATACTTTTCCACAGGTCATACGTGATCCACTCCACGGGGACGTCTCGATTGGGCAGAACCTCTCCTCTGGAAATAGGGATGAGGTTCTCATTGTACTTCGCGCCTTCCTCCAAGCTCATATCCTCAAGAATATCTATCAGATATCAATTTTATTGTTCAAAAGTCCTCAAAATCATGCAAATAGGGAGATTCATACCATCGATCAAGAACAACAGCGTCAACAAACGACAGGCGAAGTGAATTCTATCATCCTTTGCAGTTGGAAAATAGAAGCAAGTGACAGTAGAGAAGCCTGCTGCCACAAACCTTTTCCTTGCCTTCTCGTTTTCAAAAGGCCAGTGCTGAAGAAAATAATCATTGACCTCAGCTGATACCTCTTCGACGCGTGGATGACATTTGGGTATGAACTCAGACGATATTTCATGGAGGGCTTTAGGTGGTGGTGACAAAGCAGGAGATGATGTCTCAAGACCAAAGAAGTAGAGAAGCGAATACAGAGCTTTAACGGGGGTCAATATCGGTGCCATAGTTGAAAATTCTGGTCTCAGAGTTCCGATTTCAAATAGAATGTTCAATTTGGGGCCAATGCATACATAGAAGAAGCCATATGGGAGACTTTATTTCCCTCGAGCTTAGTCTAAACCTGGGCCCTGTAAGTAGATTCGGTCTTTTCCGGAAGCGTGTCAACCGACTTTTATTCCATGGATCTGGTCCAAGACTTTGCGTCCGAATAGCGAAAACTCACCTGGACACGATATATACTGGGTTCTTTCTCCATCCGTGGACCAGTGGACTTGATATGCTACCTAGCAACTCTAAATCAAGTTTCACGTTGATTTCCAGCATTAATCAAATGTGGCCATCTATATCAGTTCCTTGGCTTTTATGAGGCTCCTGAACGGTGATAACTACAAAGCCCCAGGTAGAATTGCAAGTCGGGACTTCCTAATACGGAGTATCCACAGGTTAACATAGATCTTGCAATCAGTGTATACTTTGACTGAAAAGTGTTATATTGCCAGTTACAGTTTGAATTTAACTGTGCTTCATTTGTCTTATTGCTACTGATAGTAGAACTAATACTCGAGAGGAATGCTCTGAATATCCCATCTATCAATCCTGTTCACCTCAAGATCTCCCTTTTAAGTGTACTACCTTGGGTCAAACCTTGTCTCCTTTAGGCTTTGGCCTTACCATAAGCTTAGGCTTTTTCCATAGCGTATGCATCTCTGATGCCTCTTGCCAATTCAAAGTATCATCCATCAGCTCAAGATCATATTTGAAATATAGTTTCGCCAAAATCGTGCGCAGTTCCATCCATCCAAGACTGTTTTAATCTTAGCCACTACTTCTATCTCTCAAAGAGCGATAAGATGCAAGTAGAGCGAGAATGATGACTTACCTTCGTCCCAGACACGCTCTTGCACCATATGAAAAAGGTTGCGAGGCCTCCAAGTTATCCAGCTTATTCGGACCGATCCACCGCTCAGGTTTGAAATCCCAGGGGGAGGTAAAGTTGTCCGAGGACATGCACGTCGCGAAGGGATTGGTTGAGACGACGGTCTATCACATGCTCAATATGCCAGATCTTGAACCGATCGAGTCCAGTAAGAAGGAGCACTTACTCCAGCCGGCAAGAAATGCCCATCAACTGTATCTCCTCCCTCTGGAACAACCCGCGGGAGCGCAAAAGGCAAAGGCGGATAGATCCTCATGCCCTCCACCAAGACAGCATTCAGATATTCCATCGACTGCGTCGATGCTGCCGTAATTTGGTCGTAATCTTTGAATGTCGAGCGAATCTCGCTTTTCAGTTTCTTCAGAACTTTAGGGTTTCGTTGGAGATAATAGGTGACACAGGCCAATGCCGTAGCTGTTGTCTCGCTTCCCGCAATCACAAAGTCAGACGCATGTGCTGCGATCTGTATTTCCGATATCTCGTCTGTTTTACGGGCATCGAGGATTCTTGTGATGAAATCCGGTCGATCGGTCTTTTTATTCACTCGCCTTTCATAGTCTCAGTAAGGTATAATATTAGCTGGGGGGCCGACTCACTTTTTTATCAATTCAATAGTGTAGGCCTCGTGCCTTCTGGTATCTGCGATCAGTTTGTTAAGAAGACTGGGGAATAACTTGATGAAGATGGCTGCCAGATAAGGAAATCGCTTGAAGCAATCAGCGAGAGCCCCCATTCTCATGCTTTTCACCACAATAGACACCCAGAAATGCTCAGTCCCGGAAGCGACACCTTGAAATACCTGACCAAAAGCTAAGTTGCCAATGATGTCAAAAGTGGTGAGGTTTAACCAAAGAACTAAATCAACTCCGTTATCTCCCTTTTCACCAATCTTCTCAATGAAAAGATCCACCACCTCGGACACCAAGTACTCTTGTTCTCTCAGCGACCGGTCCGAAAAGGCATTGGACAAATATTTACGCATCACCGCGTGTTTTGCTGGATCGCGCTCGCTAACAATTGAATGGGCCTCCGCCGCAAAGCTTCCCCCATCGTAGAAGTCGCTTTTGATAAATGGTTGATGGTCTTTACGCTGACCATAGATATCTCGCCACGAGGTGGATGTGTTGAATGAAAGCTCATTTGGGGTTACGCGTACTACGGGACCTTTGAGGTGGTTAGTATAAATCCCGCCTCAAACAGAAGTGCGTGGACTTGCCATACTTCTCGTGCAGCCTGAGCATCTCATATGGCTGACGGCCACCCATGAATCGACGAGAGTAGGAAATCTATCTTTTTTTAGGGCCTCTCCACTCATTTCGAGCAATGTTATTGAATCTTACATTGCTGAACGCGGCTGTTGGGGGACCGGGAAACTTGGACAATGGATGGCGTTTGATTTTGATCCATATTGCCACAACCCAAGCCACGAGGGCCTTTCACAAAGTTCACATGTTAGCGTATTTATCTCAGGATCTATGAGTAACTCTACTTACGATAGAAAGTATCTTCAGGGCAGAAGTACCAGTGAGGTCAGCCAGTACTGCCATTATCGCCGTCTTGTAAGACTTTGTAAGAGATATAATGGATAATACGCAGAAGGAGAAAGCAAATATGTTCAACGTATTTTGTTCATCTTAACACCTGATGTTACTCTAAATGCGTTAGAGCCCGAACAATTGAGTTGTCAGATTCCGAATGAGGAGTTCCCCGAGAATCCGATCGCAGACCCCTTGTCTTCCCCTGTATCCATTACTCTTCGATTTTTGTCGAGTAACTAACTCCTTCGTTTAAATAAAACTTCCTGGTTTGGATCAGGCTTAAAGGCCACATCGTAGGTGATCGGCTTGGGTCGTCCTTTGCCGTCCGGAAGCGCAAAATCAAATGATCTGATCAAATGCGCAAGCACAATTTTTACCTCATTGTTCGCAAAAAATCTCCCAGGGCAACTATGTATATAGTGATGGATTAGTGACCACAATTGTGAGCGATTGTGCAAGTCTTACGCGTGAGATCCATATCCAAACAACAGCATATTCGTTCCCGTTGAGACAAACTGCATATATTCAGTTCACCGCGCTCAATAATGACCAGTTGGACATGGAGAAATATACCTGATACTTATCCCCGCATCCCGGTTCCTGTCTCATCCGATAAAACCGAAGCCCGTCATATTTTTCTGGAGTATCCCAATGTTCAGAATCCATGGCAATCTGACTTGATGCCGCCGCCAGGTACGTCCCGGAAGGAATATGCAAGCCATTGGAAAGCTCCAGCGAAGATGTTGCTTTTCGATTGAAAGTCATGATCCCCGGTGGGTTATGTCTCTGCGTCTCAGACATAATGCTATCCATCTTTTTCAATTTGAGTAAAGCAGCCTTAGAAAATTGCCCCCCGGTCGTATTTAATACCTCTTCCAACTCGTCTCGCAGAAGCTGCAGGTATTCGGGATGGGCCGCAAGGTCAAAGCATACGTTTGTCAGGAGCTTGGCCGTAGTGTGAATTGCGAGAAAGCTGACTTGAAGCTGTTGCATCGCTTGATACTTCACATCATGGCGCTTCAATGATGGAGAATTATTCATGTTCCAATCCATCATGTTGGGGGCGCCATTTTGCTTGCCCTTTAACCTCTCGTGGACCAACGGTGTGACTAGTCTGGTGAGAGTTGCGAGTTCTCGCTGGACGGCACGGTACTCGGGGACAAACCTGTAGATGAACGGCCTCAATATAGGATGCCAGGCACGGATTTTGTTGGCAGCGTTGAAGGAATCCAAGGTGTAGCCAACGGTGCAGTCCTGATACTCTTCATTTCGACCCAGCTCTGGACCCACAAAGACTCGCCCAGAAAGTAATGCAATGATAGAAAGCATTATGGGCTGGACTTTCAATGAAGTCCAAGCTTCAATCTTGAAATGTTAGCTCTGGGTTTGGTGGGATTTTGCTCAGCTGCTGACCTTTGCATTCCGGAATTCTTGCAGACAGCGCATAAACGGCTTCTTCATCCATTGTTTGGATTATGTTTGCTTCGAACAATTAGCTGGTAACTAAATTGTCGACAAGATCATCCATGGTACTGACCCACGTTTCTTGCAAGATCGTCCGAGATACTTTTGAGGACTGTCGCATCATGAGTCCCAACGTATGTCGAAGGACCCAAAAATTGCTACATCTGACATTAGAACAGCCCACAGGTCTTGGCTTCAGCCATCAATACACCCACATCACTCAGCGATTTGGCCAGACTAATCTTATTTTCCGGCAATGATTTGAGCTCATCCAGAAACTTCACAGGCAGTACCCATTGCTCCCCATGGGGACAACAGAGCTTGAACACATTGTACTTCGACTGTGGTGGGAATTAGCCATGCGGAAGCAAGCCAGTCAGCGAAAACGACCTGCCTTTTGATACCCTTCCTTCAAAAGTTCCAGTAGAGGGGGTCGCTTTTCGTTTCGGTTAGGTATGTGTGCTATCAGTGGCACACTGTCGTTCTTTCTTGGTAATAGCAGGTAAACTGATAATAGCAGTGCCAGGACGATGATCCCAATGAGTGGCTGATCTTTCAGATCCAAAATCTGCCATAGGGTGATAGTGAGGTTGCTCATGTTGATTGGAGCGACAGCCAACAACACTGTTCATAGGCTGCAATGTGGTTGTACGCTACAATGGACTACCACATGTATTGTATTCCGGCGGCAGAGCCTTCGCAAACAAATTTCCCAGCTGTGAACTGCCCCCAAAATGGCATAAATGAAACATTCTATTGTGGCTAGAACGTTTTTGGCAAGACTAGAAAAATCAGCACTGATACTGTAAGCTTTGGGCAGCTCCGAATTGGGGGAACTCCTCTTTGCACAATGTCGCTGGTGCATCGCGCAACGGGATGGACCTAAACGGTCGATCCCGATCTCGATTTGGCTAGTGTTCATTATACACTGCACATTGAGTCTATTCGTTGTGGCAAAAATCTGGAAGTTTCCATGACTATTTGTTTGAATAGTTCCGAACGCGAACGTTATCATAGTCAAGTGATACTGCCGTTTTCCGCAAATACGTGAGGCACTGATTTAACTAAATAAAATGAATGATAGAATGCTCAGCTCGATGGACGCAGAGAAAATCTTCTGACAGTGCTCACAGAGCTTATAAAACTATCGCATTGTGTTATTTCGGCTTTCATTCAAACATTCCTTCTCAGAAACATCACTGTCGCCGTCCCATTTGGCAAGTACTGCGTTTCAAACAGTAAGCTCTCCGGCCTTTTTTGCCCCTCTTTAAATTTCATATCATAATTCTGTAATAGGTATGCCATAATCGCCTTGATTTCGTTGGCGGCAAAAAACCGACCAGGACAGGCATGACGACCATAGCCAAAAGACATTGAATTGTGGTTGCTTGCAGCGTACTGGGCCTTGCCATTCTGCTCCGGATTCTGGCGCAGTTTCTCGAATCGAAAGCCATCAAACCTAGTGGGATTGTCATAGATCTTGGGATCCATGGAAATAGCCTGTGTAGGAACTCCAATTGTTGTGTTGGCAGGAATTACAAACCCATCCGATAGTTTGTAGTCTTCGGTAACGACACGCTCGAAAGTAACTAAAGGAGCGATGCTTTGTCAGTATGCCATCCAGAGTTAAACAGTCCAGTCAGCCAGCGCTGAAAGGATTCACGACTCACTTAGAAGGAGTGGGTTAAAACGCTGACTCTCCTTCATGATGGAGTCCATTTTAGGCATTTGCAAGAAGCCCTTCTTTCCTATAGCCCCGTCTTCCAGGACACTGTTGATCTCGTCTCGTAGCGGCTTTATATACTCTGGCATAGCGCAAAGGTCGTAGATCAACTGAGACGGCGCAGCTGCGCTAGTGTGAATAGCAGCAAAACTGACTTTCAGAAGAATACTTGCCAGGAACTTGTGATCCTTTTCGTCGCCTTTAGCCTGGTCGGCCATCCAATACAGCAAATCCAATGCTTTCTCGCCCAATCTCTCCCTCTCTTCTAGAAGGGGTATTGCGGCTTTTTCGGCCATTCGATAATGCTCATGGATCGACATGATCTCGGGAATGAAGTATTTGGCTATAGGCTTCAGAAATTCAGGATATTTCTTGATTTTCTGAGCTCCGTGAAATCCATCAATAGCAAATGCGATGGAAGCATCAATCCACTCTTTGTTGCGACTAAGAGCCGGTCCCCCAAACATGCGGCTCGAGACCCTGGCAACAATTCGTGTCATACAGTCAACGACGTTGACCTCGGTCCAGTCTATCGTTCTCAGGTTAGGAACCTGTCAAGTTTCTTGGACGGATACTAACCATCACAAGCAGGGAATTCAGATTCGAAAGATTCCTTGATCTCTTGTTGGATCTCGGGCATGACAGCTGGAAGATTGCTGTTCAATTGGTGTTTCACGACTCGAGGGTGCAACGTCGACCGGCTCCCCATGGTGGTATATTTTCCTTCAAACATCTATAGAAACCATTAGTGTCTAAATACGGATAGAATGGAAATATTACCTCTTGGAAAGTAGCCACAAAATCAACCTTGTCGATTGGAGCTGTTTTGAGATCTTCTAAGTACTTGACTGGTATCATGAGACGTTCGCCTAAGACACTGGGAACATAAAAAATGTTGCCCGCCCACTAAAATATGTTAGAGCACTGCTACTGAAGTGATATCCCCATGTACCTTTTCATAGCCTTCTTCAAGCATTGACTTTCCATCGTGTATAAAACGAATGCGGTTTTTCTGGATGCTCTGGCGATCATCACCGCCGACGATTGGAACTCCGGGAACAAGACGCTGTCTTTTCACCACCCATCGCTTAATGAGAAACCGTATGAATAGAACTGCTCCCAGGAATGGTAGCAGTCGGGAATGAATTTGGGAAGCTTGAACCCCATGGAGATAATCGAAGGACACCGAAGATAACACCATATTGGACAATAGAATTGAGACCAATTACAGAGCCAGTGCCAGTGCTGGTGAATACTTTTCCATCGAAACTGCTTACATTATTGGCAATTATCAATGAGCCCATGTCTCCAATCGGAGATGACAAAATCGAGCGTCTGACCACTTCGGTGTTTCCGTATCGGTCTTAGTTTCGTCAGCCGTAGCTTGAGAGCTTGGGCAAGGATCGATATAGGGAGCTGAAGCTCCATAGTTTAATCCCAACTTACTTCTTTCTTTTCAAGGTGAGAGGATGGCAGACCCTTTTGCTACCTGGAAGGTCGATTCGACAGACAAAGGTCGCAAATTTGGCACTCTTCAAGTCCATGCAGGTCATAAACCAGACTCGGCAACCAAATCGAGAGCTGTTCCAATATATGCAACAGCTGTAAGATCTTCAATGCCCCTTTGTTTTATCTAGTGCTGATGAACAAGTCTTTTGTATTCACCGATACCGAGCATGCAAAAAGAGTCTGCACAAATCAAGAAGGCGGATATGGTGAGTTCCTCCTGCCTTTCTCATCCGGACATATATTAACTCGTCTAGTATATTCTAGAATTTCAAATGTTTGTATCTCAACTCACCGCGAACGATATTTCTCTGATTTCCATAGCCAACTGTCGAGGTATTTGAAAGGAGAGCTGCGGCTTTAGAAGGTGGCACTGCGGCTGTTGCAACTGCCTCCGGCCAGTCTGCCGTGTTTCAAACCATCATTGCTTTGGCAGGATCTGGAGACAACATTATCTCCTCGCGCAACCTATACGGTGGGAGCTACAGCATGTTCAAAACCCTCCTCCCTCGACTAGGTATTGAGGTGAGATGGGCATCAAGCGATAAGCCTGAAGAAATTGCAGGATATATCGATGAGAAAACAAAGATGGTATTTGTAGAGACCATTGGAAATCCTCGGTGCAGTGTACCGGATCTGCGAGGAATAGCAGATGTCGCACATCGACAAGGCGTTCCCTTCGTTGTCGACAACACATTCGGGGCTTGCGGTGCCTTTTGTCGGGCTACAGACCATGGAGCGGATATTGTGGTACACTCGGCGACAAAATGGATCGGAGGCCATGGAACCTCGGTTGGTGGGGTGATAATAGATTCAGGGCAATTCGACTGGGGACAAAGTGCAGCTCGTTTTCCTCAGCTCATTGAAGAATCTGGACCTTTGAACTTTTCTTATTGGAGAACGTTCGGGAATTGCGCATTTGCAATGGCTCTTCGAATCAACGTGGTAATGGAAGTAGGCTCGGTTCTCGGTCCTTTTGCTGCTCAGCAGCTTCTCCTTGGGTTGGAGACTCTCAACTTGAGATGTGAGAAAATCGGGTCAAATGCGCTCAAAATAGCACGCTTCTTGGAGTCAGATCCTCGTGTTGCCTGGGTAAACTATCCAGGTAGGTGATCCAGCTTGATTGGACGTCTTCAACTTTTGTGACTTACCTTCGCTTCGTAGGACTTGAGAACAGTGAATATTACGGTCTCGCGAAGAAATACTTGGCCGGCGGGTTTGGCGGTGTTCTCTGTTTCGGTGTGGCAGGTGGCGCTCGTACAAGTGATATTCTAATTGACAGATTGCGCATCATTTCAAACATGACAAAGTTGGTGGCTTGAGATCCTTTCTTGCTTCAGGCGACTAAAACAAATTGATAGTGTTGGTGATTCGAAAACGATGATTACTCACCCCTGGAGCTCTACTCATGTTATCATGTCCGAGGAAGATAGGATTGGAGCCGGAATCACAGAGGAGATGTTTCGTCTATCAGTAGGGACGGAAGATGTCGAGGATCTCATTCATGATTTTGATCAAGCACTGGCTAGTCCGGATCCACCGACGAAGAATGTGAGCAGTAAGCGCTCTCGAGCGGTCGCACCGATTTCAGATGACGAAACTGCGCAGAAGCGACAAAAGAAAACAGAGAATATTCGGAACAGAGAGAGCAGAAGGATGTGTGGACAGTCGAGCAAACAATAGCGGCCATTTGATACACGATTCGCAGCTAGTTAATCCAGCACTGAGAGGTTGATTTAAAAAGAAAATTGTCTACATTGGAGCATCACTCATTTATTCGAGCAATTAACTTCAGCTTGAAGCCTTCTTCGGGGACAGTATGAATAGCTACCTTCCTAACTTTATTCCCGACCATATCCCTGGCAGGGCTATGGCTCTGATTGGCTCCTGGAAGGTGGGGCGGGCTCAGGGATATAGGCCTCAGATATCCCTGAACTCCTGTGCTCCGATTGGTCTGAAAATTTATATAGTTCTATTCTGATATTATATAAGGGTGCTTACAAAATTTGGGACCGATCGGAGTACGGGAAGGTAGTTAAAAATAAGGACCTAATTTGCACTTTTTTTTTTGATAGGGTGCGACCGGCGAATCTTGATACCGGCCGCGATACCGATCCGTATCGGTCTTATCTTAGCAGCCTAGTAGTAAAGATATATTACTGTATCTGTATCTTACACTCCCAGTATTTAAAATCGCGGACTTAGAAAAAAAAATATTTAAGATATATTTTTAATAATAATAATATATAAAAAAAATATATAAAAATACTAAAAAATAGTATAATATACTATTCGAAAAGGGCTATAAAATACACTATCTAGCTTTTATAGAGCTGGCCTAAAGGGAAGATATTAGCCGATTCATCCGAAAAAATCAAAATTGCTAGTAAATATACTTGAAAATATATATCTTAGTAGTATATACTATATCTTTGTATATATATATATATTTGCTGGGATAGGAGTAATATATAGTTTAATTTAATTCAAGTAATTTGTAATACTTTATAATACTAAGAGAGATATTATATAGAGGTAAATACTAAGATTATATAATATATATAGAGGGGTAAAATAGGAATCGGTAAGGACACCCTAAGTTTTTAGTAACGGTACCCCAGCTGATTATCTAATACTAGTTATTATATAATCTCACCACAACCACTATTGAATTCTATACTATTCACTGAATCCATTATACTTTATATAACCGAATTGTATACCCAATTTCCCTACAGTTTAAGCACTTTGATAGTGCTTTTTTCTTACCGGTTGCAACTACACTATTATTCCCACTTCCTTCTGATCTTTTGGCCTTTGGTATAGGTAATTAAGGTTCTAGGAGTGGTAGATAGGTAGATTGGTCCTCTACTCCTAGATTTTACCTCTAAAATAGATAAATAGCGGATAATAGAATTGGCTGCTTCGAATCTAGTAACCGTACGATTCGGTGGGCGTATAGAAGGCCTATTGTCCTAGTGAAGCTATTAGTATATTCCGATAGAGGGGTAAGGGGTGTAGCTCTTTTAGCAATATTCACTTGATTATATATACCTATTATTAAGTCTTTACCCACCCGTATTTTCACCCTACCTATTTAAATATATATATCTACATTTAACTATATACTATATCACCACCTATTGCTTAATTTACTTCTAATAAAAACAGGGTTCGAGCCCTACTATCCTCAGTTAATATACACTTAATATTTAGTATAATAACCTTTAGCTTTTTATACAGCCTTACACCTCCGCTCTATACTCAGAATCAGCCTATCAATTCTCGCCTATAGTATTTCCTCCCACGTATATATAATACAGCGCTTGAAATAAGCCTAATCCTTCTTCGAACGACCTATATATATCAGCTGAGGATATAATTCAAATAGCTTCACTTTTAACTATCTCTAGACTAGTTCAATTGGGTTCAAATTAGGTAAGTATACAGGCCAATCTTTAATATATACTCTGTGCTTTTCAAACCACTCTTAAGTAATTTTTGCGATATAAATCTTCGTATTATCTTACTGGAAGTCTAGTAGCCGAATACAGGTATACACCGACACCTAACTCTATTCCCGACCATATCCCTGGCAGGGCTATAGCTCTGATTGGCTCCTAGAAGGTGGGGCGGGCTCAGGGATATAGGCCTCAGATATCCCTGAACTCCTGTGCTCCGATTGGTCTGAAAATTTATATAGTTCTATTCTGATATTATATAAGGGTGCTTACAAAATTTGGGACCGATCGGAGTACGGGAAGGTAGTTAAAAATAAGGACCTAATTTGCACTTTTTTTTTTGATAGGGTGCGACCGGCGAATCTTGATACCGGCCGCGATACCGATCCGTATCGGTCTTATCTTAGCAGCCTAGTAGTAAAGATATATTACTGTATCTGTATCTTACACTCCCAGTATTTAAAATCGCGGACTTGGAAAAAAAAATATTTAAGAGATATTTTCAATAATAATAATATATAAAAAAAATATATAAAAATACTAAAAAATAGCATAATATACTATCCGAAAAGGGCTATAAAATACACTATCTAGCTTTTATAGAACTAGCCCTAAAGGGAAGATATTAGCCGATTCATCCGAAAAAATCAAAATTGCTAGTAAATATACTTGAAAATATATATCCTAGTAGTATATACTATATCTTTGTATATATATATATTTTTGCTAGGATAGGACTAATATATAGTTTAATATAATTCAAGTAATTTGTAATACTTTATAATACTAAGAGAGATATTATATAGAGGTCAATACTGGGATTACGTAATATAGATATATATTCTAGCGATGATTAGACTAATACTTAGTTTAATATAATCAATATACTTTTGAATCGTTTATACTACTAAGAGAGATATTATATAGAGGTAAATACTGGGATTACGTAATATATATAGAGGAGGAAAATAGTAGGATTATATAAGCTTCCTATATAGTAGTAGTTTATAGTATATCTTTATATATATATATATATCCCGGCCGAGATAGTATTAATATAATTACTATACTTTTTAATAGTTTAGACTACTAAGAGAGATATTATATAGAGGTAAATACTAAGATTACGTAATATAGATATATATTCTAGCGAAGATCAGACTAATACTTAGTTAAATATAATATATATACCTTTTTATCGTTTATACTACTATTTAAGAATTTCGTTTTGCTATTTGGCTGCCTTTTTCGGCCGCAGGTGAGGCCGAAAATAGCCGTCTTTCAGCAACCTCCCTCCGCCACGCTCCCGCCTCCTTCGACCACGCACCACACCCCTCACCACTTAATACCTCAGGCTCCTATCTCGTGCGCGCTGACATCCTTGGTTCTCTGAGGGCTTATTAGTAGCTCCACCACCGGGGCGCCGAAAATAGCCTCCTTTAGCACTATACCAGCTGCACTCTGGCCAGCTCCCAGCCGCTATAGCTATAAATATACCCTTCCCACCTATTCTCCGTCTAACACTGTCCTTATCTCGACTCAAATACCACTCTAAATATCTCCTTCTGATCCTCCGTCGTGCTTTCTTCTATTCAGTCGTGTCGTGCGTTAATATATCTCGAGCTCTAAGGTAGTTCCTTCGCACGCTCGGCGAAATTGATTAACTATATATCGTCGGAGGACACTCAATACCGGTAACCACAGAAGTATAAACGAATCCTTTTATACCTCTCCTATCGATACCGACAATAATAGACCGTTCGAGCCCGATTCCTCTGAGACTGATCTTACTAAGCTAGAGCGCTCCCCTCTAGCGGGTCGAACGATTACTCGGAAGAAGCTAAACCCAAAGACTAGAACAAAATTGTCACTAACAGACCTATCGAATATAGAACGTATCCACTAGGCCCGGTACTAAGTACCCGATAATAACACGGATAAGGACCTAGCCTAAGTACCGGAGGATTACGGCCGATCTAATAAAATAAAAAAGTTAAAACTTCGACTGAAAGAGCGTTAGGCTTAGTAAGTGATAAGGATATCGTTGAAAGCTTATACTGTGTTAATATTAACTAACTAACTTACCTTATTTTAGGTACTACTAAATAAAAGCGATAGAACTATCCACTAATTATAAGTGGGGGGTTACGGAGGATACACTGCGTAAGGCGTTACTAAATAATATATATCGATTTCTCAATTAGTGTCTAAAGCTAGAGTATAGTCCCGATAGTCGCCGCTAGAAAGGCTATATAAAGGCCAGCGCCCTTAAAGCGGATTGGAAGTACTTCCGAATTTACTACCAGCGAGTTACTAAAACCGAGATAAGTAAAGAGATAGGCGAGGCCGTTTGTATAGTTTGTTTTCGACCTCCCTCCTAATCGTCTGTAGGAGGCTTACGCTAACGAAGATTGATAGGGTATAAGATACTTAGTGGATAAGCGCGGTCTAGATAAACAACCGCGCGTAAATATCCCAGTATATATCGAAGATATAATTCTATTTAATAAGACAATCCTTTAAACACGGGAGAAACGATTCCACTTAGGGTTTCAGCGTATTATCCTATATCTATACAACACTGTTAGGTTATTTACTATAAACCGAAAATAGGCAATACTTAACCTTTAGTTTAAGTATCTGCAAATATCGCTCCAGTAGGATCCGCACGGAGGACCTCCTAAGCCGATAATCGAACTCGAGCCCTAGTTTGTGAAAAGTGTCCTAGGTATATCGAAGCTGTAGGTAGCACCCGAGTTATATATATTTACTACAATCAGACTGACTGATCGATATTACTTAGCAATACGTTCGCGCTACCTGAAATTGTCTACGGCGTATCACTTGTCTTCAGCCCGTATATCCTACTCTTTATCATATTATTTTATATCCACGCCTTTGAAGCGCCTCACTTAATATCGATAGAAGACCTTCGGAGACTGCTTGTCGAGGGTGGTCGACAGGAAATGCTACTTCCCTTGAAGAAAGAGATGTAGAATATACGATTTTTCCTCATTAAAATGCATATTTTATTGCTATATAGACTAGAATTATATGGTGGTGGCAGAATATATGGTAGAAAACTCTATATTGGTAGAAATATTTGGTAGAATCCAGTATCACACCCAATTAAGAAGGCGGTAGGGTTAATGCCAGAAATTGCAGGCAGGGAGGGGTGAGATTAGCCAAAGGGGAGGTGAGTTTATCAATCCCCTATAAAAA